GATGAAGAGCATATACAGGCAAAGGGGTGGAGATGTGCGAAATAGGAAAGGCGAGGCAAAAAAGGGGGGCAGAGGGGGGATCGAAAATAGAAAAACAAGCGAAAGTAGAAGTACGAATAAATGCCAGAGGAAGAGGCATCGGGAATGGTTGGGGGAGATAGAAGAAAAGAACTGGTAATATCAAAATTATTTGTGGGGGGGGGGGGGGGGGGCCAAAGAGGAGAGAGGTATTCCTTAAGATGATGCATGCCTGTGAATCACTGAGCTGGTGACCGATTTCCCCAGTAAATAAAGACTCATTCAGCTCGAAAACTCAGGTATGCGGGGGATGTTTCAAATGTTTGCTTTCCCAGAGAACTTCCTCCCCAGCAGAAATACATGAAAGTGATTTTTTATCTGATGAGAGGTTTATTTCATCATCCTGACCCTCTGCGAGTTATTCGCAGGCAACATTTCAACACCACACATGCTCTTCACAGTTGTGTGCGGGTAATCAAAAGATGCAAAGCAGATCTTCCACTCATAAGGCAACATCTGTGACTGGATTGAAAAAGTCAAACTTAAGTGGACATGTAATAAAATCTATGATCAGGACTGGATGGCTGAGCCTCTCTGCCAAATACTGAAAATGAACAAACGCATGAATACGTTCACATAAATGGTTGAACAAAGCACAGAAAACTGAGAAAAAACAACAGATCCAAGCTGCATCTTCACAGGCCTTCTGTGGCACTATTCTAAAAAGTAATAGTCAGACATTTTTTTCATTTTGAAACAGCTGGGAAGATAAGTGGGTTGTGTTTCTGATGCGTTGGTCGGGCAACCTTCATTTTTTTTGCCACCGAAATAGGTCAGAGATAGATACCATTCAGCAACCTGTTGCTGAGTGTAATGGAAAAGAGAAAAGGATGCCGCAAAGGGCACATAGACACCCATGTGGTGACTGACAAACCCCACACAACTCACACAGACACACAAGAAACATTTAGGGTATCGGAAAACACCAGGCGGAACTAACACGGGGTGAAGCAGCGGTGTGGTGAGCATCATAGGCCAAACTTTACCAATAGACATAATTCAGACCGTCTTTGGCACATTTCTATTTACAATTTAAAGTAATTTATCTTTGAAATGTAACAGGGTTGCACACAGGAATTAAGGAATGTAAATTCTGTTAGAGTGCATGAGGGCAGAACACAGTCCACAGATAACAGCGTCATGTCAGCATCTTCGTCAGAAACCCACTTTCACTCGACTGTGGACACCTTGAATCTGAAACAGAAACTGATTGAAACGGATGGCACTTGTAATCTATTTTGTTTGTTTTTTACTTCTATGAAGTTCAAAGAATTGGCAAAATGTATGCAGAAATAAATACACGTCGACTTTGAATCAAGCTTCACAAACGCTCAATCCTGAACTTCCCTGAATGCAACTCAGTATTGGAAAGTAGCAAAATGAGATACCATGTGGCTAATTTAACAGCCACAGAAGCCTTTCACTTCGAGGTGATTAAAAAATATATATATATGTATGTATCTTGGTAATACAATATATCCTTATACAAGATACTTTCCATTAATTAAATAAATAATCATATGATATTGCCTTGTTCAAAATACTTGTTATAGGAATATTTCACAAATGAAATGTAATGAGTTGGAAATTTGAGTTAGTATGTGCTTTTAATTATTGATTAGAAAACTAACTGTGCCCTGCAATACCTCCACATCATTTCAGCATGATAATCCATTGATTCCATTGAAAAACAATCAATGCTCATATTGAATTACCGCCCATTACCGTTGAGAATGATGGAATAGTATTGGTGAATGCATTGGGGGTATTGAGGGGCATTAAGCTCATTCTAACCACTTTGCATACTTGCTGAAGGCCTCAGGAACTGTACAGAACATCATTGTAAGTATGCGGGGACGTTGAAGTACTTTTGAAAAGAACATTCTGAACTGCAGAGGAAGCCAACCTTTGTTAAACGCTGGGGGACCTTAACCACCCCGATCGCAACAAGCACTGGCTGTAAAAAGTACAATCGTTCATATGAACTCGCGCATCGGTTAGTTACGAGCTGTGTGATGACAGGGACGCCCCAACAGAAAGGGATTAATAACGCGTCTCTCTGCCGTATCCTCGCGTTCTTGACCACCGAGCAGACACGAGTTTAACGTCACAGGACGACGCACTCGAAACCCGCGAGCGTGCACGTGGTGCATGAGCGCGCGACGGCGCGTTTACGTGCGATCCGGCGAAGTTTACTCGGCGACACCTGACGGACGTTACGAGCAGTCCGCGGCCCGCCACACCTACACCACTTCATCCTCCGCGCGCACACCGTCAGAAGCAGACGGTGACACGCGCACGCGCGCGCGCACGCACGGACTGTCACTGCGGGCGGACTACTTACCCGCGGTGGAGTCAGTTTGCGCCGCAGCCAGCGCCCCGCGCCGCGCACGAGCGCACGGAGACCCGCGGCCGGGAAATAACGAGCATGTCAGAACAAAGTTGTGATAATCTCTTCAAAACGGCTCGCGGCGTCCAGCGGGCATCGGCCTCTCGCGCTCTCCTCTGTTTGGTTGCGTGATCGGATTACTAGAAGAGTTGTCTTTTTTTTCCGGGTTGGACGTTTCGTTATTAGAATAAACCAACCCCGGATGTGATCTACGCGTCCTGTGAGCTGCACCAGGGCCGTCCTCCTCCTCCACCCTCCTCCTCCTCCTCCTCCATCCTGCTGCAGATCTCTCATACGACGAGGAACTGTCAACTGCTCAACTCACCTCTGCACTTCTTCAGTTTAAAATTTGTATCACCTTAGGCTCTTTTTTACAGGCGTTTGTTAATTCAGTTCTTTTTTCCTGCAAATGCATACAACACTTTATCTCTTCTACTGTTGGGTGGCTGCTGGAGAACTGGGTCAAACTCACACACACACACACACACACACAGCACACAGCTGAATCAGTTGGTGCATATAAATGATGAGCTATAAAAGAAGGGAGTGCACACCTGGATAAACAGGTACACCCAGAAGAATAGTATCATTCATGCCATGGGCGGTGAGTGTGACAGGTGCAAGAAGTCGTGCCAACAGCAGTTGGGAGGTGGGGAAACGTTTTCTACATGTACTTTTACGGTTACAAAAAGTAGCAATAGGAATACTAATGCTCCGCTGATGACAGCAGGATAAAAAAAAATCTCCTCTCCAATCGTCACAAATCTTAATAAACCACAACAGCAAACTCTGTAACATATTTGCAATGTATGATGTTGTTCCAAAGCCACTTGAACATTACCAGGTGTTTTTGGTGATTAAATGCTAAATCCTGATGATTGTTTTGTATGTAGAGTAGTTGCACGACTAAAAACAAAAGTTCATGTTGAAGATGCATGGTGCTACAAAATAGAAATAGCAAAGTTCACCTACAAATACAGAGAAAAAAACAAAAACCTTAGCTTGAATAAAAATAAACAAATCTCTTTTGCAAGAAGTAGCATGAGGACTCATACAGATTAGTGCTTGTCAGAAAGTCTGGTGGAATAATTAAGGTGGTACTTCAACATTGTTAAACTTGAGCAATACTATTTTATGATCCTATCTTGTATTTATATTTCGATCTTAATCTGCAAAAGCAGCGATTTAGGCATTTGAAAAAAGGACAACAGTGCCTAAACACAGCACTTAGTTTGAACCCTGTGATGAAACTCCTGAGAGACGGTGAAAAAAAGGGGAATGAACTGACCTGACCTCTTTCTTTATAACCTGTTTAGTCCGGAATTTCCACATGTGTACATGTAGAATCTTCCTGCAGAAATGACAATGACTGTGTCTGCATCTACAGGAGGGACTCTGTATTCAGTCCTTTCTATCGGTTAATTTGTGTTAACTCCTGTTAAAGGGGAAGTGGCTGCACGTCATATGACCTGCCCGAGGAGCGACGCCACCTCGCTGACTTCATATCTTGTGGCAACTGCTGCACATGATTCGCGTTACACATTTGAAGAAGGAAGTGCTGATATTTCCAGTCACTCCTGTCTTCCTGCTGAATATTTAGACTATTTCATCTCTACCGTGCTTTTACATCAAGGGCACAAACATAATCACAAATTTCTATCAAATTTCACATGAAGGTGATTTTAACCACGTACAAACCCACAAACTACACTCGCAGGTTTTTTTGTATCTTTATTCAAACAGGCTTGCATGAAGAAAAATTACTAAATGTTTAATTTCAAAACTTCTAAAGATTGTGTTGTTAAAATACTTTCTTTTTTGGTCAATGGTGTCAAGCGAGCTGTGCACACTGCTACCCGCGCTGCTACCCACCGAGGCACCCCGGCACCTACTGAAACCACGCCGGAGAGCTGTAATTATCTCTGCGCACACTTGTTCACCACAAACACTCTCAGGTTCACTAGCATTTACCGCATTGGATCATCTGCAAGTGAACAAGATACCATAGATGATGAGGTTTCTAGTTCTAATTCTTTGATGGTAATAAAATAAGAAACACAATCAAAGGCGCAGAAGTTTGTATTCATGTGACAGACCGCCATCACTGCACCAACACAGCTTTTCTTTTTGTCTAAAGCCACGTGGAACTTTCTGGCACTCAAAATCATTGGATTCAACGTGCATTGGAAGATTTCTGTGGCGATGAATCACAGCTGACTGGCGGCCAAACGCAGCAGCAGGGCGGCGATGAGCAGGACGGGGCCGGAGGCCGGAGCCCCCGCGCCGTTGCGGTGGTGATCGCCGTGGCTGCGGCTCCGGTGGGGCCCGTTACAGTCGTCGCCGAAACAGCACTCCATCTTGGCCCCGGAGCCGACGCCGTGAGCCTTGTCACAGAAAGCCTTGTAGCTGCACGACTTCATCACTGTGTCTGGAGATCGTGTGAGACAGAGAGAGGGGCGGGCTCTGAGGTGATGGAGGACTGACCACTGGTGATGATTTGGTACAACGCTGTGAACCCTGTGGGCTCTAATCTGCTCTTAATGCTCACACATACACAACACAACAAAATCCAGTAACCTCAAATGATTAGAGGCTGGATTTATGATCGCACGCGCACCCACACACACACACACACACAGAAAAACAGTATTGGTGGGAGGGTTAAAAAGCTAAGCAACACTTAAAAATACTGTCCAGGCCACTTCTTTGTCCATAGATGTAGCCAGTGCACCATTATAAGCTTTACGGACTTCTTTAAGCTGCTATACACACGCCCACACACACACACGCACACGCGCACGCACACGCACACGCACACACTTTGTTGCCAGGATTTCACAATACACTAAATCATCCTTGCCAGGCATGTTTTCCTGTGTGTGTTGGTTGGTCTACTCACTGGGTCCTGTGATGGTGGAGCAGGCATCAGCGTACTGAGGGCAGGAGGCGGAGCCCTGATGGTTGCACTCGTCCTCATTGGACGCCACGCACGTGTGACATTTGAGGGCGTGGCCTTTGCAGACAGAACAGGAGAGAGCACCTGACTTGAGACTTAGCATGCAGATACACAGAGTTGTGTTCTTATTCACAGTTCATTTACACCGACATGAGTCCGCGCACACAATCGCTTACAGTTAGTGAAGGATGCATCAGCTCCCTCAAACTAACCACAAGGACACAACGAAAGCAGCTTGTATTGCAGTAGTAAGTAACTAGATTCTGTGACAGTATTGTATGCCATTAAAAAAAAACTAAAACTGCTTTGCTACGGCGTAAACCAACAATCTTTAACCGGCTTTCTGGATCCGGAATCCCTTGTTTCACAGCACTTCTGTGGCCTCTCAGCAATTAGTCGGCCAGCTGATAACGAACCAAATCTTTCCCCTATGCTGAAACCCCCAAACCCAGTGCTGGTATCAGCGCTGTGTAAACTTACTGTGGCATGCCAGAGAGATGAGAAGCAGCAGGGCCAGAGAAGTATTCATGGCAGCTGGCCGACGGTCGCTGTGTCTTTGAGAGTCCGGAGAAAGAGCTCCAAGAGCTTGACGGAGTAGCTGACGGAGGAGACGACAGGGGTTGAGGTGGAGGAGGACCAGGATGGGGGTTTTAAGCCCAGGAAGGTGTCTGAGGGCATTAAGTTCTTATCTCTGTAATCTCAATCTATGCTGCACAGCCAGCAGCCTGTGGTAATGGATTTAACCGGGCACGCTTTAAAAGGGAGACAGTTACAGTTCAGTGAGTGATTCTGCAACAAGGCGTTTAACCAGCGACAGTTTTCAAATGGTGAAAGCAGAAAGAAGCTGCATACTATTAAGCCTCAAGTCGCTCACATCACCGCCTCGGCTGAGACGTGTCGGTGTTTGTTTGTTCGTGTGAATTCTGTAGAGATGTAAACGCTGTGCTTCCTTGCCAGCGCTGTGGCTGAATCTGAGGACATGACTCACACGGCGATATCACCCACGCGATTCATGCTTTTCTGCTCTGAGTCGGCAATAGTAAAAACTGCGGAAGCAAAAGTAAAACAAAACATAACAACATTTAGTAGAACAAATTATATTCATGTTTATTCAGGCAAATGTACACACACTCGCGCTGCTAGTCCTCAAAGTGTCAACACAAGAGTGAGATTCATTTCTAATGTACAAGCAATATTTAAAGAAAGGGGCTAAAGTGACAAACAGTATTTTGTAAAGCACAAGCAGAACAGCTGAGAAACGAGAAGTAACGTGAGGTTTGAATGACACTAATAGAAACCATAGCATATTGTTGGGTTTGTTTCACTAATTCAGACTTTTCAATAGTGACTCAGTGTTGAGTGTTAGATTTTAGTTCAGTTTGACCACATATTGCCTGATTAGATTCTAAGATTTGCATGTTTTATACTGATAGAAGTAATAGTCACAGCTACTAAACCACAGCCTCCCGAGACAAAACTACCCATCTAGTTTGAATGCTGTGTTACAAAATCAATCTACATTCTAAGGCACACAAAACTATGAAAATAATCATGCAAAGAAACAGATTTATCTGCTGAATGATTAGTGTGGTCTGTAAATCCAGAAACGACAGGTCACATTTTCATTACACAGACAAAAAACTCTTCTACAGACGTTAAACACGTAGTTTCCTTCTTGTTTGGAGGTAAATGTGATTAGTGGACACTTGAAAAAATAAATAATTCTTAATGTATTGCAGTGCTGGCTTTCCTTATAATAGCTTAAAATATGTTAGACCAAAATATAGTCCCTCTGCTCCAGTTGTTTAGGATCCTTAACCATGAATAGTTTTCATACATTGATGGTGGAGTAGGTTATATTTTCCCTCTTTTCTTTTCAGCAACAAAACAATGCCACCAAGTTAATATAATTACAGTGAAGTCTTTGATTGTCCTGTTTCAGTACCACGGTTGTTTGCATTGTCTACAATTCATGTAGAGCATTTGCTTTAGTTCTACCAACATGTGGTCAAAACTCTGTCTGGTTTCAGTGTTGATCCCCAACAAACCAAGGCCTCGGAGCTCTACTATATTTCCTCAAATTATCTTTAATCCTCACCTACAGTTCTTGTGCAGCCTGACTTTGACCCTGACCTCGTTTCAGCTCCACACAATACCCCTGAGCTCTGCTCTGTCAGAGGAAAATCCTTGCTTACTTACATAGAAATATATATTTCATGGGTCGTTGCTTTTCTATAAAACAATCCTGCAAAATATACTGCATGGCCAATTGTAACTCTTAAACGACCTCCGCCTGCATGATGTCATATCAGGAGTTGCTGGAAATGTACCCGTTAGCTGCTGGGAATGTACGTTTAGTCATAAGAAGCTTTGTGGCTCACTGCCAGGAAGGGCGAAAGCACAAGAGGTGCAGATGGCCTTATAATGAGCATGAATGCAAACAAAACAACGTGACCATTTACATATAACAGAGTCCCAACTACAACAGATATTAGCATGTAGAGAACCTGGGTTCAGGTCGCAAGTAGTGCAATTGAAGTATACGTGAAGTTACTTTAGACATCAGTTTTAAGCAGCGTCTGTGATGCAGGGCTGGCGGACGGCTGGCGGACGGCTGGCGGACGGCGGGACCGGAGGGACACTAGATGCTGATCACACGACGCGCCTCTCAGTCTAATCGTCCCATTTTGGCAATCAGCTCATCACAGATCTTAGTGAGTTCCTCCATCTCTTGATTCTATGACAACACAACAAAGAATTAATATATATATATACGTTGAAAACCTTTCTTTATGCTGCAGTGTACATTGTGTTGCATTGTGTATTATTAATGTTTTTATAACTAAAAGGTTGCATGTAGAATTAGCATGCAGAGAGATGAGGAAGCCTTCTACCTTCTGCTGCAGTGCTTGTTCCAGAGACTCGTTCTTCATTTGTTCCTTTCTCAAACTGGCGGCCACCGCCATGTTCTCTGAGCTCGCCTTTGCACGCACCTGAGCAATGTCCTCATTGGCCCTGAGGGATGCATGCGACCAAGGAAGTTAACATTACATTACACGTCATTTAGCCGATGCTTTCATCCAAAGCGACTTACAATAACTGCATGTCAACATGACATTTGACATAACGTCAAACCTTTAGAGGTCTTGATTAGTTATAACTGACTTGACAGGAAAATTAGACTTCATCTCAATCTCTACATACTTGTCTAGTTTCTCCTCAGCATGGAGTTTAAGTGTCTGGTATCTCTGCTCCTCCTGCTTGACTCGGGCGAGGTACTCCTGAGCACACTTCTTCAGCACCTCCTCATTCTGTACAAGGAAGAAAACAAACAAGCAGTGTTATTGCTGCTCCAAATCAGCAGCGTGTCAAACGTAAGTTCTTCAATCAAAGGATTTATCTAGGTTTACCTAATGACCTTCGACGTAAGAACTTCAAAGCCACCACGGCCCAAATAAGAGGGAAACCTTATTCTGACTGTAATCCTCCTACAGCCCTCCAACTATTGATACTATCAGCTGATCGCCTCAGCACTTGAAACAGACACTTTCACGAGCCGCAATCCGGGCATGAACCTGTCGTTTGACTGCTTACTTTCTTAAAGCCCTCCAGCGTGCTCTTCAAATTCTCATAACGCCGGAACACGTCAGAGAGAGAGCGCTCCACGGAGTTCAGGTCGGCCAGGGCGGATTCCTTCTCCTTCAACATAGTGTGCAAAGCCTTCTGGGAACTCTGGCTGTTTCGTTTCTCGTCATCTGAGTAGAGCGAAGAAGATATTATTGTGCGAAATGATGAAAGAGTTGAAACACATTTCGTGTGTATGCTACTTTGTCCGTTTTAATACAAGAGAGTGGGGATCAAAGTTACTGCCCCCGAGTAATTTACCCGAGTGTGGAACTGTGGTACGCGAACTCATAAGCACAACCAGGGAAATAAACGTCTGCTCTGCAACCACGACCACAGAATTTCAGATCGATTGTACTTCCTATAACTTCAAACTCACCGATCATCTGAGCGATTGTCTTCTCGTATTCTGCGACAATCTTCCTGTAATGAGACCAAAGTCCCGATGAGCCTTACTTAACCGCACGATGGAACGTTTGATCTATTGAACCTCACTTAACCACCCGTTTAAAATCAATCAGCGATGTCTGAGTAAACAGCATGAAGAAGCAGATTGTCTTACCTCATCTCACTGACTTCTTGTCTGCTGTCCTCGTACTTTTTCTTCCAGTCGTTGGCCACTGCCTCTTTAGTGATGATCTGAAAACAGACGCCTCCTGTGAGCAGAACTGTGCATTCAAATATTTCATATTTCGTGTTGGGTGAGTGTGATTAAAGAGTTTACCTCTTCTCTAATCAGTGTGAGAACAGCCTGTTTTTCTGCCTCACTGATGCAGATGGAATCCAAGACCTGACTTCCTGTTTTCTGCATTTCACTTCCTTCTGGCTTCAGTTTGCACGGGTCTTCAAATTGCTGACGGCAGAAGAAAATTAGTATTGTACATCCAGTAGTTTAATGGTCAACAGAAACGTTAAGAATTTATTGGACATTCGTCAAAAACGCACATGTAAAATTCAATAATACTTTTTATAATTATCCCCTTTAACAAAATCCCCTTTTTACAATCATTAGTTTAGTGTTAAATATTTCCTTCCAATATTGTGATTTCATTAGAGCTGCTACATCTGTTTTACTGGTAATGATCGGATGATAATTTTTTTTTAAATCACCAATCAATCAATTATTGAGAGGCAAACAAAAATGAATACCTGTTTTTGTAACTGCAAATAAAAATATATGTATTGTCCCAAACTTCTCTCATCATAGTTTTCACGCTGTACCTTTCAAATCAGTGTTCCTACACATCTCATTCCTTTGTTCTTCCTCTCCCCAGCTCTCATTTTGTCCTTCCCTAGATTATGACGGTCATATCCTAATGTCCTGAACGATAATCTAAATCCATCCGTCACCTGTCTCCATCGGAGTACATGAACATGGTGGCAGACACTAAGTAAGCTACCTCCTTCTGCCCGGTGCAGCAATCACATCAGACCGGGGACCATACTGCAGCTCTAGATAAACCAAACCATACTGCGCTACTTCCAATAGTGTCACAACACGGTCGAACTGCACATGGTTCATTTACTGTGTTAATATAGAAAAAAAAGAAATGCTAACCATCACAGTGACAATTAAATGTAATAATGGGACTCACTCTGACACTAACAAAACGTTTTTTCTCTGCAGTGAACGAGAACGGTTTAGTGTAACCAATGAACTGTCTGTAGTTTAACTAAGAAAAGAGGACTTCATCTCTACCTGGTGGTCACTAGAGGCATCACGTTGCAGTTGCATGAGATTGTAGGGCTACATAAATATGTGTAAGGGCCTGACGCAGCACACACAGGGGAAAGGACGTGCATGATATATTGTAGTATTTATTTACCAATGAGCAGCAGTCTGAGTCCTCCGGTTTTGATGTCACATGGCACTCTTGAAAGGGAAGAAAGTGATACTCGTTTTAGGATGAATTAAGGATCAGAGATGATGTGGCTTGCAATGTGGTTCATCGTCATGGTCGGCAGAAGGAAGTACAAGAGAAGTACATCTTGTAGTTTTCATCATAAAGATCACTCTAACTATGTGCTCACCGGTAACAAAGATAAATGGTGTTTGATCTGCAAAGATAATTCCCGTGACTTGCAATATCATCCTTTTATGTTCTACATCAGTCTTGCATTGAAATAAACTCACACCACTCACTCCCGGTTGGTTTTTACGGACGTCATGACTCACGATGATTGCTTATCTTGCACACAACCTGACTGTGACAACAGGCCAGGCAAAACGCACTGCCGCTGTGAACCACTGCAGGCGACCTTCTCACCGTCCAGTATTGAAAGAGCAAAGATAAAGAATGCGGTCTAAACGTTATCATTAAGTTATCTGTTCTCTGTAGAGAAGAGCGTGTTTCACGGTTAACTGTGCTACTCATTACTGTGTCAGTGTGGACTGCAGCAACATTAAAATCAATCCTCATCGATCCCGTTACTCACTGCTTTGGTCCTGGTCTGGTTTGCCACTGCTGGCCAGTTTCTCCTCGTCAGTGGCGTGGCCTCCATGATGGTCATCCTTCAAAATTCAAAATAGGCACTGAATGAAGCTTTTCTCAGGATAATACATACTTCATTAACCGGATGAGCAGTGGGCAGAGACGGTTCTTACCTGTCCGCTTAAGTCCTTTTGCATCTGCTGGGTCACTTTACACGAGTTTCTGTCAATCAAAGTCAATAACAACACGCATTAGTGTCGAGACTTACGCGATCATAAATCTGCGTATGTGTACATGTGGGAAGGTGTGATGATTAGAAGAGTTATCGGGAGAGCGGAAAGCCTCACAGCCAGACCTCATTGCTCTGCCCTGTGTGTTTGCATGCTCTACAGTGCTGAATCACGCAGAATAAAAAGCAGATTAATGAAAGAAATGTTGCCCAATTGAAGTAAGAACAAGAACAGTTGTTCAGAGCGCCGGAGGGAATTATAGTGTTTTCACTCTTTCTCCTCTACTTTCTAAAGCTATTCCTAAGTTTCCACTTCAGTTTGTGATTGAAGGAAAATTTAGGTCAGATGAGCTTGAACCTGGACTTGTTGCAAGAACAAGGACTGAGGTCACAAACACGCACGTCTGCACACACAGTTGAACAGTACTTACAACAGAACACAGAGGAAATGGACTGGCTCAGCAGTCCTGATGCCACACAGACAGGAGGGAACCAGAATGACAGGTTTGAAGGAAAGACAGGGGGGCAGTGGTTAGGTTTAACTATAGTTAATGCAAAGTGTCCTTTTTGTTTTGAATTGTCTAAAACTCTGAAATATAGCTCATGTAAATAAGAGCGTGATACTTATAACCAAGTATTCCTGTTTGTCCCTCAGTAGTTTATATCGGCACCAATTAGAATTGTCAGTAAAATAAACTGCATAAAAAATGTACCTTTAGGTAAACATGAACAATATGTAGTATGATACTATACGGACTATACACAGTATGTACACATATGCAATGCATGCGTTTTTTTATGATTGAGCATAATGCTGTCCATAACAAATCGCCCATTTACTTTAATCGCTAAGATTAATGTTAGTGCACATTGATTTGAACCAGCTTGTGATGAATCTGATCATCTTGGTGCACGGAAAGAAAAGTGACCAACCAGCAATGGTTCTTCTCAGAGTTGTGGTCAGTAGTTCATGTGTCAAAAATGGTCAATAATTACAATTGTGTTGTTGTTTTCTTGGGCAATGATTGTTCTTTAAAGGAAACTGAACAGAAAAACACCACAAGAGGGCATCGTTTGACACGATTACCTCTCTTTCCCATTCAAAGGGCATTTTCTATCTACAAGAAAAAGAATCCTTCATCCTGTTTTGAACACTGAAACACTCAATCTGCCCGAGTGCAATAATGCAACCAAACAAAAACAAATCATCCTGAAAACTTAACTTTAAATTTAAGTGAAATTCTAAAACAAAATAGTAAAAAAACAAATAAAACTTGAATAATGCTGGTGCGGAGTGAATGGATGTGCAGAAAATACACAACAGGGCAACACAGTTGGTTATAATGCGAACACTTGGATCCCTTCAGGTTCCTCGTGCACAGTAGCGAGCATTCATTAATGTCCCCGGCAGCCATGAAAGAGAGAGAGAGCTGTTTGTTCAGCTTGAAAATCGGTGAGTCATATTAGTTCAGTTTCAGCTGCGAAGAGACCTTTGTGTACATGTGTGTTACTTACGAGATAATTGTGCCGTTGGCCTCACAGGTCGCTTTTGCATTTTGTGTGTTGGAGTTCATGTTGCCATTAAGCAAGTCGGGATCCACACAAATGTGTGGACGGGAGATCAGGTCCGAGTCCGGGCTGGAGTCAGATGTCACCGGAGCCTGGTCGTCCACCTCGGAAGGATCTGGTTTGTTTCGCGGGGAAAGGAAGGCCAACGATGGGGGCCGCAGGGCGTGAGGCTCCAGGCTGGATGGCGAAAGGCCGCCTCCGGGACACGGACTGCTGCCGAGGCTCAGGTTGAGGTTCAGGTCCAGACCAAAGTCCCAGTCGACAGGTGGAGGGCCGGCGAGGTTGTTCAGGGAATCTACCTCTTGGGATGAAACTGGGCCGATTTCCTGGTTGGAGTTCTTGTCCAGAAAGTGGTTTGTAACATCAGGAAGAACTGTGAACAACAACAACAACCAAAAATCTCAAATGCAAAAGTTACTCAAAGGTGGGCATTTGAATGCTTTATTTCCGTCTTTCCCCTTTTAAAGTTGCTTACATTGTCCACATTTCTCATGTCATGGGAGATCAAAACAGTCTGAAGCAAATAATTCAGTTTCCCCTCTGGTGATTAATAAGGCTTCAAATGTAATTCTATTCCAACCAACCAAGCCATGATTAGTGACCTGCTAGTGACATAAGACTGCAGTAGATCTACGCTGGTGTCGCAAGAGCCATAAAAGAGATTTGACAAATCACACGGTTTTCAAATTGTTACTCGTTAAGACAGCAGTGATGGGAGATGCCTTTGAAATGACTTATGTGTCCAAAGGGAAGTTTATTCCCAGGACAGAACCTCAGGCAGTTAAAGTTAAAAGGAGAACCAGAGCCGACTTAGTGACAATCACATCTCAACCCTTACTCCAAACGCTCCGTCCCCAAGCAGCATAACATGCCCACTCTGCGGCTACTCGCCGATTGCGTCCGTCATTCAGGGATTTCAACTCCTTCTCCTCTTAGAACACTTAAAATGGCCGTTGGCTTCCTTTCAGAGCACTTCGCATCCTGTGTGCTCACACATCCCGTTAACAGCAAGCTCATGACCACAGCAGCAGGCTGGTCCCTGTTGAGTCACCGTGCTGTTGAAACGCAAAAATACACCCACCCACAAAATAGTACAGCTAAAATCACTCTACACATATTCTTCTGTAATTCTTCTTGCTGTGGTTTCACTTTGGGAAACTAAAAGCTTTGTCACCATGACAATATATATCAAGAATAATATATCAAGTTTATGTAAGCTTCTGATCAACATGTGGGTCCATTCACACACACACACACACACACACACACACACCCTTTGGAGGAAGGCAACAGATGTAGAGCAACCCCACCCAGTACACAGCACCATGTGGCCTAGCAACAAAGACAACATCAGACTTTAATACAGCTCCACAACTCTGAGAGAAAGAAGAATACCAGTCGGAGAAGGAAGTGAGAGAGAAACATACATACAGGTTTCTAGGGTTGTTATTATGAAGAGGAACTTATTTCCCCGGAGACTTTATGCTCCAATATTCAACCAGAACATTGATAACGCCACAAAGTCATTCTCTTATTTATCATACCAACATAGATTTTGTAAAGCGCATCTAACTGGTTCGGCACTAAAATGGGGACTCTTATTGTCTGCAAACTGGACTCAATAATAGACACGCTAATCTCTCTGTTATTAATTCATCTGGCACAGTGTCCCACATGTAATGGTCAAAACACATCTGATTCATAACCGGCCGAGCCCCCTGAAACAAGCAGACAAATCTAATTCTTAACATGTAGAGTAGTGGTCACTTTAGTGACAGCGGAGAGGCAGAGTTTGCAAACATCAGTGAAATAATAGCATTGCTTCTAGCAAACAGCATGAACTCCAGATTATCTGTTACCATGGTAACACGTGGTTCCCCTGCTGGTGTGGGTGAAAGCAGGGCAGTGGGAGGGGTGAGGACGGGGTGAGTGGAGAGGACAGCAGCGAGCTCTCTCTATCTCTCTAAAGATCTCGTGCGATGACAGAACAAAACATAAGGTTAATGGAAATGATCGCTTCATTAATGGTGTCCGAGGCCAAATGTGTGTGGATTTAATGTACCAGGATACCACTGGTATTACAAAGTGAATGTTTTGCATCAACGCAACCAAAGTATCTCTCTGGATGTTTTGATGTAATGTGACATATTGCTGCAGCGATGTAAAGGTGTACTCTAGGACACCAATACCAAGCCTTTCCCGAGAATATATATCCAATAGTTGACCAGTACAAGACCAGTATATGAGCCCCGGGTCAATGAGCCACCTCACCTGTGTGGTGGGAGTTGTCTAGTTGGCTCAGTAGCTTCAAAACACCTGGAGACTCTGCCTCCGGAGTCCCGAAGGTCCCCTCTGAGTCCGAGCTGAGGAGAGAGAGAGAGGGAGACCTTCAAACACCGTCCATAAGGAAAGAAAATGATAAATGACAAATATGATGCATGAAACAAAATTCATTGTGTAAAAGTGACAGAGAGCAAGTGATAAAAACAAATCCTGTTGCCGGGTTCAAAGCTAAATATAAAACAGAAGGCCACTGTTTTTGAGAACAATGAGGCATTGAAAATGTTGATCACTCTAAATACCGACATATTAGTGCTACTAAATCAAATATAGGAATGAAAGTCTGTATTGTGTGTTGCAGTGTGAAATTAACTTTCATCTTCTGTTTTCATAAAGTGACATGAAAACGATAGATGTCTGAATTCAGAGCAAACAAGCTGCTTTTATTTGAAGGGAGAGGAAGTCCCACAAGACCACCTGCATCCTTTGCTCCTCAATAAGGACACAGTGTGACTCATTCAGCCACACACACACACACACACACACACACACACACACACACACACACTTTTTCATCTGCTGCGTCAGCTGCCTAGACAACCTAAATTTATGCCCAAACTGTGGAGAGACAAAAAGAAAGGGAGAGACAGGGAGTGAGAGTTGATGTGGTCGTGTGTGTGTGTGTCTGTCTGTGTGTGCGCGTGTGTGTGTACCCGTTCCCAGCCACTTGAACACACATCAAAACGTCCGCACTCTAATAAAAACAGCACAAGAAGGAACAAAGCTCTCGGTGCCAAATCCCAACCACACTCCATCTCTGATACTGGTTCACAGAAACACATTCTCTCACACACACACACACACACACACACACACACACACACACACACACACACACACACACACACACACACACTAGAGAGCGAGAGCTAACCCCAATATACATATGCACCCCCACCCTGCACACACACACATTTCAGTAATGGCCCCAACGGCTGCGATCTTGGATGGTTACTTAGAAACTAGAGATGAACAGAAAAATAAATAAAACCCTTTGGAAACTGTGGCCTTTTTTTCCCATCCCCCAACTTTCAGCAAACTGTTCACCAACTGCCAAACCACCTTTACACACACACACACACACACACACACACACACACACACATACACACATTGTCTAAAAGTAAGCCTTGGACACAGTCATATCCTCAGGTTTGCTGCCTCATAAAGAAACAGGATGGTGCACACAAAGCAGAGACATTTGAGTCTCTATAGTTTGACACAGGATCTGCTTATAGCCAATGACAACATGCACAAGACACTGCAATCCACGTGTGTGTGTGTGTGTGTGTGTGTGTGTGTGTACATCCAGCAGCTGTCGGTGTGACTCAGGGGAATCTGCCGTCCTCCCACCAGAGCACACAATCAACCAAGAGCCGTTTATCAAAGCAGATGCAAAGAATCCCCCCCACACGGACCCTGTGGCCCTCTTACTTGTCCTCTCCGCCATCCTTGGGTCCGGGCTGCCCCTCGTCCTCAGCAGCCCCAGTCACTGCAGACCATGTCCATTTGGCCCACTGGACCGGAGACAACCAGGACATCCCTGCAGTATGTGGAGTCTTTATCCGGCAGATTCAACGATCTCCCACTTCAAAAAGGAGACTCTGTGTTCTTTCCTCCCTCCCACCTATCGTCGGCTTCTCTCCCTCTCGCTTGCTACCCGGCTCGCTCACTTCCTCCTCTTGCTCAACCGCTCGGCTTTCCCATCCAGCCCTTCTGCGCTGTTGACGCTCATGAATGAGAGGCAAGCGTGGCCCACGCCGCTGCTGCTGCTTCTGTTGTTGTTCTGCTCTGCTCTCCACAGCACTGACTCACACGGCGCAGCTTGCTGGAGCATCAGTAGTCACTCTCCCCTCCCTCTCCCTCTCCTCTCCCTCTCTATCTGGGAGGCCGATCAGCTGGTTAACCGACATCGGCTCGCTCCTGCATGTTTGTTAACTCGCTCACTTGCTCTCAGGGGTTTGCCTCTCCCCCTCCTCTCTTGATTCTTTTGCTAATCGTGAGGGCAGAGAGGGGGGAGAGGAGAGGCCGTGCTTCCAGCTCGAGGACAGATGGACACACTGCCAGACAAGAACAAGGAGAGGAAAACAGAGCAGGGGAGGAAAGGGAGGAAGATGTAGGAGGACATGTGTTTGGACTGGATTTAAAGTGCCTGGTGCATCATGAACTTTATCCTATCTTTCAAATAAAGTACATCTCTCTTATCCATTAGTAACGTATGCCCATTTTCCCTGTATAAATAAACGGAAATGTCTACAGAGTTGAATAGAATAGATAATACTATAATAAAAGAAGAGGATGATGTGTTATTTACTGACTACATCCAGGCCACACAATAGTCAATACAGTAGATTCAACCGTAGCGCTGCATCCACCCGTCTCACTGACAGAAAAGTCATTTGGATTAAAGCTCTCGTTGCTGCTCGCACACACTTTCACCCACACACGTGCTTCTGAGGCTGTTGGCTTATATAACTAAGTACAGGCTTTCACATTTACACAGTTTTCTCTCTCTCTCTCTCTCTCTCTCTCTCTCACACACACACATCTAGACCAGATGAGAGGAGTTCTTTGAAAAAGAGCGAACCATGACTAATCTAATAAGGGAGGATGGTTCAGTACTGTGAACAAGGGGAGCGGGGAAAGAAAAGGAAAGAGGCAGAGACGCATTTCTTGTTTCTGCTGTGTGGGGAAACGTAACGAAAGACAGGAGCTCCTCAACCAACGACGCCGAGCCGGTGCACAGAGAGTATGTGCATAAACGCACTCAGAAACACTGTCACACACCGGTGAACACAGAGAAAGAGGAGCTCTGTCTAATCTGTGATACCGAGACTGAAAAAATGGAGCAAATCAGAGGCAAACAGAGTTAATTAAGAATGAGGAGTACGAGTCGTATGAGTCGTATAGATCAGAAGTGAGTCTTTTGGGCCGGACTGAAATCAGAAATGCTGTTTTGTTTGTTATAAACATTGCTGACTTTGTCCTTCCTTATCTGTCAGCCAGGCAGCAGCTGACAGGACAAACCTGTCTGTCTTGCAGTGCATGTGATCTGCCAGAAGCTGAGAAACCCCCTTAAGCAGTACGAGACATCCGGTGTTCACTGTGCTGCACCGTGATGTTGTGATCTTCAACATGCGTCTGGAGAACATCTGAACTGAATTGATAGAGATCTGCTTTGAGGAACACCCCAGGGATCAAACGTCTTATGTCCCAAATGTCTTATTCTGATTACTCTGTGTTTGTGTGCATGCAGGTCAACATAGTCAGCATAGCTGGGAATATTGTTCAAGCTTTCCTTCTCTACAATTGTATTTGAAAACAATATTTTGCACCCATAATAATAATAATAAAGAGGCTTGTATAATAATACAATGTACATTTCATTTTCGATGTATTTAAATCCATATCAGAAAACGCGTTATATCTTGATGAATGTCTTGGGAAGATAATTGGGAAATTATCTATACAACTATAGATGTTTTTGGCCTTATTGCCAAAGCCTTGCTCTGGACATACAATACCGTGCAAAAAACACAGGCATTCAACAGAAAGGACAACAGGCAGACGAGGACAGAGTGGAAATAGTCCAGACTCTCTCCCTGGAAGAGACACAAACCACAGACAGAGAAGAAACAGCTCTTATGTAACACCTTGAAAAACACGAATAGCACACAGTGAAAGAGGCAAAGCTCCGAACCGCACACACAGTACACGCTACGCAACTAGAGCTGCACGGCAGTGCACATTTTACACCACACGCGTACAGCGGCTGCTACGTTTGTTTGCCGCCATTTAATCCAGCAAGAATGCACATCCTTAATCATCAATTACATTTTGACTGATAGCAGCATATGTGGCCATGTGCTAAGAATAAATCAGTGAGGATAAACATGTCTGAGTCACAAGAGAGGGAACCTGGATGAAATGATTACAATGAATAACAATTGAATGCGTGATTTACATGGAATTTGCTGTGATTGATTTTAGACATGCTAACGGACAGACTTTTTAATAGATTGTCCTTCAGCCATCAGAAAACACTTGTATTTAATGAATTAACTGTGTGGTTAGATTTGCGTGGAACAGAATACAGTGAAGCCCTCAGGAAGATTAGACATTACGATCTTCACAGTCTCCTTCTGTCTTTCACACATTACTATGTCCAGAACCGCTAAAAGTAACAGTCTCAAGTATGATGTCTGTTCATATTGCGGCAATAAACCTGTTATAATAACCAGGCAAATTCAAAGTAATGAAAAAAAGCACAATTTTAAGTATTTCTACTTTAACTTCAACACTTACATGGCATACAAGCGCAAACATGCAAAGTAAACATGTCATTTTAAGTTTCACAAAGTGACCCAGATAATGTCCATTACCAATTCCCAATCCCAGATACACTGGTTGTTACAATCAATTAGTAATAAAAATAATAAAAACCTGTCTCTAAATAGAATACACATCACAGCCTTGATCCTCACCAACTGTATTTCTTCGGGGGATTTTTGCTGGTGTGGAATATAATAGGTATTTATTCTATGACCGGGATCAGCACTGAAGGAATAGCAGTCTACATATAAAATACTTAACAGCGGCTCTGTTCATATTTCAATAAGAAAATAGTGCTGAGAAAAAAACAATAGATGCTTAGAGTCAATTTGGTTTGGTTTTAATAGAAAGCAGTAGAAAGAGATTCATAATAAAAAGGAAATTGTTGGAACGTTCCGGCACGAGCCCTGTTGTTCTGTGATACGGCCCCATCTAGTGCTCATTGTCAGCCTCTCAGCCACTTTCATCAAATTAAAAACAAGATAATATAACCGAATCAGCATCAAATCCAGCCTCCCCTTTGAGGAAGCAATGCCAGGATTGAGAAAAGAACACAAAAGGAGCTGAGGGAAGAACAGCGGTGAGAGAGAAAGTGAGGGGGGTACATTATATAATATATATAAATATAACAGGTCAGAAGTGATGATGATACCGGCGGTGTGCAGTGTCCGGGAGATAAAAAGTACAGCCCTTTTTACATTACAGAGGTCTTTGCATTTTTAATAAAACACCCGATTAGCTGCAATCAGAGCGGAAAACTAGCAAGGGGAGGGAACAGAGTCATTCAGTGCTGCAGTACACTACAACGTCTTAACTGAAAGAGGCATGATGAAACAAAAGAGGACAAAGAAAGGAGAACGAGGTTGAGAGAGAGGAGGGGTTTGACCCAGAGGAGCCGTGTACACACCAACTGAGCTTTTGTTCCTGACGACAAGGACTCAGGAGCACACAGCCCCCAGACAATAGTGCATGCACTTTGTACACACCTGCACTTTGCCTGTTAAATGTATTCAAACTACACTTCATTTCCCTTTAAACTGCCATGTAGTTATATCAACATACAACTATTAATCTAACAATAACGATAATGCACAGGTGAGGGTGATCTGGCATAAACTTGAACATTATTAAGGAGTGAGTTTCACTTTCATTCTGGTTGTCAGCTTGAGCCTATTCGTTATTCATCTTCACATTTTGTGCCCGTCTTCAGGTATCCACAACGAGCGTTTCTCTCAGAATTAGCAACGTTTGGCAGCCGTCTCTGGCCTGACTTTATATCCCTGCAGTATAAAATGAGCTCCTAATGCAGGTCACCCTCTTCCCACAGAGACCGTGTGGATAATCATGGACCTAGAGAACAGGAAGTCCACCGTGCAGGCAAGACTCCTGCAGTTAGGATGAAACATGATCAACAAGGATTTGGCCAACTGAAGGTCGAGCAGAAGACTGAAAGAAAGTGAGATCCTAAAGCACCGGCTCTCCAGACCCCCCCAGGACAGATCCCAACCCTACAGCAGGCTCACGTGATCAGCGAGATTTAAAGCAGTAAATGAATAAAACAAACAATAAAGAATAAGACGTGGTGGAAGGACTCACTCTGTTACAGCCAGATGAGAGGAGAAAAGGAAGCGGGAACCTGGAAGTGCTTTAAAGCTCTGACCAATGTCACCAACAACGCATTGCCGCTCATACATCATAGAGTGCATTAAGGACGTCGTATAATAAAAAATCCCCTTTAATAATTAATAGCCAGCAGCAGCATCATTATTTACATATTCCACACTTTTAACCAATTATCCTTGTGCTTGGACGCTGCATTAATGTCAGGAGGATGATCTGCTCGTGCTCATGACTTTAGCCTCTCTGCTGATGTCCTCAGCTGTACCACACGTCGTCTCGTCCCCTACATTTGAAAACCAAAATAGCATTCAAAACAGCCCGTCGGGGGAGGCGGTGTGCGGTGCGATGCCGGCTGACAGGCTGAGTGCTTTCAGTCCAGCAGGGAAAACAGGCTCTACAGAAAGCATCAAAGGTCCCTCCTCACGTCCCCTGTCCCTGACCCAGGAGCCCTGAGCTCACACACAACAACAACAACACAATCTAAAGAAGGGATGGATTGGTCTACGCGCAAAGACACAAAACAATGAAGCATCTCGTCTTACATGCTGCTCTTCTTCCGAGAGGAGCTGACTGAGTCCTTCCTGTGCAGGCTGAGGGAGCCCCCCATGGCCACAGCCGACTCGCCGTTTGTCTCCGGAGGTTCACCTCTCCCTGTCCTTCAGGCAGTCCGTCTGAACAACGGAGCTTCTCATGGCGGTCGGGTCGCTACTTAGCCGGCCGGTCGGCGTTGCCTCTGCCCGTCTCTGCTGATGCTATATGGTCTAAATACTCATCACACATGAATGGCTGCCAGTCCCGCCTCCTTGCTCTGCTTCTCCTCACCCTTCAAAATCTCTCTCTCTCTATCTCACACTCTCTCACACACACACACACACACACACACACACACACACAGATTACATTCACTTAAGCCGGCAGTGCAGAGCGTGTAAAAGGAGAAAGACAGTGGTGGTGTGTGTGTGCGTGTGACAGGGATTGTTTACAGCGCACACGGTCCAGTGGGGGTTGATGTAGAGTGTGTGTGTGCGTGTGTGTGTCATGGGGGTATCTGGCAGGAGTATTGTTCAAGCTCGAAAGAGTCTTTGTCTTTGTCAGTCAGCTGAATACCAGATCTGAGATGCGGGGGGAGATGGAAGATGATGGAGGGAGAGTTGGCGGCATGAAACACATTCCCACTACCTGCTGGAGGTTTAGCAGCACAATACACACACTTACACACTGTCAGATCTCAGCTTCTTTGCATACATTCATCTACTGAGAAAACGGGCTGCATTTTGACTTCTAACCCCCAACACAAGATATGGTGCACGCTTAAAATCAGGTCAAACAACGCAGTCAGCATCACCTGGTGAAAAGGGGCTTGATGGTCTTCCGAGGTATAAACATGCGAGGAGGCCTTGAGATCTACCGGGAGGCTTTGGTGCAAAACTTCTTCCTCCCGCTGAGATGAATCACGTGACATGAATCCCTGTCCCTCATTTCTGCAAGACCTTCACGTCACATTTGACTCACAAACATTTAGCAAGCCGTGTGCCATGACTGATTGTGTGAATATGTAACTTAAGGTAGCGCAAACTTTTCAAGCGAAGATGAAGTTCAGCCGGCCTGTTGCCATTAACGGTTAAACGTTCACGCTTAAACTATTAACAATTAAAAGGTGGCCGCTAGCTCTGAACAGCAGCCTAAAGACAAATGCCGAAAACCAAAACATGACCACGAGCTCAACTTGCCTCGTGTTTGCAGTCCCGGTTTGGTGGTGAAATCTGCCACCGTGAGCGATGCGGTTTCCACGCGACCGCGCATGCGCAGTGACCAGCCAGAGCGACGACCCGCCGCCGACTGAAATGGACTTTGTGTTTATTGAGATTTATACAAATATATAAATACACGTGTTGATCGATTAAACCTACTTGCCAAGGATTCGGCTTCATGGAGACGCAGCAGCTTCACCCGCCTCCTCTGATGGAAAGCTGGTGAATTTACAAAGTATCTAGTAGCAACTAAAGCTCTGCAGTGAAAGTACTGAGGACGATGCAATCAAGTACAAAGTAGCATGTGAAGTAATGCATACACAAAAATGTGACTTGACTACAGTACTTTGTAACTTTCATGTGAAATAAGTAGTCAGAAAAGTAAGTAGCGGTACAGAACTATTATAATCACAACATACAAAAAGATTACAAAATGTATTTACTATACAGAAAGTACTTTTATAGACTGCTGGCAGTTTAATTCATGCAAATATAATATAATGATCACATATTTACATGACATCACTTGACGATTGTAGTTTTTTATTATGGCACGCAAAACATGAGGCCATATTCATAAGGTATGCACAAAAGAGAAAACTAGTTTTTTGGTTTGCATCAACTTTAACAGACGTTGTGGAGAGGAAGAGGAGCCACGGACCATCAAGATCCGTTCAACGACAGACTGAAAACGACACAGACGGCGGTGAAGTTCAAGGAAAGTGCAGCATAATAATAACTGAATAACTATTCAGTGCATTTCTGAAGGAAGACAACTGAACATGCCTATTAGGTTAGTTCATGTATTGTGCGGATGTTGCAGAGAGGGGCCAGAGCTCTGGTGGTGGAGCCGTGCTGCCTCGATAGAGAGGATGAGGAGTAATTTGAAAAAGTTCAGAGTCTCTCAACTTAGTGTAGTCTGGACCCCATGATGCAAATTCTTTTTAGGTCGTTGATATGTTGTTATTATTTCATAATATAAATTGATTTTCCTTAAAACATAATTTCTATATAGTTTATGTATCATGATCTTCTTATCAAATCCATAGGATTTCACGAGAATTATGCGCAACATTTCTGGACGAGCATCGCGTCAGGACCTGAAAATGTTGAGAGACCCTGCTCTAACAAAGCAAAGAGGGCACGCGATACAGAAAATTACTTTACATCACCTTGCTACATAGACAAACATGTGCCATTAGGCCCCTACATTATAGAAACGTTAGATACTCTACTGTATTTAAATCAATGCCATATTTTAGAATAAAGAATAGGCTGCTGATAGTAATTACAGATATGGTGTAGGAGGACTGGCACAGACGTAGGGGAGGAAAGACTGAAACTGGTCTTCAACAGTTTATAAACATACAATCTCATGCGCGCACACAAACACACACACACACTTCATTTCTGTAAAAATATCTTAATTTTGATCCCTTCTTTTAGAAACAGGTTTAGATATGATCAGAATCAAATACATGCGGCATGTGAAAGAAAAATATCACAGGAAGGGAAAGATGAACTTCCCTTTCAATGACAGCGTCAGTGCTTCATTACATCTGTGAAATGTAAAAGAACTTTACTGTTGTATTGCACAATTATAGGAGAAGCAGCGCTACGTTTCAAGTAGCCTTAAGTTTGACTAAAACTAAATATAGCTGCTCAAAGACAAAATATTAACCTCAAGAACCTAAACATTTCATAGTGAACTAAATTAAACCAGTGGACCTGCTTATTTATAAAGTTAAGGACTCGCTTTTTGCTGAGGAAGAGCTTCGTTGTTCAAGACAGTTTTGGGTTTAAAGGGTCAGAAAGAGATGCCCTGTTAAACACACTTATAGTTAATCATAACTATACAGCTACATTTCTGTTTTTTGGAGGATATTCAAAGGGCTGGAAATTACATCAAATCTTATACATTAGATATCTCTGGGACATATATACTACTATTGTCAAATGCATAGAAATACCAGCTTTGATGGCCAGTTTGTAAACTTATGTGGTAGATATTATACTTGATACGTGTTCTTTCATAAAGTACGGTGTTTGTCTGCATTTGATCATGATAATTTTTTTCATATCATTCAGGTATAGCCTGAGGCAAAATATATAAACACTAGTTGGCAAGCAAAAGTGCAAAGTTAAACAGAAATAAAGAATGACTCACGAAGACCAGCTGCGTCATGATGGGATCATGACAGTGATGTTTGGGTGGATTTGAAAGAACTGTTAGACACAAAAGCCAGTCATGCCCCGGAGGTTTAGGCACCAATAAAAAGCCGCCACTCCTTCAATTGAAGGCAAACTGTTATATCTGAACCGAGGTCACCTGACTCCAACGTCGAGGGAGGGGAGCCCGGGGCACCCAGACGGTAAGGCACCATGGAAGAAGATTGTGCGGTCTCTGGCTCTGTCAGCTGTCCTTCATTTCTTTCACCTTCGAGATAATGTCATCGCTTCAAAGCAAGTTACTGCTGTGGCTGTTCCATGGCCACACCTAGCTTGTCGTAGATCTCCTTCAGCAGCAGGAGAGCAGTGTCCTCAGATTCCCTAGTAGGCAGGGATTAGTTAAGTAAAATGGGATACAACAAAGAGAGAAAAGTCACAAACCGCTGTGGTCCGCATGTATGCAGGACTCACCAGTAACACAGATGAGACTGGATGGCAAACAAGTACTCGTTGAAGCTCTCGATAGGTTTTTCCTGAAGTACGTAGTCAATCCGTCGTCCTCCATTCAACATCCCCACTTTAATCTCAGGCTGCTCCGTCTGCTCTGCGGACCCCGAGGACTCCGCCTCGTCGCACACTCCTGCTGCAACACAGTAACAAAATATGAAGCTTTACAGGTCGGTCACAGACAACAACAAAAACATTAGCATGCAGCTATTTGTTTTGACTTAGACTTCTTGATAGAAGCAGAACATATCACATAATGGACAGGAAAGGGCGACGGTGGCGCATGGAGAAGAGAGGGTGCACCGGGAACCGCAAGGTTAGCAGTTCGAACCCCGGAACCCCGGCTGCTCCATGTCCCATGTCGAAGTCACGTGACCCCTAATTGCTCCCCGTGCTAAAATGTAAAACCATGGGTTAAAAATGCAATGTAGTCACTTTGGATAAAAGAGGCAGCTGAATGACATGTAACATGTAATAACAGGAGAGAGTCTGCCTACCTTAGATGCTGTAAGAATATACTTTAATGAAATGACAACAAAAACTGTAAAAGTTTGGTATTGTTAAGAAAACCACTGAAAATGCTTTATAAAAAAGAAAAAAAAGGTAAAACATTTTTTGATTAGCACTGAATGGATGCCAGTGAATGTATCATGGGTGTGTCAACATGTTGCCTTTGACAGGTTTTGTGTGTTTATACAGTCTATGATGGGTCCAAGTGTGAGGTTGAGTAGCTTTCAGCAACATGGGTTGGTTTTGTGATGAGTATCTGTTGGTATGTTACAAATGTATTCTTGTTTTAAGAGCGATTTAGGGATCTCAACAAAAACCTTTGCCATTCTGATGAACTGTGAACTCTGGATGCTTGTTTATCACATTTTTTAAGTATTTCCTTTGCATTTACTGCCTTGTAATTCAAAAAAAAAAAAAAAACACTTTCTCTCAAGTGACAATGTCCCGCGAACACTATGTACCATGTTACAATATTGTAAAGTGGTGTGTTTGGGATCTTAAACCACTACACAGCAGTGGGAGGGTGTAAAATAAAAGTCCTTGTTCACGAGAATGCTCCCCGGGCCAGTTCCTCTAGCAGTCTGCGTTGTTATCAAAGCAGTCGAAGGACAGTAGGGCCCAAAAGCAGCATTACTCGTACGAGTTGAAGATAAGATGTGTAGCAGTAGCGGTGCAGTTAGGCACAGAAGAAGGAAGAGGGAAGAGCAGGGCAGCAGGAAGAGCCTGCAGAATTAACAATATGCTCTACATAACATTTTATCTTTGAGAGGGAGCTGATAAGACAAAGTAAACGCCATACCAGTACGTACCAGTATGTTTTTTTTAACTATAAATTCCTTCCGTATTTCAGCAGTTTTAACCATCAAACCGTTAATGAAAGTTTTTTGTTCGGCCTCTTTTGCGCTTTATTCAAACAAGTTAAATGTAACACAAGAATGTGTAACATAGGCTTGTGTTTTTAAAATTATTATAAAACATATTGCAGCCAAGTTACCACCCTGGCTTACCTTGGAAGTAACGTTTATGAAGGGCCCTGGGCCACTCCATTATTTTAGTCCAAAAATTAGCACTTTTCTCTTCTCTCTTAGCAGAAGAAGTAACTGCTGCCGAGGCTGATGTTCAAAAGACAAAATGGTAAAAGGGCAGGGAACCAGGAGCAACCGCCAGATAGAGTATAAGAGGGGGCAGCATGCAGAGAGGGGGGAGAGGAGACTGGGTTAGACACTTTGGCACACATACACCAACAAAATCACAAATGTGAATAAAAGTGTTTTTTCTACCCTGGGTTTCATGAAGGTCTCGCTCTGTTGTAGCGTTTCCTTCATCCACCGGAGGTAGTGCAGCCACCGGTATCCTGGAAAAGGACTGCCATGCCGTCCTTAACGATCCCAAAACATTGTTCTTCAAATCCATGCTCATACGGGTAAAGCTATCCTTTAGTTCTATTAGACAGAGAGACAAAGAGATCATCATTAAGTCTACGACACAAAAGCCCTCGCGACAATATCTTTGCATAGAGACAAAGTGAAAGACAGCCATACCCAGGTGCATTCTCTTTCGGCCTTTATGGTGAGGGATCAGCATGGGCTCCAGATCCACGTCAGTTACAATCATGGGCTCTAACCGATAGGCCACGGGGTCATACTGCACAGAAATAAAGGGGACGAATTGACCGTAATAAATTAATCCAAAAAGTGGGACAATTATTCTCATGATTGTGTTGATTTATTGCTGCAGAAACATCTGGGGGAGGATGTGTGGGTGTGTGTCTGTGCAGACAGGATTGATCAATGCATGTGTGCGTGAAGTTACCTCCTGTTCTTTTTTGCAAATAAAAGCCGGTGCAGGCCGTGTGCCTGAATGATAAATTAAGATACATTAAATATGTGATTACTCACGGGATGGTAGATGTTATAAAAGCTCTTGCAGGTCGGGAAGCTGTAGTTGGGATCAATTTGTTTGAGCCCACGAACAGTCAGGAACATTCCAATAGGAGAACCAAAAGCGAAAAATGTTTGAGGGTGAAAAGCCAGCTGCGGGTAATCAATGGATACCTGTGGAGGGAGGATGGGGTTTGTTGAAACTTGTTTAAATGTTAGATGAAGAGGGATGACACAATTCCTCTGGTGCACAACCACGTTCACATTTAAACTACATGTTATGACATTAAGACAACAGTCAGGGAGTGTGACAGCAAGTAAATGGCTCGGACCATTCATGCAGGACGTGATGACCACAGACACACTGTGATATTGGGTTGCACGTGTCAATGGAATAAAGATGGTGCCTTCAATCATCTTGGCATAATGTGACTTTGCAATGGAAACCATATCGCCCATAGAATAATCACTATAATTCAAGTCTCCTTGACTTCTTCCTGAACAGACCAGACTGTATGTGAAAAGAGCCCCCAGGCACTGAGAGATCAGAGAGACCTAAGAACAAAGCCTGAGAGCATGGGGACACTACGTGAGACACACCTGTCCCTTGGCTATGCCTCCATTGGTCTGTCCAGGCAAGCAGGAGGAGGAGAGAAGCAGTAAGGTGATGCATTAAAGCTTTTCATCAACTAGTGCTCCCAAGCACAACTGCTTATGTCTGTGACCACGTATGGTACCTGTCCGATGCCGACGTCAAAGTACTCGTAGTCTACGGCACTGGTGACGGACTGCGCCCTGTGGAACTGGGACTGCTGCATTGTAAATCCTGTAGACTGGTTCCCATCAGAGTTGCTGGTCATTTGAGGTGGAGCTTGCAACCCTTCTGGCAGATGTACTGCCCCCGTCTTAAAAGCCTATCCAGATTGAAAGAAATAATAAGTAATTCAAATAATATCTGAACTGTAGCCACTTTATATAGCTACTCGCTACACCGGACCCAAGAAACTGATTTTTTTTTTAAGCATTGTAATGTTACAAAACCAGAATGCTCAGTAACGTTTCAGGCTGACCTGTGAAAGACATTTCTTCTGAACGTAGTCTAGGATTTTCTTCCGAGGTCCAAGAGGAATTCCTAAATCTTTGAGATCCCCATCTTGGCAAAGAGCCTAAAAGAAAAGATCAATAATTTTATTTTTACGTATCAAACGTAATTAAATGAAATACCACCAATGCAGGTTTTGCATATATTAAGTTTTTTTTTTTAAAGATAATCTTAAAATAGAAATAGTCTGGGATTAAGGTTACATGGAATCTTCAGAATTTCTTCTATCTGATACCACTGACTTAGTTCTTGTAATTCTAAAGCGTTAAAATAGGTTTTACAAGTGACAGACAAAAGAATTGAGTAGCCGGTAATAATAGGTACGTTGCCACAGTGGCAGGGAGGAACAAAAACGGATTTCAGACCCTGATAACAAGTTTGCATGCTCATTTATGTTTCGTTTATGTTTATTACCAGTGACTCCAGGTCTACGTTTTCAGCCTGAAGAGTATCCAGGTACTGCTGTAGGCCAAGTCTGCTCAAAGTCTGCTGCAGTGTGTCACCGTTCAGATCTAAGGGCTCCCCACAGGGCACCTAGAGCACAGCCGGGGGGAGAAATGGAAGAAAGATACACAAATGCTAGAAAATGTATCTGTACGCTGGAGATACCTTTTACTATGAATGCCAACTTACAGCCTCTTTGGCCTTTCTGGATCCATTCCTCTGATTGGTTAGCAGATCAAACAGGATAAGCGAACCTGAAAAACAAGAGTTGATAAAAGAAAAAGGTTGAATCCAGCACGTTAATGACTTGTGACTGAGTGTGGATCTTTTCTTGTGCATGTCTTACCCAAGCTGTGGCCCACTACAGAAACAGCCCCATTGAAGTCCGAGTGCCTCTTCCTAAAGAGGGTGTGGAGCATGTTGATCTCTGAGGCCACCGTGTCCACTATGGTCTGGCAGTAGGTGGGACTGTTATAGAAAAACAGATCCAGCAGAGTGTCGTTGGTGAAATGTCTCAGCCTGCTGATGCTGGGTAGAGTTATCCTCTGGATGTCCCTGGAGTGGGGGAGGGGAGGGAAGACAGGACAAATCTTCTGCAAATACAGGAGACAAACAACGTAGTATTGTACAAAAGCAGGATGGTGTTTAGTTTGCTCTGTGTGGGTCTCTCTCTACTTACTCGTCCACACCAGTGGCGTCCCCGTGCAGAGCGCTGTGCCAGTTGACTGGGAGGAACTCCACTCGACCTATCAGGCCATCCTGCTCAGCGCGCTTATAATGAGAGGTCAGGAGGGACAGTGAAGCACTCCTGAAGTCATTTACTGGAGAGACAAGAAGGAAAAGAGTCTTACAAACACACAAATGTATAGATCCCAACACGCACACACATACACAACAACTTCACTTACCGCACTGTATGATGGATCTGAAGCGCAGGTCGCATGCAGGGCCGATGCCATGGACCATAAAGACGAGGTGGTCCACCTTCTCTGGTTCCCCTGAGAAAAACACACAGAAATATTCTAAACTGTGACATGTATTCTAGTGTATTTTTTACTAGTACACACACACATACCATCAGGTATTTCTACAGGGATATTGTTCACTCCCCTCTTGACCGTTCCAGGACGTGTCTGCTCACTGGGGGAGGAGACCCACTCATCCTGCAATCCTATTGGCTGATACTGCATCATGAGCTGAGAGGAACATGATAATAAAAGAGAAGTTAAATCAAAAAAGAACAATGGAACTCATTTGAAATAAACTAGTCATTGTGTAACTTTGTAATTTATTTGAATATAGTGCACACAGTAATGTATTTTAAAAACCTTGGGATTGTGTAAGATGACAGTCTCTCCATTGGGAAACTCCAGTTTTCTTTTCCATTCATTCAAGGTCACTGATATCATAAAGGCCTCCTAAAAAAATGGAAGGAGGAGATGGGAAGGAATCCAAGGAAACCAGATAGGAACAACGATTGTGAGGAACAGGCCACGTTTAGGGGGAGAATAAAGTCAGAAGTTTCAGCAATGAGCAGTGTGATGGTGACGGACTACCTCCAGTCGCTTGCTGAAGTCCTCAGGATAAGGCATGAACCTGGTGTCTTTGTTTCCTTTATAGAACCAGGTACAGCGGCGTACTTCAGTGGGGCCTTGCTCCCAGTACACAGCGTAGCGCTTCCTATCCTTGACATGTACGTCATACCGCTCTCCCTCCACGGCTATCACCACCTCATCCTCCTGGTCTCCCACTGCACAGTACAGGCATGAGGGGAATGCGTAGCATTGTAAATGAACAGTAAATACATTACCTCATGCAAAACAATTACACACAACAAAGTATATAGACTTGCTTACCAGCGTGGCTGGCATTCTCTAGTTTGTCAGAGTCTTTTCTGCTGAAAGGAAGCCAGGAGGCGTTGTCATCGGCCCGTCGACAGAAGAACCAGTGAGGCTGCACTTCTTGGTAAGGGGCGGGGCCCGACTCCATGTCGATCATCTCAAAGGAGGAGGTGGAAGAAGGAGAGGCCTCGTCCACTGTCGGCGGCACCTGGAGAAAAATGAGGTTCAATCAATATGTTGTCTTCTTCTTGTCAGCAGGATTGATGACTCTGTAGCTCCTAGAATGAGTAATCGCATGAGTAAAGACGTCCGAGCGTAGTCCACGTCCTTCTTCTGAGCTCCTGTTGCGGAACTTGAGACAACGAGACAAAGAACAATTTGACAGGAAAGGATCGCCCCCTCCCCCCTTGGCCATCTGCACAAAGCCCTGTTTCATTCTTTCCCTCTCTACGTTACGGGTTGACACAACAACAAACACCCACAGAAGACAGAACTGCCACGGCAGCAATCACATTTGCAGTGAAATATGCTCATGGTAGGTGTCGGTAGAAGACTTTTAGAACCAGAGCAAACTTGCACAACATCCACAGCAATGACAACACTTTATGTGAAAGTGCAGATAAAGGTTTCTGGTGAAGAGTTCATCAGAGGGAAGTCCTGTGGGAAATAACTTTGTGTCTTGGGTGGTTTTAGTACATTTAGAGTAAACTGAATGGACCAACTTTACTAAAAATAAATAATAGAATTTGAGGTTGTCAACTTATTCTTTTTCACAAGCATGTCAAGTAGGATTTCCCCCAATCTTCGATTGGTTTAATAAAACATGAGTTGGAAGCGAGTTACAATGTGTCCTATAGCTGCAGTTTGTTGCAACACGAAGCTGAAAATCTAGAGTTGCACTTTTTCCATTTGAAAAGAGTGTCTAACACAACTTGCATTCCCTTGAATCTGTACACGGTGTCACTATATTTGCCTCAGTCAGAATTTCACTGATCACAGCTCGAGCTAGTCCAGGACTGAATAGAAGAAACCACATTAAATCTACTTCAGACAACAACTAGGTCCCAAGTAACCTTCGAACCACTTGCGGATGATCTGTGAGGAATGACGATATGACTGAAAATAATCTTTAATATAGCTGATAAGATATTGACTGTGTACTGCAGCTCAGCTTTGTTAACTACAGCACCGTAGATTCCAAAATTAGTTTTCAGACAACCGACATCATTGATTCCGTGTCAATTTCACCAATAGTTTTTGCACGATAAACATTTCTTAACCACAAGTAACCTAAACCCCAATCGTGGCGCAGAAACAGACTTAGACAGAGTTAAACGCATATGCAAACACCATCCACCTCACCTGATCCCGAGGTGTTGCCACAGACTGAGTGGGGTTGTCCAGAAGTTCTCGGGTGTTGGGGACATTTGGGGCAGCCTGGGAGAGACCCCCCTCTTCACTAGAACTGTGTGACATTAGCCCAAGACCTGACCCCTGACCCCGAACCTCTTAAGCTGGGGGCGGGGCACAGGCACACAAACACAGCACCTGTAACACAAGAAATGAGACGTTTTAAAACACCATCATAACTAATAACGTGACATAACACCTTGTTCGCCTGTCAACCTGGTAAGTGATCATTCATGTACAGTTGGGTAACAGTTAACGCGGAGTTCTTTACCCTGTCTTGGGAAAAAAAGAATGCTAACGGACGTTGCTCGTTATATTTTTGTATGTTTGTATTTAAAACAAATGACGTTGCATCCAAGAGGCCAACTTGACGTCAACATCGGTCGAGCTTCATGCTAGCTACGTTAGCCGAGTTAGGGTAAGCTAACCAGGTTTCCGTCTTCACACTCTGTTGGTGTTTCTAACGTTTTAGCACTAACGCAGTAACACACAACGGTGGACACAAAACTCACCGACTTGACACACAGCGAGCGCACAGGGCTCGTGTTTGTCTGTTAGCTCGGGGAGTCCAGCTCTGCTCGCCAAGGACAGACTCCTGTCAAACGCTCAGTGGCTTCAGGGCTTTTGGAAATATGAGCATTACGAGCCTTGGCTCCGTTAAACAACAAAATGATGACGGATAAATAAAAGTGTGAATGTGCGATGAAAGTTTTATTTGGAGCCGAGTTTTCAAAATGTGAGGATTAGACAGTGATATACGTTATATTGAAGGAATGTAACTAATACATTGACGCGCCCCGCCCGCCCCCCCCCCCCAAAAAAAGGACAAGTATTCCGCTTTAACACAGTAGTTGGATACATGTAAATCAAAGAGTTTACGAAAACATCATTTTTTGTGCAAAATAACCAAATCTTCCTACGCAATAATCAAATTTACCAGGAACACGTGAAGGCAACATCAGACAACACAGCACAACCAGGCCGCCGCCCCCAAATACGAAGCTGACGTCACGGATTTTTTTAATGATTTTGATTATTGTATTTATTTTGTCATGACAACACGGGAAAGTGTGTACGTATGGAATGCCGTTTTAGTCAAAATGAAATGAATGAATAAATACGTAAATACATGAAATTGAGACATTTGAAATACATCATGAAATAAATAAATGAGGCAATAAATACAGAAATATTAAATACATTTAATTATTTCATGGTACTTTTATTTCATGATGCCACTTTTCATTTCCAGAGTCTTTTATTTCATAATGCCACTTTTCATTTCCAGAGTCTTTTATTTCATAATGCCGTTTTTCATTTCCAGAGACTTATTTCATAATGCCGTTTTACATTTCACCTTCTTATATGCAAATCAGGGGGCGTGGCTACATCTAACATTCAGAACAGACAACTGAGCCGTGTGCAAAAGAAGGCTGGCTAAGGGACGTGAGTGTTGATATAATGGAAGACATCGGTGGGCTCCGAGGTAGCATGCTAGCATTACCAGATCAAATCGATCAACATGGGTTTTCTGCAGATACGATTTTGACACATATTGAGGGTTTTTTGGAAATACTAGGGCGGATAAGTGCTCTTCAAGATGTATACATAGACGACGAAGTTTTAAATTGTTTAAGACTGATTGAGCACCGCGTGCGTGTGGAAGAGGTCCAAGTTGAAGAAGTCAACATTAGCGCTGGTACTACAAGCACAGGTGCTGGACGCCCGCCTCTGGACACGGACTCTTTTGCACACGGATCTGTTGTCTGTTCTGAACGTTAGATGTAGCCACGCCCCCTGATTTGCATATAAGAACGTGAAACGTAAAACGGCATTATGAAATAAGTCTCTGGAAATGAAAAGTGGCATTATGAAATAAAGGTACCATGAAATAATTAAATGTGTTTCATATTTATGTATTTATTGCCTCAGTTATTTATTTCATGATGTATTTTAAATGTCTCAATTTCATGTATTTACGTATTTATTCATTTATTTAATTTTGACTAAAACGGCATTCCATATGTACGTAATCCACGTACTTGACGGTAAATGACGTCTGTATATAACTTTTCAACAAATCAATATGTTTTTAGTGTGCAGGAGATAACTCCAAATGTATCATTTTTGTTACCAATTATATATCGGATTTTATGCAGGTGATGGTCCATAACAAGGATTTTGAATAGCAAGTTTTTTACGTTGCAGTTTCATGTTTTCCAAGACTTGGTGGTGAATAGTCAGCTGAGAATCCTAGAACTTAGTGTCAATCAACACAAAGTATCATTCCTGCAGATCACCTGCTCAGCCTGTCGCAGGAATGCTAATGATTGCTTTGAACTGAGATATGGCCAGATATGTGTGACATTTCACAATGCAGGTCTCTACAACCGCATCCAGAGAGATCGACGCACCCATTTGTGGATTTTCTGCTGTACCACAGAAAAGGATGCACGAATAAGCAACCCCTTGCTTTTGGATTAAAGTGAAGTCTGCGGTGAAAGGTCCCTCGGTTTCAATGAAACCACGCATACATAAATGCACTGAATGAATCTGAACGACATGTTTTACACGAGACACCTTTTGTCAAATAGTGCTGTGGTTTTACGGACACACCCAGTCCGACCGAGTGTGAGAGGCATGTAGAGCAATGGGCCCCGTGTGGAGCAATAAGAGGGTGTGGCTTTTGTTAGTCAGAGGGAACAGATAAGCTTGAACGAGTTTGCCTCGCGGAGAGACGCAGGATTCACAGCCCTGAGCAGACAAGCAGCCATTTACTTTCACTCAGCGTAACACTCCTGTCGGGTTCTGCTCCCTCGCGCTCGCCTTCTCGCCTCCTCGCGCTCTCCTTCGGCCCCCTTGAAGCGAGACTTTGAAGCGGCGCAGAGGAGGAAAAAAACAAAAAGCTTAGGGAAAACTACAACGTGTAGCCATGAAGGACAAAGTGAGGAGAGGAGGGAGAAACCCGTCCAAGGCTGGTGAGAAAACCCTGCAATGTGGTTGTTGTTTTTTATTATCTGACTATGTCGCTCTTGTTGCTGCGCGTTATGCTTCCTTCTCTCTGCTTTTTTCCTCTGGTGCCTCCCCCGCTGGAGAATGCGAGGAAGGTGGGAGATTTTGCACTGCACCGCTGCCCTGAACATGGCTGGTGCTTTTCTTTTAGCAACTTTTCAATCTGCTCCGCCCTTTAGAAGTTGTATAGTAGATGCATTCGCACGCACCAATGCTAAAGTCCACGAGAAATCACTCACACAAACTCCATGTTCTCACTCATGACCATTTAAGGAAAAAACACTCACACACACACACACATTAGCTTGTATAACAATGCCAGTACACAACTTTTTATCCTATTTTGCAGCCATCTTATTTATTATTATTTTAATAAAGTCTTCAGGTGGAATTGCCTCGAGCCCTTTAATCTTCGGCCGCAGTAGCATTGACAGGATAACTGAATTTAAAATGAATATATTTCCAATAGAATAGAAATTCTGACACATGTTTTTCAGCATCTTCCCAGATAGATAGAGAATATGCACAGGAGCCGGCCCTTACTTATGTCGCTTGGAATAATTTGACGTAGCCTCTTTGAAAGATGATATTCTATGAACTATTAAAGATGTAATGATTACAATATAATTGGTTGCTACATAACCCATTTTCTGAAAATAGATGTATTCATTTTTTCACTAAAAAGTGGTTCAATCTGCCTGGCAAAGTGTGCCACAGACCCCCAACCCTACTTTTAAAATCAGTTACAGTTACACGGTCAAATTTAACCTCAGAAAGAACTGCCAATGCAATCTTGGGATTGCTTCGGTTGTAGAAAGGCAGCCATCCCAAAAGTAAAGAAGCTAATCCAATCCTGCAGAGAGGAGGAACCTTCTTTCAGCCAATCGTGAACAGAGAAGCTATTTTCTGGCTGCTTTCCAGTGGGAAAGCAGTCCCAAATTGACAGCAAGATCTGGAGATTTTTGGTAAAAGAAATGACAGTGACTTCATAGATAAGTGCAAAAAGAAGGTTCCCCTTTGCTGTGCACACGCCGGAGGTGTTGTGTGTACAGTATGTGCAGGGATCCGTGAATGCAACTTGCTCTACTGCTCGGCTTAAGGTTCGGTATTTGTTCTTCAGCATTCTTCTCTCTCTCCTTATGTGGGTGTGGTTGTCCCATTACCCAGAGATGACACGAAGCCCAATAGGCAAAAACAACAGGTTTATTCACACCATAGGTTGGGCCACATGCTTGGACTCGCCCTCCTTCTGGTTCAATGTGTGTGTAAAAAGGGAAGACACACCCCACTTTTCCTTCCTCTGACAGTTACTTGCATTCATTTGCTCTCACCCGTAGGCCGTCTCGCTCACTCGCTCTCCACCCAGCTCATGATAGTTGATAGTAGACAAGAGAAGATTAGCTTTCTTGTCTGATTCTTATCAAGAAACTATTCTCATTTATGTATGCTTTTCTGCAGTCACGCAGGTTTAAAGCTTTTCCCAGCGGGAACTATGCCAGCTTCTAATGAGCAGAAGACCGAAAAACAAACTAAACTATTTGCTTGTCCAATGCAGAGGTTTGTGGTTGTCCTCAATTAGTTTTGTTTCTTCTTTGAACAGACGTCACAAGCCTAGTTAGTGGAAAGGAGGCTGTTGGTAATAAGCAACACGAGGACTCGTCGTTCCCTGTGAGGATCCAGGGAGCCGGAGTAGAGCCATTTGAGCTACAGGTACAAAGATGTTTTTCTCTCTGCTCCGTTAGCAAAACCTTGTATTGCAGAAGCTATTTGAATAGAGAACAGACGGTTTAATAATCTCTGTTTTGTCATCACTTGCTGTGTTAAATCATGTGTCTTTGTAGGTCCGGGGATTTTGGCTTGTTCAAGATGCAGTAATGACTCTGCTTTTGAGGGATGACGTTTTTCCACGTTCCAACTTGTCGCTGGCACTTGCTGGAACGCCTTTGGACCCGCTGGCCGAACTGCAAAGCCTTAAGGGGCTTAAACCAGGAGCCGTCCTGCGCCTGGTGGAAGGTGTGTTTCGAACCTTCTCTCTCTCTCAATCTAAATGTTAAACATGCTTTTCCTTAATGACTCAGATGTGCTTTATTTTGCATGAACTTAATATATATATAATAATATAATTAAAATCTCCAAAAGTTGTTGTGTGGTCTTTGAACCATATGGTTTAAATTATCTTACATGTCCAAGTGTGATTCTACGTAGCTCGCATCATTTACGTATCTTGTAATAACGGATCATAGACTGGAATGGAATAATTCAGTCCATATTTTAATCACACCCATCACCCTTTCTATTTCACACACACTGAAGTCTCTCACCTCATTGTAAATAGCTGACTCACCTTTTTCTTAGTCATCATAACAAGGTTTGTAGTTGCAGGGGTAACAAGTGTGTGCCAACCAATTATTTAGTTTCCTACCAGCTAGCTGTTAAAATCCTGAAACAAACTATTTTGCAGCCAGTCTGTTACTATGTGCGGAATGTGTCCTGTCAGACTTTGGTACGAGAATGCATCATTGTGCTATTAAAAATGTGAAAATACAAAATATATATGAACATCCTTAAAATGAATGTTGCGCCGATCATCACATCCCAGTGTAGAGTGTTTGTCCTGAGCATCCACAGTATCACGAAGGCCACGTGCAATCTCTAAAACACAGCCAAATGTCTTTGCAGAACCCTACACCGCCCACTCAGCCAGACTCCATCTGGCCCGTGTGCTCGAGCTGCTGAGAGCATCTGGACCTCAGGATGCGCTGAGAGAAGGACGCTCACCAAGCATACTGGAGACACTCACACAAACACCAGGTACACACACGGTACACTTAGACAAAAGGGCAATCCGAGATACTCAATTGACAAACAAGCTCAGACTGAAATGTTTTTCTTTGATACGTGTGCAGATTCCAACGTACCAAATGGAAAGGGCCTGAAACGCTCTTTGAGCAACACAAAAACGGAAACAAGCAAACCCGATGGAGCTCCCCCTGAGTACCTGCTCCCTGGTTCCTCAGAGAGGCCCCTCATGGCCCTGCTACCACACAGCTCCCAACCAGAGGTTCGTGATCAACGGGAATCGTGTTTCACACCAGGCCGGGCCTCATGTAAACAGACGCATTGACTCTCTGTGGCCTTCTTTCTGTCTCGTCAGTCCCCCAGCTACCTGAGAGACTTGTGTCTCAGCTGTTGGAACCCGGCGCCAGGACACAGGAAGCTGCAGGGAGACTTCCTGTACATCACTGTGGTGACAATGGAGGGCCGACGGTGTGAAATCACATCCTTTCCTAAAGGGTTCTTCCTCAATAGGTAAAGATATTTGTATTTCCTGTTATGGTTGCAATGAAAAATGTTTTCGAAAAGGAAGTGATAGGTCTTTGTTAATATTTTATTTTATTATTTTCTCTTCCCCCTTCTTCATCTCAGATCTACTGAAGAAGTGTTTGATCCTCGTCCAGCGCAGTCTTCCCCAGTCTGTCACAACTTCACCGACCTGCTGTGTCACATCAGCCCGGCCTTCAAACAAACTTTGACCACGCTCAAGAATCGGTACCATCACTACCTCACCATTAAAGAATCCAGAAACAGTGGGATTTCAAGTTAAATTTCTTAAAAACGATCATAGTAACTGACGTAAACATGGCTTCCCTCAGGTCCCAGTTACCTCCAGTGGAACTGATGCCTACTCCTTACCACACCCTGAGCTGGCTCGGGCCCCCCTGCGCCTCTCGCTCCCATAAAAACAACTTCAGCCGACTGGGAGTGGATGAACAGCCTCCAACACAGGTTATTTACAACACAGCGTGATTTTTTTATTTTTTTATTTGATGATATCTATTTGTGATATCTATATTTACTGAGTAGCGTGCTGTTGGCGGGGATGATAATGTGTAACTGTGCGTAATGTCTGTGTAGGCTCCAGACTGGAATGAGGAGTTGCAAGCTGCCAGAGATCTTCCACAGGGCAGCGTGGAGGAAAGGCTTCAAAGGGACAGGGCTCTGCTCCAGGTAACCAAGAAGAACCGGTCTCACGTAGCAGGACTTGCATCACACGATGATGACTTCATTTGCACTTTTGTCTCTTTTTGTTCAGGTAAACGGTGCATTTGTTAGGGCGGTCATGCGGGGGGCAGAAACTGTTGTAGATGGCTTTGCGGAGCCTGTGAATGGAAATCCGGATGACCCAGCGTTCCTGTGGGGCGGCCTGTTCATGAGCCACGGGGCAGCAAGTGCCCTCTTTGGAGGGGACAGAGGTCGCAGGTGAGAGCAAACTACCCGTTTTATGATACCGTTGGTTCTCAACTGTGTACGTTGTCATATGGAGGCAAGGATCGAAGGAGCTCCTGTTTCACGTTCAGAACAACGTGGATTTTCTCACTTATTACTGATCAAACGTTGCCTCATCTTCTACTCGCAGGACTGCTCAGAGGCTGGAGCTTAAAGGAGTACAGGCCTACTGTGACATTGAAGGGTTGCAGGGGCTGCACACTCTTCCTACAGCCATCGTAGACTACAGAGGATTGCGTCTGTCTGCTCAGGGTCTGGCCCCTGGTTTGGAGGCCTCAGAACAGGACCAGGAAACCACTCCTGCCTCAAGGTAGTCGACCCCACGTGCAACAACCCACCGTGATGCGGACGTATGTGTGTTTTTAATCTGCTCATTTTTATCCTTTGCAGAGGCTTGCTGTACGGAGTGACTGCTGGACCCCAAGAGTCCCCTCATCGCAGACGGCTCCTAGAGCGCTTGGCTCATGCAGCCAAATGTCTCTCTCTCCAGAGACATGTTGTCGTGGGGCCCAACGATCACAAAGTACCACTGTTCACCTCAGTGGACGCTCAGGGATTGTTGGGCGCTGATGGCAGGTTCTACATACTGGATGTGTTCAGAACCTTCCCGGCTGATGCCAACTTCTGTCCAGAAATGGAGACAGAAAGCCAGACGGTCCCTGAAGAAGAGGAGAGTAAATCAAGCGGTGGGGAGGAAAAGGAGAAGGAGGGCTGTTTAAAAGAAGGTTGGCCAGAGAATTATCACTCAGCCTCCGGGCTTCCAAGGAGCTTTTCCCACAGACTCTGTCGACTGAGGCCAGAGCTGGTGCAGGCCTTCATCCAGCACAAGTGAGCTCTACATGCAATGTAAACAATTTGAACTCAGTTTTAAAAAGGTTTTCCATCAAGTTGAAGTTTCGTTTCTTTTCTTTGTCAAGACATTGCCAGTTCACTCAGTGTGTCAGGGAGACGTTGGACGCAAATGGAGGCTTTGAAGAATGTGCAACAGCTTGTAAGACATGTTTTTTGTAGATACCTAACTAACATGCTACATTAACACCACGCCCATTATATATTTTGTATTTACATGACGCGTTTTCATATACTTGCAGGTGATTCTCGAGCCACTGAGGCAGTCCGAGTTGCTTGTAAAGAAGTGGGCTCAATCAGCGACATCATCTTTGAGATGCGCTTCAACCCAAGCGTATTCTCTCCAGGTACCGCGAGGAACAACATACCGCACAAAGTCCTATCTTGGGCTCGAACACAATATGGAATTCGTCTTGTGTATTTTGTTTAGAAGTATCCTTCCCTCCTGGAGAAAGTAAGTCACTGAAGCTGCAGGAGAGGTTATTGAGGGAAGCCGCTGCTTTCATCGTCACACATCAGATACCAGACTTTGTGAGTGTTTACACACGGTTCTACAATATGCACACACACACACACACACATAGACAGCCAACATGCCAACACCTCACCATTTGTCTGTGTGTGTGTCTGTGTGTATGCAGCTGGAGTTTTGTCGACAAAGCAATGAGGCGCCAATGGATGGAGTCTCTCTAAAACAGGCGCTACACCAAAGAGGCATCAACCTGAGATATCTGGGCCATGTAATCACGACCATCAGCCAATCACAACACAAGGAGTGCCTGAGGCATATAATGGTGTGTTTGATTCATTAAATAGTTCAAATTAGTCTTGAGGATGCAATTGCTCTTGTAACAACTTTTCTTCTTAAACAGAGGTTGGTCATAGCGGAAATCTTCACTCGCTCAACCAGAAGAGTGTTCAACAGTTTCCTCCAGGTACTTGACTGCATTCTGCACACAGCGTTCCTCCGTTCTCCAGGTGTGTGCAGCAGAAGGACTGAACTGCAGCCTCGGATCAATGTCTTTGCAGGGGGTGGACGTGCCGAGTCTCTCTGCAGCTGTCAGTCATTTCCTGTGCTGCCTGCTGGTGCCACACTTCACGCCCGCGCCCGCGAGCGATGAGACCAAAAAGAAGTCCAGGCGACGTGGCCGAGGGGCCGGGGCGTCTGAAAGCACGCCCTGGAGCATGCTCGCGGGGGCCGAGCTGTGGAACCTGGTCTGCCAGGATGCCGCTGAAACGTATCACATCTCTGACATCCTCGGGTGAGGACAAAGCCTTTGTGTGTTTTCTCCTCCATGTCTTTGTTAGTTACACGATGGCTCAGAGTCAGTGTTACAATAACTTTGAATTTCTATTTGAGATAGCTCTGGTCCAAACCACCTGGTGGAGCACTACGGCCTTCAGAAGCTCTCCCTGCTCAGAGAGTTCTGTTTAAAGACTGGAGTACAGGTAACAGACATCTGCCACAACTGAAACACACGCACATTAATAATGTCTACATCAGATGTAGACGCTCAGTTCCAGAGAATTTGTATAATTAAAGGGGAATTTCTAATTCCTGTGTCTTCACCAGTTGAGACTGAGAGACTACAGCCTTGACAACCAAAATAAAGCTCCCATTGGGCCGGACGACATCCTCAACCTCTTCCCAGTTGTCAAGCATGTTCACATGCCCACCGTGGATGCTTCTAAAGCCTATCGAACCGCACAGAACTTCCTTCAGAAAGGTAAGTCAATGAAGCCGATTGATTTATTCATGTATCTGAAATCATTGTGCTCCATGCGTGTTTTAGAACAAAATAGAAAATAAAAGGTGCAACGTTTTTTGTGTGCTCCCCAACCGCAGGTCTGCTGGATCAGGCCCATGAACACCTCAAAGAAGCAACCTACTTGTTTGGTCGGGTGTGTGATGACCTGCACATTGAGGCCTGTTATTGCCACAGTCTGTTGGCCAAGGTGTCCTTTAAGCAGGGCAAGGCAGCCGAGGTAGGATCACTGCGCCACAACTGGATACAGCCGCATTCACACATTTTGGCAGCGACGTAAAGCAACTGATAAAAAGGCCGAACGGTCTGTGTGTCAGTTCCGTACGGTAACAAAGTGATTGTAATTATCCATGAAGCAATAATAATTAATTAATGTTAACGCGTTGACTTCCTGTGCTCTCAAGGCTCGCAGTGTCCAGTTGAAAGCAGTGGTCATCAGTGAGAGAGTGCTTGGCTTCGACCATCCAAACACTATCCACCAATATGTGAGTACAGCTACACACTTTTTTTCCACAGGTACCACTATTGAAAATAGAACCGGGGGTGACTTTGCGATAGATCAGTACTGCACCACGTGGGTTCACTAGTGCACCTTTCTGTACGGGTTTCATGCCATATGAGTGTGATTATTATTATGTTGTTGTTACGTGCAGGCTCTCTTGGGTGTGTATGCGTTTGCTGGGGGGGAGACTGCCTTGGCCCAGAAGTGTCTCCTCAGAGCTCGTCTGCTAATGCTAACAGTCCACGGAGAGGACCATCCCTACACCGCAACACTGGATGTAGGTTACAACAAGCGCCAACAAAAACATCTTTATAAAACATTTTTACTTTTTCAACAAAGGCCGCCCTCTGTTTGTTTTCTCCCAGAGCTGCCTCGGGCTGGTGCTGAGCGGAGATCAGAGAGGGAAGTTCTTAATGAACGCCCTCAGGCTCAACACCTCCTTCTTCGGCCCTGCACATCTACTCACCGCTCTCAAGTACGACGCCTTTTACAGAACCCATGTCTTAAAAATGAAGGTAATCTATGTTGTCCCTGTCCGCTCTCTAATGCCTGCTTGGTTTCTTGTCCGTGCAGTCAGCAGCTGTTGGCCCAGTGGATGTGCAGCAAGGGAGACTACAGGAGCGCTATGAGCCACGAGAAAGAGGCCCTCGCCGCTTTTACCTCCATGGTCAGTATATTAGCGTGTGAGAGCAGCACCTGAGGAAGATTGGTTGCTTACGGGGTTTTTTCTCTCTCAAGTTTGGAGAGGACCATCCTCAGTCCCGCAGCAGCAAAGAGTTTCTGTGCACTATAACCAAGGAAGCGGTGAAGGTGGAGCGCTCTCTCAGACAGGCAGGAGCTGAGGGCGCGCAGCAGACAGTGGAGGTATGTCCAGGAGCTCACGTGGTCTCTTGGCACAGAATAAGTGGGTTTACCGACGTCCCGGTTTCTCTATCCTCAGAATCTCAGTCCCACGCGTGCCGCCATGGTGGAGCAAATGGCTCTGTTGACCGGGATCAAGAGCATCACCCACAGGTAAATATTCTCAAGTGTAAGACTTGTTGAAGCGTTGCATTGAACTGAAGCTTGAACAGTTTTAAGATGACACCAATATCCCGATCTTTAAAAATCCAAAATCGATATATTGGTTGATAGATATTTAATAGTACGTAGCATGAAGTCTGAATGACTTGATGTGCTCATCCGAACATTTGGCTTTTGAAAATAAAATTGTTAGTTTGGTCTGGTGAAGTAGGTAATAATGATACTGTTATTAATATAATCATAAATTATATGAAACATTCGATTTTTGTTAACACAAAATTGTCATTCTGCTATATTATTTTTGATACATTTTTTTTTTGTTTTGTGGAAAAATATCCAGAGTAAAGCAAATAGTGAGTACAATTCTGACATTTAAAACACTTAATGATTTATAACTTTAATCAAAATTATTTTTTTTTTAAATGAAGACCTTTTCTGTTATTTCTGTAACAAAAGTAAGAAATGTGTTTTAGACTTGCAAGAAACTACAGAGAATCGTACACTAAAATCTCAAATCATCTCTTTCAAACACAACTGAGCAACATCTCTGCACATTTCAACAGTGAGCTTCATGAATGAATTGTTTTCGTAGAGACGGGCTCCAGGAGTATAGGAAGAAACACAAAGAGCTAAAGGCGGCTGTGGCAAAAGAACTGGGATTCCCAGTGAGCGGCGAGCTCGTCGCCTCACAGACTGCGAACGGCGAAGCCAAAAGCGCAGATCAAGACGCAGGAAGCAGGAAGGACGCAGAGGACGGAGGAAGCCCAGCGGCGGAGAATTCCAACGAGGGCCAACAGGAAGAGACCTTGTCGTTAGTCAATGGTCATGTGGTGCAGCCGGCGCAAGCGAACGGGCACGGGGAGAAAACAGATGTAGGTGCAGGAGACAGCGACAGAGCAGATTCGGAGGGCAAGGCGGAGGATGGGGAATCAGAGGCCGGGGCTGCAGGGCGGGAAGCGGGGAACAGCACATCAAATGGGGTAAACAGCAACACGGTGAATGGGGAGATGAAATCGCAGTCGGTTGAAGTCAATGGTGCCACAAATGGAGCCGGTGACATCCCTGTGAGCCCGTCAGGGCTTAAGAGCAAAGGAACCTGGGCCGATGTTGTTTCAAAACCCAATGGAGGGAGAGACACGGCAGTCAGAGTAGGAGGAAAGGTCACCGCTAATGGGAGAGTTCAAGAGTGAAAATGTATCCAAACTGCTTTTTTCCCCAAGTAACTGCTGTAAGAAAAAAGCCTTCCAGGATCCCAGATAGTGAAATATAAAGCTGGCAGCAGAGAGGGATATTGAGGTTATGTGTTAAAGATGTCATTGTTGGTACTGGGAGATGGTTGTACTGCTGAGTGCTGTTTTTTTTTTTTTCCAACAATAAACTTTTTAGTCTGGTTTACCAGTTGTGTTGCTTTCTGTGTGTACATTCAACCAGTGTAGAGACACATGTAAATATTATGTGTGAAGCCATGAAGCGATCAAACCACCTGAGATCAAGTCAAGAGCGCCTCAACTGGAGAGTAAATATAAATTACTACACCTACACCATTCACAAGTAATGTTGTCTAACAATAACTTTACAAAATATACCTGAAGCGTTTTTTTTCTGTGTGTACTACAGTAAGACTGCAGTTGAAAACTATCAAAAGAAACCTCTACTTCATGCTCTGGAAAGATCAAGCCGTTTGGAAATGTAAGTTTCAGAACTGAAAAGGTGTTCTGGATATTCAGAGATGTGTGAGCTAGTAGTTCCCTGGCTTTTTTACGTGACCAGTTCATTCCCAGACGTCCTTTCTTAATTGACTCTATGCTGGCTCATTAACCTCTAAACCACCAGCGTATCTGCCGGTGATTGAGAAAAAACCCAAGAGAGAGAGATAAAACTATGACAGCCCTTTAGGTAGAACCAGTTAGACGCTAAACGGTGTTAACACAAACTACCATGAAAGTCTCGCCAGCTTTTATCCTCCTTTTGCAGCATGTCTCATTTATTTAGAGAGAATTGTTCATAAAAAAAGAAACATCAGAAAACGTGACAAAGTATCCATTTCCTCTTCATCTCCCGCATCAGCTCTGCGTTTCCCTCTGAATTATCTCTAAATCAGAGCAGTGCGTGTACTGTGGCTCAGGCAGCTCTGCCCAGGTGGATTGTGGGAGTCTTTCCAGGCCCCCGCTGGGAAAGGTGACGACCGCAGTGTCGCTGAAGACGTCGATCAGACGGGACGGACAGGGGAGCTGTCTCTCCTCACACAGAGACAGCGCCTCGGTAATGTATCTGTAGTCCCGCGTGAACTCCCTCTCTACTGTTCTGTTGGGACGACAGACAGCGAAACATCACCACTGCTCTCCTCCAATCTCTTGAGGGGTCGCCGCCCTCCGCGTCTTGTACCAACCTGTCCATCATGCCAGTGAAGCTGTTTCCGATGAGCGTCACAAGAGGAAGATGTCGCACACTCCAGTTTCTCCACAGAAGGTTGTTGTACAGGGCTTTCCCACAATGCATCAGGTAAAAGAGGGTGGGCTTGGTTGCCAGACGCTTCCCCTCCTGCACAAACACAGTGAGACGCAATGCACTGATTTCAGCCAGTAAACCCAGCGAGACAAAACTTGCTTGACGTGAGTCGTGTTAGGTTCCTTCGTTGATGTTACTCCACTCTGCAGAGCTGAGTGTGGTTACTTAACTTGACAATCTAAAAAAAAAGCAAGAGAGGCGCACAACTGACCTCATTCTCTGTGAGGACCGTCAGACCGAGCTCCCTCAGAACAGCCTTCTCTCCACGGGAGAATGCAGGATCATAAACAGAGCAGTCCTTCAGTGGAATCTAAAAAAGGAAGGAGGCGCATCTTTAAAGGAACCGGATCTCATGTAGGTATCTGGTTATCATCTCATTCCAAAGCACACGTGATCCTCTCACCTGTCCTGCATCCAGCAGGAGCAGCAACATGGCAAGCTGGAAGCGAGCCGACACAGAGGAGGAGAAGGAGCCGAGGCCATAACACACGCACTCCAGCTGTTGACATGGTCCGCCCTCGGTGTCCCCGTTCTGCAGATGTTTGGATCGGGCTGCTGATCCTGCCACTGAAGGAAGAAAGAAAGGGGACTGAGGCAGCAGCTAAACGAGATGTGTCGTAATAACGCCACTTCTCCAGGTTACTCACCTTTCCACTGTGGCCAAAAGTCCTCGCAACTCAGCTCAGACCTACCGAGTGGGAGGATAAGCAAGAATCAGCCTGTTGGAAACGTGAATAAAATACCAAGTCCATAACTGGACGTAGACGTCTTACACCGTGTCTCGTATTCGTCTGACTGTTTTCTCGATGTCCAGCTCCTCCTGGCTGCATGTGTGCGACACTTGAACGGATTTGGATTTCCGCGCTGCGCCTTTTCGCCGCTGGGCCACCTGCCACTCGGCTCCCGTATCCGACATCTGTGCTGCTTCACAGCCGCCGCGTGCGTCCATTAACAGACATGTGCGTGTTTTATATATTCATTTTATCGAAAGGTTTTAATTTAAGTGTTGTCATTGGTTGGCAAGTCATGAAGCAATGTAGGACTATTTTGAGTGTAACACACGCATATCCTGTTCCGGTGTTATGTCGATTTTTGTATACCCATATTCATCACATTAAAAGTAAAAAAGTAAATAATCGGACTGTAGATTATAAACGAGTCGTGTGTGGCACATAGCTTTCCGAAGCACTGAATCATAATTTATTAATCTAATATGTGTTTTTTCTAAAAACGGCTCACTGTTTCAAAGCTTTAAACATAAAAAGTGGCATCTGCTGGACAAACACCGTTACTGCGTGTGTACGGGATTATCTGGTGTGCTGATTCAATCGAGTCAGAACATGAGTAAAATAAAATACGTTTTCACGCATTCATATTGTAGAAACAGTGGGAATTTTTAGTTGAACCTTCTAAACAGTGTTACCTGCTTCAATTTAATTGTTAAAAAGTTGTTTATTCACCGACCATGAGTGAACAAAAACATACATTATGTAATAATTTTCTATTTCATTTTTCTAAGGAATCGAGGCACAATTTTCCAGCACACGCACGAGTAACGATGGAATGCCGAAGGGTTCCTCTTTGTTCTATAACGATTTAGGATAGGTAGTGAAGTAAAGCTTTTGCTTTATATTTTCTTGTCATGTGCCAGTGTTCCCACTTCGGTGCGATGGGTGGCAGTGTAGTACCTTTAAACGTTGGTTCGCAATATGCCATCACATCAGAGAAGAAGAAAATGAACGCCAGCGGAGGACTTCAAACGGGGCACCAGGTTTGTTGCAACACCGGAAGTTACCGCTTTAACCGGAAGTAATTACGTTGTCGTAGAACATGGTGTAACACGAAAAAGATAGTTTAACTTTCATTACTACAACAGAGGACTTAATGTATAGCTGATTTCAGGACAGTTGGATAACGAACGTTTTAAGTGAGTTAACTGTTATAATTTACAAAACAGCTATTTATCATTTCCAGTTAGAGAAAACGAGCCGATTACGTCAGCTAACGTTAGCTTTTGCTAGTAAATAGTAATATAATCTTGTCTTTAACATGTGTTTCCTCCACAGATGCAGGTCTGTGTAGATCCATGTAACGTTAGTTAGTTGTCTTTTTGAGGTTAACATTCTAAAATAGTCAAATAAATACTGTTAGCTTAACTTTAGCTAAATTGTTGTTGAATTCATATGTGGGCCCGATACAATGACCAAATGATCATAGCTTACGTTATAACGCATTACAAATATAACATAATGGAGCTAGATTCATCTTATTGTTGCTTTCTTTTTTTTTTACAATACCATAACCGTCGTGTTACTTTGCTTATTGTAACGTCCAGAGATGTCCATGTCCCATCTGTATGGGAGGAGAGAGGAGGAAGAGGAAGGTGTTGAGGTGGAGAGCTTTGAGGTGACGGACTGGGATCTGGCCAATGAGTTCAATCCAGAACGTCGCAGACACAGGCAGACCAAGGACCAGGCCACCTATGGCATCTGGGCGGACAGGGACTCAGACGAGGATGAGAGGCCTAGCTTTGGAGGCAAGAAGTAAGGCATCGGTTTATTTTTGTTTCTGCCCCAATGCGCCTGATGATGTACTTTATTCTAGACCCATACATAACAAACAACACAAACATAACTCTAATACCAACCAGCTATCTTTGATACATCTAACCATAACCTAACCTATTCCCCAATGGGAAAAACACAAATCTATTGGGGGGGGGTCATCAAATTATACCCCATTGTAGTCATCCAAACAGAAATATGTGTATGTATATACTTTTTTTTGTTCTAGAACCAAAGACTACACTGCTCCAGTAAACTTTGTGAGTGCCGGACTGCGTAAGGCTGCAGCTGAGGAGAAGCAGCAACAGGAAAAAGAAGAAGGAGGCTCTGATGACTCTGAAGATGATGGTCCTTCAGCTCCTCCCCCTGCTCGGGGAACTGCACCCAAAAAACTTCAGATGGTAAATTTAGTTGTCTCTGTATTTAGTACGAGTTGCAATATATTCTGTAATTGTATGCTGTCATGCTTGTGCTTCTAGATAAATATATATTTCTTTTTGCTAGGGTAATATCCGGGGTAGCCAGTCTCAGAGGTTTGCAGGTGGCATACAGTCTGGCAAAGGCATCGGTAACTGGGAGAAGCACACAAAGGGAATTGGACAAAAACTTCTGCAGAAAATGGGCTACCAACCTGGCAAAGGCCTGGGCAAGAATGCTCAAGGTGGGTGGGCACGAGGAGGCTATGTGTTAAACATTTAGTGTGTCTTTTACAGTAGTGTCAGACTACAGTGGATATTCTCTGATTTTGTAACATCTTATTTCTGCAGGTATTATAAACCCCATTGAGGCAAAGCTTCGTAAGGGCAAGGGAGCAGTGGGTGCTTATGGCAATGAGCGAACCCAGCAGAGTCTCCAGGATTTCCCAGTAGTTGACTCAGAGGAAGAGGAGGAAAAGGTAAAAAAAGTTTCCTCTTTTTTTGAGCTACACCCACAAGTGAGATTGTATCATTATTTTGACGTTATTTCCAATGTGTAGGAGTTTCAGAAGGAGCTTGGCCAGTGGCGTAAGGATCCTGCAGGGTCTGTAGGAAAGAAGAAACCCAAGTACTCCTACAGAACTGTAGATGAGCTGAAGGCTAAAGGCAAGCTGGCAGGGCGCAGTACAACAGCATCTGCTGGAGAGTTGGCACAGGTCAAGGTATGTTTGAAGAGACTCTCACAGTAACGTTATTGGAGTATTTTTAATTATGCATCAGGAACTTTATTTATGCTTTTACACTTGTTCCTAACCCCTTTGGATGAAATCATAATCTTATTTTCCCATAACTGTTCCCTTTTCAGGTAATAGATATGACTGGAAGAGAGCAAAAGGTTTATTACAGTTACAGTCAGATGTCCAACAAGCACAGTGTCCCAGATGAAGGCCCACCAAGCTTGTCCACTCAGGATCAGAAGGGATCTGGCTTTGCTCTCCCTGAACTCGAACATAACCTGCAGCTACTGATCGACCTCACAGAACAGGACATATTACAGGTATGAATCAACCAATAATATCTGCCAGAATATCCACGCTGACAACTCTCTACATATTTCTGTGTACCACTCTGGTACTTCTCCTACTCTTTCCACACACTGACACGCTTTTTCTTTTGCCTTCCTATTTCCCACCTTGAGTAGTCCGCCAGACGTCTGCAGCATGAAAAGGACGTAGTTGTGTCTCTGAGCCACGAGTCACGAGCTCTGCAGAGCAGACTGGATGCAGAGCAAGATGCCATTCAGAGAATGGAGGCCATTCTGGCATTGGTGGGGCGTTTCCCTTCTGGGGAGATGGCACCTGGGGAGGCACCCACCCTGCAGGTGCATATACAGTGAACACACAAAGGCAAACCGTTATCAGGCTGTTTTAAGATCATTTCTACTTTCTATGTTATTAAATCAACATAGCTGACATAGGTGCCTTTTTTATCTTTCTTCAGGAGTGCGCACAGATCTTTGAGATTTTACAAACCGAATATTATGAAGAATACAAAACTATGGGATTGGCGGACCTAGCTGTAGCTGTTGTTCAGCCATTACTCAAAGAGAAACTTCGCTCCTGGGACCCTCTTAAGGTATGTGTTTGCAATTCACTCCTGCTGGGGGGACTTGCATATCACTTCCTTAAGCTCATCATTGGTAAGCTTCCACTTTTCATATTGTTCTTTCGTCATTTCAGGACAGCTCTTTTTGTCTGGAAGACATCGGTCAGTGGAGAGCAATCCTGGAGTCCAGAGACCTTCACAGCAGTGCCCCAGATTCAAACATGGACCCTTACCACAGGTAATTTTACACCCACAAACTTGGCTGTGCACCAGCAGTCACATGATTTTATCTTACTGGCCTGGCGTTGAAGCCTGTTTTTGATGACGTGTTTGGGATGCATGTGTCCTGTCTTTGCCGGTCCAGACTATTGTGGGAAGTGTGGGTCCCCGTGATGCGGCCCTGTGTAACAGCCTGGCAGCCTCGTATAGTGGAGCCAATGGTGGACTGCGTGGAAATGTGGGCTCCTATTCTCCCCCTGTGGATCCTGGATCACCTGATGGAGCAGCTGATCTTACCCCGACTACAACGCGAGGCAAGCCATATCTCTACTTAAAGACCCACTCCCTTAAATGTGGAGAAACGGCAATGGTGTAGATGATTTCACATAATCTAGTTTTTATTGATTTCTGTTTACTGATTGATAGGTGGATAACTGGAACCCGTTAACTGACACGGTCCCCATCCACTCCTGGATCCATCCCTGGCTGCCTCTGCTTCGAGCTCGTCTTGAGCCTCTTTACCCCCCAATCAGGAGCAAACTCTCCAATGCCTTGCAGCGATGGCATCCCGGCGACACGTCAGCCCGCCTCATCCTGCAGCCTTGGAAAGACGTTTTCACACCGGGTGCATGGGAGGCCTTCATGGTGAAAAATATCATTCCTAAACTTGGTATGTCTTTAAATATGGCTTTGCCGTGTAAGAACATGTATTTCCCTGCAGTCTTTTTGTTCCACGTCTCTCCTTTTGCCCACGGTGTTGCTTCTTTTTATGATGGCTTCTGTGTCCCTCGTCAGCGCTGTGTCTGGAGGAGCTCGTCATCAACCCTCACCAGCAGCAGATGGAGCCATTTAACTGGGTGATGGACTGGGAGGGCATGTTGTCCCCCTCCAGTCTCGTGTCCCTGCTGGACAAAAACTTCTTTACAAAGTGGTTGCAGGTCAGTTAATCTCCTTACACTGAACAGACAAATAATTAAGATGCACGTAGACACATTTGATTATTGTATACATTAAATTTGATGAAAGGTTTGTTTTATCTGACTTTGTTATATGTATTTGTTTTTCTTATTATAGGTCCTGTGTTCATGGTTGAGCAACAGTCCTAACTATGAGGAAATCACAAAATGGTACCTGGGCTGGAAAAGCATGTTTAGTGAGGCCTTGCTGTTACAGCCGCTCATTAAAGAGAAATTCAACGAAGCTCTGGACATCATGAACCGTGCAGTGTCTTCAGGCATGGGTTCGTATTCAAACAGTCTCATAATAAACTAAGGAAACCTAGAGAACAGCATTCCTTTATGAAATTATGATTCCTCTCCTGCATAACACTACAGCACTTTTTCATTTCCACAGGTGGATATATGCAACCTGGTGCAAGGGAGAATATTGCATATCTAACCCAGACCGAGAGACGAAAGGACTTCCAGTATGAAGCGATGCAGGAGCGTAGAGATGCCGAGAGTGTGGCTCACAGAGGCGTCAGTGCCGGTGTGCCGACCAATTTCAAAGATCTTATCCAGACAAAGGCAGAGGAGAACAACATTGTATTTATGCCCGTAGTGGCCAAACGGCACGAGGGCAAACAGCTGTACACTTTTGGGCGTATAGTCATCTACATAGACCGAGGGGTTGTTTTTGTGCAAGGAGAGAAGACTTGGGTGCCCACGTCTTTGCAGAGTCTGATAGATATGGCCAAGTGAGAGAGGACCGACTGATTCTTTGTCCTACTTATTGTTAAAGAGCATCTGTAGAGCAAACCTTTATGTAACTTCAGTATGCTGATCCTTGTGTCATGTGTCTTTGTACAATTTTAAAGTCTCACTAGAACTGTGAATAAATCCTTTTGGAATGTATGTGGCTTCTTTTGTTTTAGTTTTAATCAGATGTGACATATTCAAGTAATGCAGTTGAACAGTATAGTTCCTATGGTGTATTGATTGTATTGGTTGGTTTGCAGGTGCAGGTTCAACATAAGCAAGTACATTTCCCCTACTTCTATAGCTAACTGCAAATCATTTGCAAATTAGGCTGCACCTTATAACCTTTCAAAACCGATGCGTCTAAACTAGGACTATACTGTATAAGTGTTTGTGTATTGTTAGTGTTTTTCAATGACTTGCAATACCTGTTATTTTCTTTTCTGTAGGTGGCAGTGTAGCTGCTGGTTTATCAAGCCAACCGCGTTCTTTTTGTTTGACCAAACGGGGCTTCCGTCAATCTTGGGCGCCTTGCAGTTTAACAGAGTACCCTGCGTAAGCTACATGTGCATTTAGGCACGATTTTAAAAATATCTGACATATTTTTTTGCAACGCTTAGGTACGTGCTTGTTTATACATACAAAATAAAACGTACATTATATTAACTGTCCCGTAACTACGATTTGAAAGCTGCCTTTATAAGCCGACATGCTCGCGGTTGTTAGCCATCAAGCTAACGTTAGTCGGCCATTGCAGAGCCACAGTGCTAACAATAGCTAGCTGGCTATGCTATATAACATAACAGTTACTCTCTGACCCTTACTGTAACTAACCTAGCTAACGTGTTTCATCAGTTCATTGATGTGTTTTGTTCTATTAAGCCTATATATACACTATCTTCATACACAGCCGGTCATGTCGTCGGAGGCCCTGAAGAAGCGAAAGACCAAGGTTGTCCGCAGCGAGGGAGGAACCCCGGAGACCAAGCGGGGTCGCGGAGACGCAGATCAGCAGGTAACTTGAAGTTAGGACACCGCCGGGTGGGTTAGGGTGAGCTTTGGGTTGGGTTAGGATTGGGTTTTGGGTAATGGAGGGGCAGGAGTGAGTGGGAAGCAGAAGGACTTTGGTCAAAGACGTCTGTCATTGGCCGAGATACAGTAATCCGAACAGTAGAGCAGTAGAGTTTGTTTTTAGATTGAAGTAAAGTTCTCAATCCACTCGAGTGAGGTAAATCTTTCACAAAAATTCTCTTGGGATCTGGATGAACATGTAACTCTTTGCTGGTTCTGGGACCTGACTACTCGGCCACTCGTCACTTGGCTGCTATTTACGTTGTAACAGATTTAACACTTCCGCTCACATCAAGTCAAAGCAGGACCAACCGTGGTGTTGATCAGCTGTTTGTGTTCATGGAAGGTTTCTTATTTTTCCAGGATGTGCGCGTGTACAGCGAGGAGGTGGAGCTGGACGGCAGGGACCCCGAGCAGGACTTCATTCAGTACAAAGAGTCCTGTGAGAGTTTGGCTGGACTCATGAGTGAGATCCTGGATCTGAAAGGCAATGGAGCCAAAGACGGTGTAAGAATCACATGTTTAAGACCACTGTCTGTAACTACTTAGTCGTTCAAAACCAATTTCACAGTCAGTTTTTGTTTGGAGTAATCACACTCATCAAAGTGATTTGCAAGCTTTATACATACAGTTTGCAGTATTGGTAAATCTAATACATCAATCTTGTATATATGTGCTAACCCAACAATTGTGTGTGTAACACAATGATGAAGTCTGACTGGTTTTGTCATTGCAGTGTGCTGAGGTCGAGCAGAAACGCATGCAGAGCTGCATCCACTTCATGAACCTGAAAAAACTCAATCGTTTGGCTCATATGCGACTAAAGAGGGGCAGAGACCAGACACATGAGGTAACCACAACTCTCAAAGGCCATCAAACTTCCATGAAAAGCTTAAATTCTCTCCATTACATCCATTTGTTGAGTGAATACTCCCTTAAGTGTCGTCAAACACCTAGAATGTTGTTTGTCCTCTTAGATCTTGAACTTAGGTAGCTGTTGTCAGCCGATAAAAAGTACACACACTCTTTCATTTAGATTTCATTGATCCAGTTTTGAATCCTGCTTATTGATCCGTGTTATTATTGAGTCCTGAGTGCCGCCATGTTGTTTGGCATATATTTATTTTCTGGGTTGGGTTTGTAAACCAACCGTAACCACCTTTTTTTCCCCTCAGGCAAAGCAGAGAGTGGATGTGCTGCACCTTCAGTTACAAAACCTGCTGTATGAAGTTATGCATCTTCAGAAAGAGATCAGCAAATGTCTGGAGTTCAAGTCAGTACCAAATATATCAATAGCAGCAGAAAATACACTGAATTTAAGCATTGTTGTATTCAAAAAGATATATATCAAGAAAGATTTGAACATGCCGTTCCCTGATCCAGGTCCAAGCATGAAGAAATAGACTTGGTGCCCGAGGAGGAGTTCTATCAGGAGGCCCCACAGGAGATTTCCAGGCCTCAGCTCACAAAAAATGATCCTCACCAGCTCACACTGGCTCGACTGGACTGGGAGCTTGAACAGCGGAAGAGGTATGCGACCTTCCTCAGAACAAAGAGAGCCTTGATAATTTGGGGGTTTTAGAGCAGCGGTTAAAAGTTTCTGCTTGGATGCAGGTTGGCAGAGAAATACAAGGAGTCACAAACATCAAAGGAGAAGATCCAGAAGAGCATCGAGGTGAAGAAGGAACATCTGACAAGCTTACAGCCAGGACTCAACGCCATCATGCAGGTATAACTACAGTTTAGGTGCAATATTTAAGAGGTATTGAGTTTTGATAGATTCACCCTGTCTTGGTTGCAGTTCTATTTACTCAGAGTACTGTTTTTGAAATTATTTGAAAATGCATTGCTCATTTATGATTTATGATATTAACGACTTAATCTGTTGGCTCATTGAGGTGCCGGCGGTAACTGATGCACATTGAATGGACGCCGCACATGAATCCCCTCAATGACGGCATTATTCCTGCTCTCTGCTCGTTCCCAGGCCTCCATACCAGTACAAGAGTACCTGTCCATGCCTTTTGAACAGGCACAGATTCAGACGGAGGTTGCTCGCCACCTGCCTCCACCTCTCTATGTCCTGTTTGTCCAAGCCAATGCCTACGGCCAGGCCTGTGGTATGTTGTCATGTCTTATGTTTCAACACAAAGTCAAGTTGTTTCTTATGGGATGTAAGACCTGATTGTCATGATTTACCTTTGTTTTCCATTTCAGACAAGAACCTGTGTGTCTCAATAAGTGGTGATGTGGATGAGGCCAAGGCGCTGTCCAAACCCCCAGAAGACTCGCAGGGTACAAGCACGACTCTACACGTCTGCCATTGCACACACACACACTTTGATCTGCTCTCTGCAAAAACAAAAAAATGAATATTTGTGTCTCGTTGAATCCAGATGATGAGAGTGACTCCGATGCAGAGGAGGAACAGGAGAAAACAGTGAGTATTTACTTCCAACACATCACACACAGACACTCAGGTCAGTGAGTTCAACGATTTCTTATTATACTCGTCTTTGTAACGGACACAGAAATGGTCTCCGCTGTGACACGTTGTAGTCTGGCGGGTTGGAGAGAAGCCACTATCGATCTCTTCCTGCTTCCGGACGGAGATCTAGACCAAGAATGGCCAAGTGACTGTAACCTGAGCACGCCTCAGACATGCACTCTCTGTTGGGACGTTTCTCTTGTGGAGTCAATATGTAGTTTAAATAAAATGTGTTGCCTATTGTCACTAACCGACTCAGTGGAAAAGACAACGTACATTCCATTCACTTAACACAAACCGTAATTTACAAATATACACTTGTGAAAACAGGCAGGTAGCAGAGAATAAGCTATAGGAACATTAAAGAGTACGTTTTCACCTGAAGCACCTTCCTCCAGCCATTTTTCAAATTTATTTAAATTCACAATGTCAGACGTGCCCTGCTTTCTTCTCATCTTCATCTCTTTTTTCTTTTTATTGACAGAAACGAAGAAGGCCAACTACAGGCGGCCAGCTGGATGACAAAAGACGGGAGATGCTGAAAAGGCACCCGCTGTCCCTTTGCTTGGACCTCAAGTGTAAAGGTAACTCATTCTACAGTCTTCATGACTCCAAACCCTAATGTCTGTGCATTCTGCACCTTTGCTCAGCCCATTTATTAGTCATCTGCAGTGAATCCTTAGCTGTGCTATTCCTACCAGATAGTAAGTGAAAAAAAAGTGAGCATGGCCGTGGTCTGCTATGATGTCATGACACCATGTGACCCTTGTGTTCCCTCTGCTGGCAGTGAAAGGAATAGTGACAGATTATAGGGGGATCTGCATTGCAGACATAACTCTACCTAAAGGGGGAGGAGGGTGGGAGAGAGAGACGCTTGCAGCATTGTGGGTCTGCAGCACCTACAACATGCTGTATGCATATTTTCTCACCGCCAGTCGTCCTCCAACCTTTGTTTGTGTTTCTAGTGCGTTTCTCTCCCCCCTGTTTTCCCCACTGCTGCAGTAGTCAATTGACTGCAGTAAAAGCAGAAAGTGAGCAGTGTAGGTGTTGGACAGTGTCCCTGAGTTAACTGATTGCAGAGAGTGGACAGGAAAGATGCCCATCAGCACAGTGTGTGTCCCCTTGCTACTGCTGCTTCCTGCCGTCACAACCACACCCTGTTGCTCATCAATGCGCTGCAGTGTAAAGAAACCCTCTGGGGACGCTCACTGGGAGGACTCATAAGGAGAGGGGGGGTAGAGAGAGTATTGAGCCAGTTATGGATTTGATTAATACCATGTTTTATCCATCATGTCTCCACAGATGGCAGCATCCTCCATCTCTACTTCTACTACCTGTTGAATCTGAATATTATGACGGTCAAGACCAAAGTCTCCACCTCCACGGACATAAACGCAGCCATCAGTGCAGGGTGTGTGTGTGTGTGTGTGTGTGTGTGTATATATATTGTATCATCTCTGTCTATGGCCTGTATTGTTTGTAAATATGTGTCTAATGATGGATTCCATGTCTCCTGCAAACCAAGCCTTACTGGTATAAACACGGTATCCAGGACCCGTGTCCCTGAAAGTAAAGTCTAATAAGATCTTCCTTTGCAGAGACCTGCTGAAACCAGACACTCTACTCAGCTGTCTCTACACAAACGACCAGGGACGAGAAACCCCCAATCCAGCTAATCGCTACCAGTTTGACAAAGTCGGGTGAGGATGTCGAGCACTCAAAGGACATGACAAGATATTAAGCAAAGCACAAATCCTGCAGAATTAACCTGTTATTTCCTACTAGGATTGTGTCCTTTGCTGATTATGTTGACGATCTGGGCCATCCCTACACGTGGGTTCAGAGTCTAGGAGGACTTCATTTTCCCAAAGACCCTACAGAGGTGTGTGTTGAAATCCAGTACTGTCCCAGATGTGCAAAGGTACCCGGTGCCACTGCCACATCATCTTGATGCGTTGTCACGTTTCTCTTCCAGGGCGTGCGCCTCGGCAGCTCTCTGAGTGCCAGCCACATGGAGAGCACCATGAAGCTGCTGAGGGGGCGACTCCTGTCCCGCTTGGCTTTGCACAAACAGTTTGCATCGCTCGGTACGTTGCATGTAAATGACTACGCATCGAGCGCTCCCCAAGAGGAGACGGGACGTTGTGAGTGAGTGGGTTTGTTTGTGCTTCTGCCCTCAGAGCACAGCATCATCCCGGTCTCCAGTGAGTGTCAGCACCTCTTTCCTGCCAAGATCCTCACGCGCTTAGCTCGCTGGACGCAGTCCACTCAGCAGGAGTACATGGTGTGCACACATTTAAACACACGTATGCACACACTTTCAAAAAACTAAAATAAAGCACATGTCTTACTGTGATGCTTTTCTTTCTTGGTAGGACCTGCCATACACGCGTCATGTGACTGAGGCTGGGCTGGCAAAGGAGACGGACCTGTACTTCATGGCTGTGGTGGAGAGGGGCACAGGTACAATACTGGCATTCATAATAGAGTTTGCCTTTATTGATTTCTGTGTGTCGTATATAACCAACCCGCTTTGATCTTCTTGCTCAGCTCGTCTCCATGCCGCTGTGGTGCTGAATCCCCGTTACCCAGAAATCTCCCCTCTATTCTCCCTGTCCCTCAACTGGAAGGGAGAGCGCAGTGGACGCACCGATGACAACCTTCGAGTATAAGCATTTTTCAATATTGATCACTCTTGTTCCGTAAGCTCATTTTACATCTTCATATTTCAGGCTCTAACCGGCTCATCTTTTCCTTTTTTAGGCCGTGGAGAGCGAGGTCAACGTGTTCAAAAATGAACTGCAGGGACCACGACCAGGACACCAGCTCCTGACCAATCAGTTTGTACGCCTCTGTGTCTGCCTGGATGTGTATTTGGAGACTGAAGAACAGGACGACAGCGTGGAGGGACCTCGAGAGTTTCCCAGAGAAAAGATGTGTCTGCGCACTGTCAGGTACACCGTCCCAAGACGCTGTTAGTAGATGGTCAAAAGACAGATCAGCTTCTGAATACATGCACCATATCTCTGACATCTCCTTCTCTTCCTCAGGGGTCCAAATCGCCTGAAGCCGTTCAAGTACAACCACCCGCAGGGTTTCTTCAGTCACCGCTAGAATTATCCCGGTGATTCTCACAACTGTAACTGTAACCTCAGGAGTATCTTTGTGGCTCTTTCACCCACAAGGTATTCTTTTTTTTTTTTTAAGTGTTTTTACTTGTTTTAAAAATAAAGGAACACTGTGTTATTTTCTTGGATGAGCGTGTGTCTGGTCTATTTGAGGCTCTGTTGCACCGATGCTTTGATTTCTCCATTTTATCACACTCCGCTGCTCTATTTATAGGCACTAGCTGAGTCATTTCCCCAGTGAATTGCGTGCATGGAATATGATATTTGGTATATTTTGTAGTCAGTGGTTAGCTTTTGACCTTTCATTTTTCATCCCTAATGTTTTAGCAGAAGAAAAAGCACTTGTTCAGGATGCTGATGCTAAATCCCTCAAGGATTACACTAATTTCATGATTAGATGGCTCCGGTCTACGGAAGTGTTAAACCACTAATTTTCCTGCACATTGGAGTGCTAATCTGCTAAAAGCCACTGGCTCTTGATACTCATTGAGTTACTGCAATTAGAGACTTCTCATACTTTTACCTTCCTGGTTTGTTTTGTATCTCAAAACAAGTGTACTTCTATGAAAGAAATGTTTGAAATGGATATTTTCCATTCGGTAAAAACAAAATATGAATGTTTTAGGGACCGCAGGGAGAAAAAGACATTTGTATCTTCGTGTTTTGCGACGTGGTTGATGATCCCGTTACTACGGAGCCATCTATAAATAAAGACTTAAGACTCTTTGTTGTGTAGAAGCAAGCAGCACTGCTCCTGGTTTAAACATGAGCGTGGTCTCTGGGACGTGAGGAAGGGTGCAGCGGCTGCTGTGGGTGGGTCCAGCCCCCCCCCACCTCCCTCCTCAGCCGCAATGCAGTACAGTTACTCGCAGCATTTACCTTACAGGCCTCACCTTGTAAGGTAAATCCTTCACAAATCCTCCCTTGCAGTCATCAAGCTATTGTTTGTTTGCAGAAGTAAACACATTCTCCCAAAAGCCAACATGTTTAATTTTTTTTCATTCTTTATTTATCTGTTTCATATTGCATATTCTCAGCAGTTTATACATAACATACTCATCATTGTCCTAGCAGTGCAGACCACAAGAGTGAGACGCTGCAGTTCACCTGTCAGGGGAAGCTGCTTTAAGGTGCACAACAAGCAAAACGCAGCTCTTTCTTACTGTCGTATCTGTAAATATAATATAGACATTTGTATCTCCTTAAATATATGTTTTTATATTCAATATCTGTCACAATCATTAGCTTGACATTATTTTGACATCTCTAACCCTTGAAGGCTTTTGCAGCAGTCCCCGTCAGCGGGATTCACTTTAAATGCACTTGATATTAATTAAGGGCAGTCGTCATATTCACGATAAGAGTTAAGAGCATTCTGCATTCACTAGTCATACATCAGAAGCATCGGGGGGGGTGTAATGGCCATACTTAGGGAGCACGGGGTAATTTGCTACAGAGATCACTATTGCTTACATACCATCACCTGCTTAAAGCGCCTGATCTGAGCAGCTGGGTACTTCCAACCCCTTTTCTCCTGCTCGTTAACCTCCCCTCCTCCTTCACAGTTCTTTGGCATCTCCACCTCGTCCTCGGCTCGTGCCTCAAATCACAGCCTTTCACACTCACTTCTTGGCCTTCTCCTCGGGGGCCGCCTTTGACTCCGTGCCAGGAGACTTCTCCGCCTTCCCTTCCTCCTTCACCTCCTTACTCTCTTCTTTACCTGCTTCCTTTTTTTGCTCTGGCTTCTTCTCATCTTTCTTGCTCTCAGTTTTCTCGGGTTCTGCTTTAGGTACAGACTTCTCCTCCGGCTTCTTCTCCTCTGGCTTCTTCTCCTCTGGTTTCTTCTCCTCTGGCTTCTTCTCCTCTGGCTTCTTCTCCTCCGGCTTCTTCTCCTCCTTCTTTACCTCTGTTTTCCCAGGCTCCGCCTTGGGGGCGGGCTTTGGCTCAGGCTCGGCCTTCTCTGATTTAGGAGCAGCGGGTTTCTCCTCCTTGGCGGGGGGAGCAGCCTCTTTGGGCTCAGACTTGGGGGCCGGTTTGTCCTCTGAAGGCTTGCTGGGAGCAGCCGGTTTAGACTCGTCATCCATCTTTGGCGCTTCCTCTTCCTTGCTGTCTTTCTTTGCATCTGCTTGGTCTGCCTTTTCTGGCTCTTTCTCCTTGGGCTCTTTCTTCTTCTCGTCCTCCTTCACAGGCTGTTCTTTCTCCTTCTTCTCCTCTTTGACAGGCTGAGGTTTCTCCTGTAATTTCTCCTCTTTAGGGGTGTCTTCGGCAGCGGCAGGCTTGACCTTCTCCTTCTCTGGAGACGGTGGCTCAGGGGTTTTGGGACGGGGAGATTTTGAATCAGGGGATTTGCTGGTTGGGGACTTTGACTCGTCTCCTGCCGGGGATTTGACCTCAGGGGACTTAGCCGGTGATTTGGGCATCGGTGATTTGGCTGCTGGTGATTTGGGCATCGGTGATTTGGCTGCTGGTGATTTAGATTGGGGGGATGTTTGTGGAGATTTAGACACAGGTGATTTGACAGCAAGTGAGTCAGGCACAAGAGATGCAGCCTTTTCTGTAGATTTGGAATCATCATCTACCTCAGCAGCCTCCTCAGCCGTCTCTTCTCCCTTTTCTTCCTCCTTCTCTTCTTCTCCCTCTCCTTCCTTATCTTCTCCTTCCACACCTTCCTCCTCCTCCTCCTCCTCTTTGGTTTCTTCGCCTTCCTCTTCTCCTTTCTCTTCCTCCTCCTCTTCATCTGCCTCCTCTGTCACCTCTGTCACCTGGGTCTCATCGGTCTGTTCTTCCACTATGACGGTGTCTGACATCTCCTCTCCTTTCACCTTCATGTGGGAAGAGATTCTGCTCCCCATGTAAGAGTACGGACCTCCTCCTGACACGAAGCGATTCTCCTCGCCCTCGAGCAACTTCCTGTTTCAAAGACAAAGACACAGTCAGCAATAATGTCGATAACTCGTGTCATCAAGAAGCCGAATAATGATTTGTATCATGTGTAAACGCTGACTAACCTATAGGCGGCAATCTCAATATCTAAAGCCATCTTCACGTTCAGCAGCTCCTGATAGTCCTTCAGCTGGCTAGCCATCTCCCATTTGGTACTTTTCAGCTCATTGTCCAGCTGGTTGATGGTCGCCTGCAAAAGGAAAACACGTAGCCTCACAGGTCAAATGTCATAAAGAAAGGAGGTGAAAATAAAGTGGGTTTTCCCTGTGTGGGACAAGTGGGATGTTTGTGTGCGTTTCCTGCCTGTAGGGAGTTGAGGTCGTCGTGGTGTCTGTCTTCACTTTCCACGCACTGCCTCTCCAGCGACTCCTTGGTACCCCGAAGAGTCTCCAGCTCGATCGTGCGGCTCTGGAGCTGGCGGCGGTACTCTACGATTTCCTCCTGGCTTCCCCGAATTGCACCTTGGTTGGACCGAGCAGCTTCGGAGAGATGCTCCATACGCACTGCGATATTGCATACGCAAGAATGTATTCAAAAATCACATTTGCTGCCTCATTGACCAGCTACCAAAGACAGCTGTCTTTCTGCTTTCTCGTTAATCCAATAGATATTCATAGTTTTTGACTTTGTTTGTCTAGTTCCTGAGACATTTGACATTCATCTCTACAGTCTCTACTGGGAGCCTGAGTGACCTTGGCAGTGTCCATCTGGCAGTCAGTTATCTGACTCAGCTCCCGCCCTCCTCCGAGCGTGAATGAGCCAGGATGCTGCAGTCAGCTGGACACCACACAGGGAAGGTCATTCGCTTCGCACCTTTCACTGGTTATCAAGTCAGCATGTAGATGTGCAGCCAAAGTTCATTAAGTGCTGTGTGGCACGCCGCTCAGATAAACCCTCCTTGGCCTTCAGAGCTGTTGATTGTGAATTTGTGCTGAATCGCAAAGGTCAGTGTAATCGTAAAGGGGAGAGTTACATCCGTCATCCATCATCTATCATGTACTTGTGTAGCTTACTTACATTCTTGGTGAACCCAGTGCAAAAAACTGTGCAATCTCACGCAGACACGCAGCAGACACCCACTGTGACCGACACGGAGAGTGCAAATTAATAATCTCCTGAAGGGCTTGCCTTAAATACAAATGACCCTTCTGCGGCAGCGTTGCACCCACAGAAATGTGCACTGGTTAAATGAGTGATTATACATTAAATAGCCTTTTCATCTATCTGCATTCTATAATCAATATTCTGCCTAGACTCGGTTTGCTTGTGGTCCGAAATGTCCTTTCTTGTTTGTGTTGGAGCAGGTTGGTGGGATAATAGTGACCATTTGTCTGCTAAACTGCAAATATTTAGATCTCAGCCTATTTAAAAAGTAAGTGACCCTTGAAACGAGGGCAAAACATCACATCCCAGGGCTACAGTTGGGCCACAGAATAATGACTGATGAAAACAGCCTGGGATGACTTTAGACTTCAGCTCCGTGCACAGAGAACACGTTTGTTTCACCCAACTCACCTCTGAACCATTCCTCCGCTTGCGTGGAGCTCTTGGATGCGTGGCCGTCCAGCTGCGCACGGATCTCCCGCAGAGCGCCGGTGACGTCAGTCTTAACCGCGTCCCGCATGTCGAAGCTCACCTGTGCGCCGTGAATCTGCTGCAGGAGCTCCGACACTTCTTCCTCGTGGTTCTTCTTCAGGAAAACGGCCTCCTCCTCCAACGCGCGGAGCTTCTTGTCCAGCTCCGTGCGCGCCATCCGGCACTCGTCGACGTACTTTTTCATGGCGCGCGCCGCAGCATCCAACTCTTCCCGGTTGCGCGCCTCGTCTTCCAGCCGGACCCGCAGCTGCTGGATGTCCTCCTCCAGGTGCTCATGCTCCAGAGCCGTGCGGGTCTTCTCCCCGGTCAGCTGCTGCAGCAGATCCCTCAGGTCGCCCAGCTCTCGCTCGTAGTGCTCCCCGATCGAGGCGCGCCCGGCGTTGCTCTGCCTCAGAGCCGCCGCTTCCGCCTCCAAGTTGCGGTTGTGCATCTCCAGGTTGCGCACCTTGTCGATGTACCCGGCGAACCGGTCGTTCAGAGTCTGCAGAATCTCCTTCTCGTTCCTCCGGCCCATGTCGCCGCTGAAGTTGTCCAAGGCGTCCGCGGAGGGTGGATGGCCGTGGGTGAGGCGGCGGCGCTGGGAGTGGAAGCCGCTGGAGGAGCCGGAGGCTGGCCGAGCCTTGCGGTACGAGGTCGGGCCGAAGAGGTGGTGCTCTACCGTGTAGCTCATGATGGCCGGACTGGATGAGGACTGACTGCAGTGAGAGCGGGAGCGCAGGGTTTATATAGGAGGAGGGAAAACTCTCTACTCAGCAACAAGACACAGCTCTATTTAAAGAGGTATCTGCCTGCGCAGGAATACGTTCCCCCTAATTAATGATGAGTTGTATTTATACTGAAGGTGTTAATAAAGGTGTGTTTCATCCAAGAAAAAAGGCAATGTTTTTTTTTTACCATGTTAACAAATCATAGCATCAGTTTGACTCAGTGTGAAGATATTTTGCGCATAAATGCACTTGAATGGTGTAGTAGAATGTAGTGTGTTAAATAATTAAGACATTTTTCATTCATTTTGGGCCTCTTTGATGGTGTAAATTATTATTCCCCTTTTTTTCTAAACAGCCCTCATCGATTGTTAATTTTGCAAGGTACAAATTTGAAGAACTACATTTACATTTAGGGTGTGCTGTGGCTGAAGTGTGTGTGAACTGATTATGTGCAGTGTGTTCTGCTGATGCTCTGTAGCTGCTGCTGCAGTGTGAGTTTGCAGATCCACGCCGAACCCCTGTGGGAGTCACCTCCACTGCACTCCCTATGCCTCTCTTACTACAAAGTTATAGTGATTTAGTTATAAAACGGTATACTTTTAATCTATTACTTATGTTTTGTGGAAGAGGATAATATCCAGTTGTGCACATGTGGTGGCATTGATACTGTAAAAAGATTTTAAAAAACGCAGCAGCATTATGGTGCGTGCAAACTGATGGTGATACAGCACTCACGCAAACCCCGACTGAGCTCTGCTGATCCAAAGTGATCTTACACGAGGAACGGTTGTGAGAAGCACATACAGCGCCTTCTGAATACTCAAACTCAGGGTGAGGGAGTTTACTCTGCATGCCTTAAAGGAGCACGGACAGTGAATATTCTTTTTACCTTGAGACACGTACAAAAGACGGTTCAGCACACAGTAATTTCTCTGTATCAGCCATTCTTTGTCCCTGTAAACACATGTGTTGTCAGCTCAATGACACCCAGGGGACTTTGTAACACTGAAGGGCCTTAGCCTGTCCTCCAGCAGTTGAGTATATGTGTTTTTGAAGGTGATACACATTTCGTTTGGTCATTCTTTGTCCGAAATGGCTTCAAATACATGCAACATATAAGCTTGCTATTAGTTACAAATACCGCATTCCAGTGTATTTTGCGCCACATGTTCAGAGAGGCTGACAGCCATGTAGGACAGAAATAACATGCAGCACATCCCCTCCCTCCACTCGCTTTATGTTTAATAAATGAGGATAATGGAGCAGGGGAGGCAGAATTCAGTTGTGATGTTATCTGTATATCATGTTCCTCAATACCTTGTTATTTGAACCAAGAGTAAGAAGCTGAAGTCAACAGAAAAAAAGACAGATGTGTTCTTCTGTGTTAGAAAACCATGAAGAAAAGCCAAACAACGACACATTTAGGGTTTTCTCTGCGAGAGTGTATGCAAGAGTACAGTAGTAATCAAAATAGTGTGAAGCATCACGGTTGGGGAGCAGTACAATGAATCAGGACGGTTTTGGCTGTGGTTGGTTTCTTGTAAAAAAAAAAACACCCTGCGCTTTAATGTTATAAGTGGATTTAACAAAGTAAGTAAGTAAGGAACCTTTTTACTGAAAGCTGAAAGTCCTACCATGTGAATGACATTGGCAAAGGGATGGCGGAAAAGGACGTGGGAGGTTCTGGCTATGTAATGACCTTGTCCTTGAATGGGATGGATGGAGAGAGATGGAAAATAGCAAAATCGATGCAGAGGAAAATGTCACAAAACTTGGAACCCATCCTGTGGGGGAAAATAGATGGACACAGTCCGAATGAAAGACATGTTTTGTGTACAGGCTTGGGTGCGCATGCTAATGTAGCTGCAAGTGTGTCAGAGTGTATCATGGAGCAGTTGCTAGGACTTTTTTTTACGTATTTGACCATGGTTTAATATTCAGAGCGTTCTGTTGTTTTAGACAATGACAGAAAGAAGGAGCCGAGAGGATGTGATGAAGACAGACGACGGGGGTTGCAGTCAACAGGGAACAAAATGATGCACTGACAGGGGATGATGGAGGATGAAAGAACAAGGCTGGAATTGGGTGAGAAAAGAGGAAGTCACCTTGGGAGGGACCACTAGAAAATGGCTGTCCTGGCATTCTCAGGGATGACTCAGCTGCAATACAATTGCGGTCTTGGCTTGAGTTCACTGAGTGCTGAATACATTAAGGTGGTGCAATTTTTAAGCGTGCTGGTGTGTTTATTTTAAGGCCTACCAAGCTATTGACTAGACGCAAACAGCAGAATCAATTCACAGTTCAATGGCTGTAAAAACAAATCCTCACGTTGAACACAATTTAACTTCGTCACAGCTCCACCTGCTGGACAGTCGGCAGAATACAGGTGTAGTACCCGTGTTTGTCCACAGGCGGCAGCACGGCCGCGGCGCACTGCGCGCCCTCATGTTTACTTCCGGTCTCCTCTGGCTTCCTTACACCAAACGAGGGAAAGTTCAAACCAAAATAGCACGAAGGTTTTCTCAAAACAGCGATTCGAGGTGTAATAAAATGCACCAACCGCTGTCTTTATTTCATAAATGGATCCAGGAAAACAACGAGTTGGTAAACAAGTGGAAGGTAGGAAGTCAACAGCTGAGTGTTGAGCCACAACATTAATACACAGCCTACTCTAACCTTAATCTAGGGTTAAATAAATATGTTTATGCTTGATAATGTGAATGAACAGACTCTTCCAATTGTTTTCGCTGAAATACAATAACCAGCGGTGGAAGACGCATGTTTACAATACAATTGTAAAAGCATTCATACTCAGATTAACTTAAAACAAACAAGTAGTCCTTTAGTAGAATGGCCTTTTTTAACAAACATCACGTATTTTATTACCATGTAAGCAGTATTTTAATGTTGTCGATGGTTGAGGTGGAGCTGATTTGAACTCCCTTATATATTGTTGAATAATGTTATTTATTATATTGAGGAAATGCTGATGTTATAGTTTTTCTGTTTTTTTTAATTATCTAATAGCTGTTATGGTGTAAACCGTAATTCATACTTTCAGTACTTTCCTAAAAAATTCCAGTTTGCTTTCACTTCATTGTTTCAGGAGCAAGAAGGAGGAGATACATTGACCCGGGACCAGAACCAGAACCACACCTGTCTGGTTTGGCATTCCTCTGAGTTTCACAAACTTTGCAGGAAAATCCAAGGTGCATAATGTCCTTCATAATAGTCACATGGATGTCAGAATGTACCCAAAACACATTTTGCAGGAGTGGGGTTTGATCGTAGCCGCATTCAGAGGTCTTGAGTAGATCATGGGATAAATCTTAACTTGGAGGGAGAGCTCAGCCATTACCTTCATATGTATTTTATCTCCCTCCTTTCCTTTCCCCAATGTCCCTGTCCTGCAGGTATCGCTCCTATTGCAGATCACACACAGTTGGAGTTGACCGTGGTCTACAATGCCGGTGTGTGCTTGATCGCTCAGTCTCAGTTCTTAGAAGCTGAGTCGCTCCTCACGAAAGCCACAGAGAGAAGTATTTCATTTATTTATTTATTTTAATTTATTCTTTCGAACATGTTGAATTTATTTTTTCAAACATGTGGTCTGGTTTTGGATTACATCGAGTTTTCTAAATCAAGGCTACTTTTGAACACTGTAGTAGTAAGATGTGCACCATATATTTAGATGCAACAGGAACGTACACCATACATTCAGTTTTAAATTTGTTTGGAAGATAGCTCAACTCTTGACCCGCCTGCTCTTGTCCCATAAAGTTCTACAGATGACAGGAGACGGTCCTTTTGCTTCAGATCCTCCTGTATTTTGGAAAACCGCTCTTAAATCAGTGGGAAACACAGCTTTGAATCGCTGTGTCATGCACCTTCTATGTCTGCAATGGGCAATATGGCTCGCCACTTGCAAACTGCAAACTATACAGGAACTTCAAGTAAGATATTGTTTGTTCCCTCCTCACTGTTAGTGAATGTGTGTTAAAGCGCTTTCCGTGGCCAGAAGACTTGAAAGGCGCTTTACAAGTACAGTGCATTTACCATTGTATTTGTATCCCACAAATACATTGAATACATGGTGCTTTTGCTTGTTTACAGTTCAAACTATACTGTATTATTTCCTGTGATGCAGAATGAGCTGTTGTCTGTCTTTGAGACACTGTCTTCTGGCGTTTGGGATGAGGAGGGGAGTGCGCCAAGGACCAAGTCCTCTGACATTGCTCTACCTGTGATGGACCAAAGAAGGCTTATTGAATTATTGCAGATATGCACTTTCATTGCCCAAGGTCAGCAGCATTCATTGCATGTTTCACCTGCGTCCTAATTAATCACTTTTTTGCACTTGTGTCACCACTGAATTATTTTTTTTGTTTTATTTAGTAATCAATCTGGTTTGTTTCTTTCCTCTGTATTTATCATTAAGGTGCAGAACGATTGAGTGAGGGCCGCAGTTCAGAAGCGCTGTCTGGTCTGCAGAGCGCTTCATCCCTTCCAGCTCCCAGAACTCTAATATCATACACGCACCTCCTCTCGGGCTCTTGCCTTGCCCATATGGTACACATGCAGACAGTCTAGACAAACAGAACAGCAGAACACAAACTTCTACTATACATTGACCATGTTTGAGCATCTGCATGCAGTGAGAATGTGTGTTTTCTATTTGTCTCTAGAGCCGCCCTCAGATGGCCTTGCAGTGTTACAGAATGGCACTGGAGACGGACTCCCAGTGTGTGTGCGCTCTGTACCAGAGCATGCTTATTTACCGACAGCTTGGCAACACACAGGCTGAGATACAAGCTCTTCGTTTGCTGCACTCTGTGAGTACCACAAGTAATCAGTACGTTCAGAGAATGTAGAAAGGTTGCCTGTTAAATGTGTCCAAATATGCTCTTGCTTTTTTGTCGTGGAATAGCTCTTAGAAGGCGAACCAAACTCCGAACTAAACCATGTTTGTTACTCTCTTGTCCCACAGACTTTAATGTTGCCCGCTGCCAAAGAGCCTTCCCCGGCTGGTGTGCACCTCCTCCCCTCGTCCTTACTGCTCCAAAGCCAATCACTGAGCAGCCTGCTCTCAGTTCCTTCAGCCCTCTCCGTTCTTCACAGTTTGGCCCTAAAGTGTGTGCTGCATGAGAGGTGAGAAAAGAGGTCTGTTACAAAGACTTCACCACTGCTAAAGCCTATATAATAAAAATGAGATCTGGATGAGGGTAATATACACATGGTGCCCATTGTAGTTGTTGAATAGATGTTTTTTTCTTACAGGGTGGCCGAGGGTGTGGAATATTATTTGGACCTTCTGGCTGCTCTGCACTCAGAAGATCAACATGGGGTAAGACTGAAAAACAGACATGCAACATAATTTAACAATGTACCTTTTTATTTTTATATTCCCATATCTACATGTGTTCATATTGAGGAGTCATTACACTTGTTTGTCCAACAGAAGAATATCTAATTGACATAACAGTTTGCTACGTCCCTTTTGTCTCAGGTGCATGCTGCAGGCCCTCCCCTCCCAAAGTTGCCTGAACTTTACCTGCAGGCTGGTGCTGCCTTGCTCATGGCCCGGCGGCCTGCCGATTGCATGGCGCTGTGTGATGAAGTCATCACAACAACACTAGAGCTGCTGCCAGGGAAGGTGGTGTTGAAAGAGCCAGAGGAGTGTGAGGCTGAAACCAGGGCTCTGTGTGAAGAGGTTGAAGATGGGGTGGGGATGCTTCTCTGGGTGGGTGCTGCATACCTCCTCCAGGGTCACTGCCACACTCACCTGAGGGACTGGAAACAAGCTGTGACTACCTACACAAGGTCAGTCAAATGTAATTCCCTAACATTCCAAAACACTAATAACACAAATAACGTCAGACCCTGAAGATTGTGTTCCGCACTACAGGTGTTTCAACCTGCTGGTGAAGGTGCGTTTTAAAAAGAGAGGTGAGTACTTTGCTTTTCGTACACCTGTAGAGCAGCAGGACACTTTCGGCGTCACAATGAATAGAAACAAATTAGCCATGGAAATTGCCTTTGAACTTACAATGTAAACACGATGCCAAAACAAGAAATAAACCGATCATGGTCCAGGCTAAGCAATGATTGTCGGTTATGTGTTTGTTAACTGGCCCCTGGTCTCCTGTCATTTGCAAACGATCAGCATCCCTGCTCTGCAGCTACTACTGCATTTCAGTATGTTAATTGTTTAATAACAGGATGCCAGCCACAGATTCCAAGTGCAGACATGATGAGCATGCAGGGAACCGATCTCTGCATCCTCCAGAGGCTAAAAGGGCTTTCACTAGCTGGTAGAGGCATCAGCTTCACCCAGACAGACCAACTGAGAGAGGCACTGAGAGACCTGCAGCTCAGCATTCAGGCATTCCCAGGTAAACACCACAGCTGCAACCTAACCTGTAATGAATGTGACAATGTTAACATCAATGCACTAGAGCAGAAGCAAATTAAGGTCAGTCAAATGCCCTTTAGGCCTATACTTGAGAACTATGGGCTACCATTTGAACAATGTTAACCTGAACAATGTTCAGAAGAACATGGTTAATAACTCCTTAAACTCCTGGCATCATTTTGACATAGATGTACAGTAGGACTGTAGTTAATCTGTATTTGATTCATGAGGTCCTTTGTGGGGGCCTGTGATAACGCTGTCTGCGCGGTCTGAGGGGGTACAGGTGCAGGGCTGTGGTGTGGTGAGGTGCTGTGGAGGCTTGGCAGGAAGCAGGAGGCAGTAGCTTGTTGGGAAAGGACCTGGAGCTTCACCCCACACTTCTCAGAACTGTAAGACGTTGCCATTGTTATTTTCTCTGTTCTAGCTAAGTTACTCTGTGGGATGTTGGTATTTTTCTTTAATCAGGCAGTCCCATGTGTTCATGTACTGTGGAGAGAAGGGGGAACACAGATGCAGCCCCAACCACGCTTATGAGTTTTTTGTTCAACTCTATGTGCATAAAGGACAAAACTAAAACTTTTCTTTGGTTGCAATGAACTAGCTAGTAGTTGAGTTTAAAATGATACGACCAAAATGCCTGCAAAGGAGAAATGCATGATTTGTGGTCTATCATATTCCACTGTGCAGATTTATAAGTCACAATAGATGTTAATGAGAAAACGTTATTAGTTGTAGGTTGATGCATCACTAACGGACTACTATAATTTTCACTGAAGAGTTCTGTGTGAAAATATGCATTTTCTTCTTTTCTTTACTTCTTCACAAAGGCACATTTGCTGTGCCTTTGTGAAGTTGACTATGAAGAGGGAGGCTAAGTCCTGATCACGAGTTCTATGAAATGCATTCAAAATACATTTTGCTGCCGCATATGAACTAGAGTCTGTAATGTTCTGATCTAGATACAATCTGATGTAGTGATTTAAGATACTAGGTCAGACCAGCATTTATTTCCAACTGTCAAAAATATAACTGCTAGTAGTTGAATAAGTCTCCTGCTGTTTTAGACCGAGGACGTTTACTGTGCTGTGATATTAATGCTCCTTCTAACTGGTGTATGCCGTTTGCTTTGTAGGAGTCTAGCGGTGTACCTGCAGGAACCTCAATCCGGCCCTCTTTTGGATTCTACGGAGCTGCGCCGCCGAATAGAGGAATTAAGTCCTATCTAGTCAGGCTAGAGGAACAAAGAAGAGTACCCTCTCACTTACTGAACAGGATCAATTTTCTCTGGGCTGGGAACTGAAGCTCAGACACACAACAAACATGTATCTATTGGGGCAGTAAAAAAAAAAAGCATCCTAAATGGGCTTGCAGTGTTTGACACTGATAACCGAGTGGTGGTGACAAACCTACCAGGTATTTTATGCATGGAATAAAGATTACTTGATATGTTGTAATTTTGAAACAGGGATTCTGGCTTGCTGGAGATTAAATGTGTATTTTGGCCAATCAAGATTTATCAAGGCTATAATAAATGTTTTGCAAGAAAATGACATGTACCATAAACTTTGATACTATTCTACAATTTATATTTATATTGTTTTATGAAATGATCACCCTAATATAACGGCCAAATAAATTTGCGCTGTTTGCACATAACAACGTTATTCGTGCTGTTGCATCTTGGACTGAAATACGAATGCCATGTTTATACGAGGTTTCATTTACAACGCGGTGCAAAGGTATTGGATGACATAAGTTTAGTGACAGGCTTGGATAACCAATACGGAAGAAGTTGTTGAAACTAGGAACCCCCCACTAATTTATAACTGGCCAAATTGCCAAAATATTCCCAATGACGTGAGACTCCACAATCTTTCATTGGTTACCAAAAATGATGGACAGTCGTCAGCCAATCAGAAGGCTGGATGCGTCCAGCTCACCGTATAATTGTAATGAAGGGCACAGAATCCGCTGCTCTTTCGTCTGAAATCACAGAGAACGTCCAGTTACGAGAACCAGCTAAGACTCTTAAACATTTAGCTAGAATTTATTTATTAATCGTAATCCAGGTGGACGACCATGGCTTCGGGCGGAGAGTAAGTAAAATATATTTCACTCCAGTTAAAATACGGTTTTCGGAACAACGGCGAGCAGCAGATGTCTTTTACTAAGGCTAACGTCAGATCGGAATACGTTAGTTTATAAAAGTTAGCTCGGTTGCTAATGCATTAGCTGCTTTGCTAGCAAGCTAGCTAATGGGGTCAGTTGCCTCAGCCTCCGCACTTTAGTCCGTGGGCTGAATAACCTAACATTGTGAATTCACTGACAGTTAGTGGTTTTCCCGAACAATTATCAACGGTTCCCATCCACAGGGTTGTCGTTGGCCAGCTCACCGTATTAAATTAACCAGCTGGGGCAGAGCGACTTGACAAAGCGCAGTCATCGCTGTCGTGTTTGAATGCTAACGTTAGCTTGGCAGCACTGTCAAGGCCGAAGCCTTCCACCATCACAGCGACAAATTGGCCTATCCGCCGGCTAATAGCCCGTTTTTAGAGTTGTTTTTGAATTGATATAAGAAACCTCCCCGGAGATCCAATGGGTACATGGTATGAACGTGGGTAATAAGCCAACGGTTCCACGAAAGGGAACGTTAACGCTAGCCCTCCATGTCATGGTGCGCTCTCTATACCCACTCTACACAGTGCACCAAAGCTAGCAGGCTAACGGGGTTTGGCTAGTCATTCTAACTAAATGATCTCTATTTTGACGTTTGTTCAACGGTCCGCAAATAACTCATTTTATCAATGTTGCTTATGTTACTCGGGACTTAATGTATATTGAGTCACGATCGTGTTGGGACGCTAATTTGTCTTTAGAGGTGCCTAGCTAACGTTAGCTAATAAAGTTGTTTTTCAGTTCTTTTGCTGTGTCATCTGGGCTTGCTTGCTCGCCAGTCAGTTAGCTTTTCGGCTAGCATTAGCACGCTAACATACTGATAGAGAAGCTCAACCTGTCCCAGGCTCTCTGGAAACCTTTGGCCGTTTGAAACTTAACCAATTGGGTTTTAACTTTATTTTTAATATCTGTACTACTGTTTGCATCTGTAGCGATTAGTCATGGTTATTAACGAGTCATATGAACGATCTGCATACACGTAACGTTATAACTGCGATACATAATTATTTATTCATAATGGAACTTTTACGCACTTAACAATCTTGGGTGTTTATGATTTACTGCCAATAATTGTGTTCTCATTCCATGCGTTTTGTATAGTTAAAAACAAAGACAATATAGTAAAATGAAATTCACAACAGATCCACAACAAACTGACAGTTCTGCGCATTTTCCCTCCTCAGACAGTTTAGTGTGGAGTTTAACATGATACCAGTAATGACACATTTAGATCTCATACAGGTAAAAGGTTCAGACAGAAACCTGTCCTGCAAACAGTGTTCAACCTGAAAAGTGTCAATAAGTGCGTCGTTTACCATAGACAGCTTTAATTAAATAATCCAAAACAGTCGTTCACTTTCTGTGTTTATTAAATGTTCTCTCCGCCGACTACAAACCCAGCGATAAAGACCCCCAGCGATATCTTGGTCATTGTAGGACCTGCATTAAACCTTGAAGTTGCCAAATGAGTTATTTTGTCTGTTAATCTTTTAAATTTTTTTTTTTATAGATCCAAAAATGATGACCTAGCCACTGCAATTCTGAAACAAAAGACCAGACCCAACAGACTGATTGTCGATGAATCCATCAATGAAGACAACAGTGTGGTCTCTCTCTCTCAGGTAGACATTCAGAAGACTTCATGAATAGGCTAATTGAACTGCAAATGATCTGTGGTGATACATTAAGACACTATCTGTCATCTTGATATATTTGAAATCTAATGACCATGAAATGCTCAAGAAAACATTGTTTAATGTCTCTAAGACCAAGATGGACGAGCTGCAACTCTTCCGCGGAGACACAGTGCTGATGAAGGGAAAGAAGAGGCGGGAGACTGTGTGCATTGTGCTGTCCGATGACACCTGTTCTGATGAAAAGGTTCGCATGAACAGGGTGGTCCGCAACAATCTGAGGGTCAGACTGGGTGATGTCATCAGGTGAAGCAAATCATTCACTTTTATCACATTATTTTCACTACCCTCTTAGAAAAAATAAGCGGGCCTAATTCAAATATCTATTTTAGCATTCAGCCATGTCCTGATGTGAAGTACGGAAAGAGGATCCATGTCCTCCCAATAGATGACACCGTAGAAGGAATTACTGGCAACTTGTTTGAGGTCTACCTTAAGCCATACTTTCTGGAGGCTTACAGGCCAATCCGCAAAGGTGAGTAAAAGATGTGCTTGTCACAAAAAATATTTATTTGTACCTGGCTGATAAAATGTTTCAATGAAACATGAATGATGTTTAACCATCTTGGGAGGTGAAATGAAGTTTTCTTTTATATTGTGAAGGTGACATCTTCTTGGTCAGAGGAGGCATGCGTGCTGTGGAGTTCAAGGTGGTAGAGACGGACCCCTCTCCCTACTGCATTGTTGCTCCTGATACAGTCATCCACTGTGAGGGAGAGCCAATCAGGAGAGAGGTGGGTATTGCATACACACGCACACAGTCCATGATTTTAGAATTGACCAAAACCAAATTGCATTGAAATTCAAACCTCTTGTGTTTGATCATCCAGGATGAGGAAGAGTCCCTGAACGAGGTGGGATATGATGACATTGGAGGGGTGAGGAAGCAGTTGGCTCAGATCAAAGAGATGGTGGAGCTGCCTCTCAGGCACCCTGCACTTTTTAAGGCCATTGGCGTGAAGGTAAGGCAACAAGCAGAGATTTTTTCTTCATTGTACGTTTTGAAGTAAGCCTGTGTAATCTAAAACCACAAAGATAGATTTCCACTCATTACTGCACTATTGGAGTCTTCTAGACCTATGCTATATTACGTATGTGTTTATAATAGCATAAATGCACAAGATGTATGTTTGCTGCTTTTTGTGTAACACATGTAGCATGTATTTATTACCCTCCCTCTTTTCAGCCTCCACGTGGAATCCTTCTATACGGACCGCCTGGAACTGGAAAGACTTTGATTGCCAGAGCTGTAGCCAATGAAACTGGAGCTTTCTTCTTCCTGATTAATGGTCAGAACACTCATCTATTCATGATGATGATCCTGATAAATACACATCTTAAATATCATATTGGATGCATGGCTATACTGTAAGCATCAACACAACTGGCATAATTTGATATTGTATACATTTTCTTTATTACTTGAGCGTTGGCAGGGGAGAGCCATATTATTTCAACATACTATGAGATCACTGTCTCCTTGGAAACAAAGTTCCACTTTCTGTTTTAGGTCCTGAGATCATGAGTAAGCTGGCTGGAGAGAGCGAGAGTAATCTGAGAAAGGCCTTTGAGGAAGCAGAGAAGAATGCTCCTGCCATCATCTTTATTGATGAGCTTGACGCAATCGCTCCTAAAAGAGAGAAGGTGAGCAAGAAGCTTTGGGAACTAAATGGATATATACTTATGGCTAGTCTCCACAAACTAAACAATGTAGTAATTTTTATAATTTGTCATGTGTTCGTATGTTAGGATCTTTTGTCTCATGTTGATTCCTTGTCAACATGCTCAAAAGTAGTAAACGCGCTAATGTGTAAATAGTTTTAAAATGCGACTTCTATTTTAGACCCATGGAGAAGTGGAGAGGCGCATTGTTTCCCAGCTGCTGACTCTTATGGACGGACTGAAACAAAGAGCTCATGTGATCGTCATGGCTGCCACCAACAGACCCAACAGCATTGACCCAGCTCTCAGGAGATTTGGTAAGTTGTTAGTTCTCAGCTTGTGTGTAGTTACTGCATACTTTGAGTAATGGAATAATCGTCTGTGCCGATGAGTGGGGGGGGGGGGGGGGTTCTTTTTTGGGGGTAGATTTTTGGCACTTTAAACAAGTTAGGAGCGCAACAAAGTGCACGAGGACAGCAGCAAGTTCAAAACGTTTCACCTGGGGAAATTCTGCTGAAATGTAAAAGAAATTCAACAAAAGGTTCTATACATGCTGACTGAGGTGATTACGCGTTAATTGATAATATTTAGTCTTTAGAAGAGAACCAAACTTAATTGTGAATAATTTGAAAATGTGAGATTACTTTTTAAAATCTATTGACGGCCCTAGAAAAGTGTTGGAATAGTTTTGCAAAACTATTAAAAATTAAAGGACTGAAATGTATAAAGTATCGGGTTCTAAAGTGTTTACAGCGTTTGCCATGCCACTCAAAATCGAGCTCAGGTGCATCCTGTTTCCACTGATCATCCTTCAGATGTTTCTATTACTTTATTGGAGTCCACTCTGCTATATTCGGCTGATTGGACAGAATTTAGAAATGTACACACCGGTCTTTATCAGGTCCCACAGTTGACCATGCATGCCAGCGCACAAACAAGCCATGAAGTTCAAGGAATTGTCTGTAGATCTGAGACAAAATGCGATCAAGGCACAGATCTGGTGACTGTACAGAAATATTTCTTCAGTATTGAAGGTCTCAATGAGCACAGTGGCCTCCACCCAGAAATGGAAGTTTGGAACCACCAGGACTCTTCCTAGAGTTGGCCGGCCAGCCAGACTGAGCGATGGGGGAGAAGGGCCTAAAGGCCGGCGCATGCTTCTGCGTTTGCGTCTGCGTCGTTGCATCGACGCACTCGTTTCAATTCATGCTTCTAAAAGTCTTGCGTGTGTTGCGACGCAAGGGACACGCAAGAGGGTCTTGGGTCTGCGTCGCTCCGAAAACGCAGAAGCATAAATCAGGCTTTAGTCAGGGAGGTGACCAGACACCCGATGGTCACTCTGACAGAGCTCCAGCGTTGTTCTAATGAAGAGGAGAACCTTCCAGAAGGACAACCATATCTGCAGCACTCCACAAATCAGGCCTGTATGTGGCCAGATGGAGGCCACTCCTCTGTGGAAAAGGCACATAAACGCCTGGAGTCCACCGACAGGTACCCGAAGTACTCTCAAAAAAAATTCTCTGGTCTGACAATGATTGAACTCTTTGGCCAGAATGCCATGCGTCATGTTTGGAGGAAACCCGGCACTGCTCATCACCATACCATCTCTAGAGGGAAGCGTGGTGCTGGCAGCTTCATGCTGCAGGGATGTTTTTATGCGGGAGGAAATGGGAGACTAGTCAGGATGGCGGGAAAGACTAATGCAGAAATGTACAAAGAGACATCCTCGGTAAAGACCTGCTGCTTACCGCTCTGGCCCAAAGAACACAGCCAAGATAACAAAGGCGTGGCTTCGGGACAGCGTGAATGTCCTCTAGGGGCCCTGACTTGAACCCGATTAAGCATCTCACGAGAGATCTGAACCGGCTGTGCACAATTGCTCCTTATACAAACCATGTGGAACTTGAGAGGTTTTCTAAAGAAGAATGGGGGAAACTACCCTGAAACCGCTGTGCCAAGCTTGTAGCCTTGAGGCTGTTTGCTGTAAACTGCTCTTCACCACAGTATTGCGCAAAGGCTGTAAATACATTCTTTATTTTTAATAGATTTGCAAACATTTCCCAAAATCTTTTTTTTACTTTGTCATTACGGGGTGTTGTGTTTTAAAAAAAGGACCTGTTGCCTGGTTCACTAAAGCATGTTGACATATCACTGATTAAAAACTGATGTTTTCTCATTTTGGGCCCTGCGATTCAACAGTGTTTTTTTTTATTTATTTTTTTAAAGGCACTTAATGGGTTGTTTCTGACAGCCTTGACTAAGGCCTAGCATTTTCATTTTGTTCATTCAAATACTTGTTACTTTTACAAGTCATCTCTGCTGGCACATCATGAGAGGATGGCAATGAGTATTAATAGCTCCATAAGGCTGCTTTATGGCTCTTAGTCTGTTCCAGTCAGAACTAATAAGTGTGTGTTTGAACCTCCAGGGCGTTTTGATCGTGAAGTGGACATTGGCATCCCTGACGCCACTGGCAGATTGGAAATACTCCAGATTCACACAAAGAACATGAAACTGGCTGACGATGTTGACTTGGAACAGGTCCGTTCACTCGTTTCCTTCTAGTGACGTAACGCACCCACTGCTTCATGTTTCATGTCTCGTGCTTATCTTTCTATAAAGTTCCAAGTAAAACAACCAGGGAAATTATTTGTAATTTCATATTTACAGCCATGGAATCTGACTCAATTTAATTTGTAATGGCAGTTGGTGTTCATGGTAATACTTAATGACTGTGAATTGTGTAGGATACTGGACAGGAAAGTGATATTGTGCTATCAATATCTCGTCTGTAGGTCGCCAATGAGACCCATGGACATGTGGGTGCGGATCTGGCTGCTCTCTGCTCTGAGGCTGCCCTGCAGGCCATCAGGAAGAAGATGGACCTGATTGACCTTGAGGATGAAACCATTGATGCTGAAGTTATGAACTCCCTTGCTGTCACTATGGATGACTTCAAGGTAAGGGCTGTGATCTGGTCCATGGTGCAAGTAAGACCTGTATCGGCCTTGTGAGCCCCCACTGATTATGCTCAACGCTGTCTTTCAGTGGGCTCTGAGCCAGAGCAATCCATCTGCACTGAGGGAGACTGTTGTCGAGGTGCCCAACATCACCTGGGAGGACATCGGAGGTCTGGATGATGTCAAGAGGGAGCTGCAGGAGTTGGTGCAGGTATGAAATTTCTTCCTGAGGTAAGATCGTGTTTTGAAATGGATGCATCACAAGCGGTAATCTTCTTCCCCTTATTCAATTCAGTACCCAGTGGAGCACCCGGACAAGTTCCTGAAGTTTGGCATGACCCCATCCAAGGGTGTGCTGTTCTATGGTCCCCCTGGTTGTGGTAAGACTCTGCTGGCCAAAGCCATCGCCAACGAGTGCCAGGCAAACTTCATCTCCATTAAAGGACCCGAGCTGCTTACCATGTGGTTTGGAGAGTCAGAGGCCAACGTCAGGGAGATCTTTGACAAGGTACGGATGCTGTTAAAGTATTGTGACTCACTCATGCCCGGAACAACAGCAACATCTTTGTTTGCATCTCATTTCAATCTACACAATTCTGTGTGACGTTTCCAGGCTCGTCAAGCAGCACCTTGCGTCCTCTTCTTTGATGAGCTGGACTCCATAGCCAAGGCCCGCGGTGGCAACGTGGGAGATGGTGGCGGAGCAGCCGACCGCGTCATCAACCAGATCCTGACCGAGATGGACGGGATGTCCAGCAAGAAGAATGTCTTCATCATCGGAGCCACAAACAGACCAGACATCATCGACCCCGCCATCCTGAGACCCGGCCGTCTGGATCAGCTCATCTACATTCCTCTGCCCGACGAGAAGAGCAGGATGAGCATCCTGAAGGCCAACCTCCGCAAGAGCCCCATCAGCAAGGTGCTTCTAGCTGCAGCTTCTTGTGTAGCTCTTCTTTTTAAATGCTTGATCTGACTTGAATCTGTGGAAAATATAACTGCCTGGCCAATTTCTAATCTTTTTTCTTTTCTTTTTTTTTAAATAAAAAAAAAAAAATCTTTTGACAGGATGTGGACTTGGACTTCCTGGCAAAGATGACCAATGGCTTCTCTGGAGCTGATCTTACAGAGATCTGCCAGCGGGCGTGTAAGCTGGCCATCAGAGAGTGCATCGAGAATGAGATCCGTCGAGAGAGGGAGCGGCAGACCAACCCGTCCGCTATGGTCAGTGTGTGTCCCGTCCCCTGGAGGAGAAGCTCCACACTGTTGCTGCCTAGGATATTAAGAGAGATTTATTTATTTATTTGTTTTGTAGGAGGTGGAGGAGGATGATCCCGTGCCAGAGATCAGGAAAGATCACTTTGAGGAGGCAATGCGATTTGCTCGTCGCTCAGTCAGTGACAACGACATCCGCAAATATGAGATGTTTGCTCAGACACTGCAGCAGAGCCGAGGCTTTGGCAGCTTCAGGTACACTTACGAACATTTTATTTGATTTAAATCTTCTCTCGATTGACAATTCTTTCTTTTTTTTCTTGTGTGTAAGTAGCTTCATCCTGTCAGTCATGATATTTTCCTAGAATTGCTGACTGCAAGACCTGTGATGTAACATCTGAAATGCCAGTGCCGTATCAGTGAAAATGACTTTTCTCCTCCAGGTTTCCCACCAGCACTGCAGGCGGCAGTGGTCCAACCAACGGCTCAGGAGGTACCGGCAGCGGTCCCGTGTTCAATGAAGACAACGACGATGACCTTTATGGATAAATGTACACTGCCCCACAGTGGTCAGTACCGGGATCACACCTGTACAAATTCTCACCAGATTCCACATTTTTAGGACTTTGTGCTTCTTTCATGTGTTCCTTTTTTTTGTATGACTTCCCTTGGAGAAAGCATGTAGCCGCTTGGTTTGCCCTGGCTTTGATGTGGGTGGGGATAAGGGGAGGATGTTGGAAATGTAAGGTGAGCGACTGATGCAGATTAGGGAGGGTGGGGGGGGTTTATTGAGTGGCCTCATTCTCAGTATATCACAACCAACATGAATGGCTTTAGTGATGGGATTCTATGCTAGACTATAAGAAAAGAAAAAAAAACATATTGCTTATGACTTCTTCTTTTTTTTTTAATAAACAGTAGCATATAATGTATTACAAATTTGTCAAGGTTATGTTGTTGAAAATAAAATCTCACAAAATGGAAGTGTTATCCCTGTCAGTTTGAAACTTTTTTTTATTTGAATTCTCGTACATTTGGTTGGATTTAAAGATTTATTTATTCGTATCACAGTAGAAACAAAGACAATTGACTGTTTTGGCTTAAAGGCAGTTTCATACTGACGATGGTATTAGTCTTGTAACGTATTCTCTCTGCAATGTCTGAAAAGTGGTTCAATTTGTAGAAAGACCAACTATTCAAGTCTCCAATATTAAATCAATACAGCAGCAACAAAAGGAAAAGGCATTGAGCATATTTCATATTTGTTTTCTTCCGTGTGACAATCTTCAGATAAATTGCATTCCTTGATAGACTAGTAAGGATCGTTGAAGGGAAAATGTGGGTGCTCTGCATCCCTCCACACTCTCTTGCCGTTCTTCTGTAAAAAGAAAAGCCCATTTGATCAGTCGTGCACACCTTTAGGAACAGAATCCACTGCTTATCAGACTCTATAGCTAAAAACCGGATTGTGTGTCAGCCACGCAATGTCATTTGAGTCCACAGCAGTTGAGCTTTGAGTTAATTTTGATCGGAGGCGTCTGTGCTACATAAATAAACCATCGTAAGGGCTCTGCCCGCCACGTCTGGGTAAAATGTTGCACGATGTCATAAGAGACTGACTCACCTCGACTGTTGGAATGATGAAGCGCTCGTTGCGGTTGAGTGTTTCCATGAGCTTCATGTCGTCTTCTGACAGAGAAAAGTCAAACACCTGCAAGTTCTCCCGGATCCTGGAGGGCGTCACGCTCTTTGGAATGCACACAACGCCCCTCTGAACGTTCCACCTGCCAGGACGCCACAGACTTAGTCCAACGCTTTCTGGCTGCGATCCGATTAGTACATTCACTTCTAGCTTTGGGTTGGTACCTGAGTATGAGCTGGGCGGGTGTTCTCTGATGTCTCTTTGCCATGGCAACCAGGGCAGGGTCCTGTAGCACGCTCGGTTCATCAGGACAGGCCCAGGGTCTGTCCCCGCTGCCCAGAGGACTGTAGGCTGTCACACAAACCGCTACCGACCTGTGGCACAAGTGCACGCGCTGTCAACACAACATTTTGATAAAGGAATAAAGAACATAGTTTGATAACGTGTTTATCTGCAGTGACACTGACCGACAGTGAGACACGAGATCCGTTTGAGACAAATAAGGATGGCATTCCACCTTTGACGAGACGGAGATCAACTTTTAAACTTATTTCTCAGTCAATAAAACCATATGAAATGTATGTTTGGTGGCCTGTGAGAAAGCAACATCGTACCTGGTTCACCACAGGTTTGTGTCTGGCCGTGGTGATGATGTCATCAGTCTGCCGGGCGTTGAAGTTGGACAGTCCTATAGCTTTGACCAGACCTTTGTCCACCAGGCTCTCCATGGCTGCCCAGGTATCTCTGTAGTGCACGTCAGAGTAACAAATACTGCCATCTTCTCGCCGGGGCATCAGCTCCTTCCCGCGCCTAACACGGCAACACACACACACACACACGCCGAGGCTGATGTCACAAGTTCATTGTCATTTCCCTTTAATCCGCCCGCCACTAACCACACGGAGACGGTTAATCAGTTAATCGTGTTGCGGTTGCTCACTGAAACGCCATGGGCCAGTGCATGAGGTACAGGTCCAAGAAGGATAGACCCAGGTGGGCCAAGCTGGTCCTGCACGCTTCCTCAACATCCTCCGGGTGGTGTTTGGTGTTCCACAGTTTGGATGTTATGAACAGGTCCTCTCGACGCAGCGCCTGGGAAGAGCACGGTCAAAACATCCATGTCTCACTACAGGGACATGCTTGATTGAGCTTGAAGGAAGTTTTAGATATTTACACGCTTGAATCAGAGACTGCAGGTGTATCGTGACATTTGGCCCAATCGGAGTTTCTCACCTTCCCAGGGCCGACCCTGCAGGCCAGTGCCTCTCCCACCTCCTGTTCGTTGCTGTATGCGGCGGCACAGTCAATGTGTCTGTACCCACAGTCCAAAGCTGCCAGCACCGCCTGCTTCACCTGAGGACACGTGGGACACATCATCTAAAAGCTATTTTATTTACTTCTAAAATAATGATCTCCAGAAGAAAGAAAGAACCCTACGCCTGTGTAAAGGCTTTTTCTTTTCTGTTTTACCTGTCCTGGAGCACTCTTCCAGGTGCCGAGTCCGACCACCGGCATCCTCTGCCCCGTTGAGAGAGTCACAAAGGCGCTCATGTTTCAACCCTGTTGGCCTGACGGAGGACAGGCGGAGAAGTGGTGAGAGGCGTTTGCGTGTAGACTCCTGTGAAACTGGCCCAGTCATTGTGACTGACTGAGTTAATGATTATCACTCACATCTGAATTCATTAACTCCTGCAGTGCAGCGTGGGGTCGTGTGTGCACATTACGCTCGAGCCATTTCAACGAGCAGGAGCCGTCGAAACTTCCCCCTCGGTGACCTGCTCTGTCGTCTGTTCGGCCCCGTCTTGTGTTTCAGGGTGAAACATGAACCCTCTGTGAAACCAGCGCTGGAGTCATAAGTAGGTGATGCAGGTAGCTGGTATTATTCACAGCGTGGTGTCAGTGCTGCACTAAACAGCCTTTCCCCGCTTCACTAACTGTACTACGTGCTCACCAACAAACATCAACCACTGCATTCGTTTAACCTGATCCCCGGCTCTAGCTCAGCCGCACAACGGAGCGTGTCCAAACTACAATCATTGAACCAGCACAAAGTCCAGCATGTATTGGCAATGTTTGATCTGGTAGATTTCCTAGTTTTGGGTTCCAAGAACTGATATCACATCAGTTAGTTTGTTTGTATGTACGCATGAGACGTATTGATGTTTTTCTGTGATTTTAAGACACCTGAATATTCATATACCCGTATGCATGATCTTATCACTCTTTAGCAAAAGAGAGTAGTGGAAGACGTACTCCGATATTAAAACCATGAAAAGTTAAAAGTGCAATTTCAACAACATAGAAACGATTAAGTGAAAGCATGCGTTGTACAGAAAAATGGCCTGATATTATATAAAATGTTAAATATAAGGAATGTGCCAATGTGGAAGAGGGCCTTTTACTGTTGTGGCCGGTCCGGCTTGCTTTACATGTTTAAAGTGTGTTCAAAGGGGAATATCTCTCCTGCTGTGAAATGATCCTAATAATCATTATTTAATCATGTTCCAAGGGTGAATATGTGAGGAGCAAAACAAACCAAAGGCTGATATGTAGCTGATCCTGACTGAAAGAGAAATTCAAATAACACGCCGCTAAGTTCACACATTTGGTTTATTTGTTGCCATTTTAAAAAGATCATAAATATAGTAAAATGCACACAAGCAGTGACAGTCCCTCGGCAGCAGCACTGCGTTCTGCTCGCAGCCACAATCCAGCGTCCCCGCAGGAAGGAAGCTCACACACTCAAGTCATTCAAGTCTCTCCTGTTATCGTATAGTTCCGTCAGTATCTAATGACATAAAAGTGCATTTATCAACAAATTGCATTCAAACATTTTCCCACACGCGTGATATATGTGTCCTACTGCTGCTGCCTGCATAAACAATACTTATCACACACATCTTATCATAAGTATAAACTGCAGTAGGTGGAGATAAAGGTCCCCCTGCAGTTTAGAATGAGAATTGCTGTTGCAATACTACAAAAACCTGTCTCCTAAACAGTGTTTTCTACTTGAAAAAAAAAACACGTTAGATGCACACGTAGAGAAGCAGTGATGAAATGACAAACTGAAGCCATGACACTGAAAAGAAGAGACTTCTCACAGTAGCACCGAGACATTGCCTTCAAATGGCACAAGAGCAGAATATACACAACAAAGACGGGTTTCCCAGAGAGATTTCCACTTTGGACCTCAGATTACTTCAATACTTTTCCTTCCACTGGGAAACCCAACCTGTGCTTGTATGGCACTTTACAGGGATGCACTGGTAAAAATTCTGTAGTTTTGTATCAAATCTCTCCGTAAAAATATCATTGCTCACAAACAGTTATTATGGCCATTGATGTTACATTACTTACTTACTGTCATACCAAGATCAGCACCCCCAAATGTGTAACACAGCATAGGGCATCATCTGTTGTGCACTTTGCATGGCTGGTTGTGTTTCTGTAGTGTGTGTGTTCACATATATGGTTCGACACCAGGCTAAGGCACCCGGATGTCCCACAGATAGCGAGTCAGGCTATTCAGGTCAGAAGGGAAAGCACCCATATCACGTGCAGATTGTATTATCCAAGCTTACACTGCTGTTATTGTTCCTGATTGTCGTTCTTAGATTTTTCAGATGCATCTGAGATACGCTGATATTCTCCTGAGTGCATTGAACGCATCAGAATACAATTGATTTTAGCGGAAATACATTTTAGCAAATGGCTCACACACTTCAAGCAAGATGCTTTATTAGACTGAAAACATAAGAAAGCAGGTGAGCCGGCGTTTGCACTGAACACTCACTTTTAAAAATGTTTTTTTAAATATCTCTCGCTTCATCGTATAATAAAAAGAGTTGAAAGCCTATAAAATCACTGATAAGTCCATTAAAAAAAAAGGAGTTAAGAACAGATCCATCCCCAGCCCGGCTCGGCTGCTTAAGTGTGTGTATGTCTGTGTGTGTGTGTGTGTGTGTGTGTGTGTGTGTGTGTGTGTGTGTCTGTGTAAGCTTCGGCCAAAAGAAACACAAATAAAAACATCCTTAAAGTGCCATTTGTCTGGCATTCCTTCCTTATTCTCCAAATCTGACGTTCCCACAACCGACTGTCCAGTGCTGCATGCATTATATGAGACATGGGGACTGGACGTTGGGAAGGGAAACTGCAATGAGGGTCAAAATTGAAATATGAAGGGTTGTTTTATTTGCGGTTGTTCCCATTTAGTCTGGAGTGTTTGTGCAGGAGGGGTTGAAGGTGAGTCCTCCTATGACTGGGGGAGGTGTTGTCGGATAATCTCTCTGGACTGAGGGGGAATCCTGTCGGGAAAACGAACAGAAAACTCCACAATGAGGTCACCGCGCTGGGACGGGTTCTTGGGCAAAGGCAGGCCTTCCCCCCTGAATCGCTTCACCGTCCCCGGCTTGATGATGTCGTGACATGGTAGCGAGATGACGCGGTTCTCCAGCGTGGGAATGCTCACTGTGCAGCCACACAGCGCCTGCAGCGGAGGAGATCAAAAGGGTTAAAAAAAACAAGCCATAAAAAATATCTGGATGACTTCATGTTTCCATGAACTAAACAACTTTAGTGTGAAAGGAAATGTTGTTTTAGTATCAACATGTGCCCTTGTGTGGTCTACGTAACAGCATTTGGAACAAAAAGTAGAAACCTTGGTGTGTGTGTGCGTGTGTGTGTGTGTGTGTGTTGGAGGGGCTCCGCATTGCACCGGGCACTAATTTTAGCAACGGCCTCATGGCCGGGACTAATGACGCGAGGGTGGAATCGGCTGCGCTTGTAAATAGTTTGAGGGCCTGTCAAATGGGCTGGCAGGACGAGAGGAGAGAACACACACACACACACTGCGCCTCACCTTCTAATCACAAGGACTGATGATATCCAGTCCGAGGGTAGAAAGCAATAAACTAAACAGAGAGCTGAGGTTATCGCGACTTCACAGGCTTTCCAGTGAGCATCACTCGCCAGATTTGCACTGGATAGAACAATTATTTAAATCCACAACTGTGTGAATGAAAAACCTGATAAATCAAACACATCCACTATATAATGTATTTCCCAACAACTGTTACAAAACCTACATAAAATAGGGGCAGTGAATAAATACCATTAGGTGTGGAGAGCCATTGATGATTCTCAGAGGCTGGGTTTAATCTTTTTTTAAGGATAGTTTGGGGCAACCAAGGGTTTGTAAAGTATTGGAATCGCCATGAAAAGTCAGAGTAAAAGAAAACTATTACATTTCATCCCGAGGGGAACACACACTCTTTAGCAATACATCCAAAAAGTTATTTCACAGAAATTCAAAATCGTGGTGGAGAAACTCTGTATTTCAAGTTTCCTTTTTCACTTCCAGCATCTCGATTTGCTGGTAATTTTTTTTTTCCATCTCCAGTTTTTTGGAAGAAACGTTCTAAATAGAGACGGTTACGTGGACAGTGGAAGCAGAGCAGCTGCTTCAGAGGACAGACAAGAACAGTTTTCCAGCCATGACATCAGCCTCGCGACATACGAGGCGATTTAGCCTGTGATGGAGACTCCTGCTCATCCTCTCCATTCACTAACACGAGTCTTACACACAGAGACAGGTTGCCATGACGCCTGGCACACACTGCTAGTGGATCTGGGGGCCCACTGATTACATAAGCCTCAGCTCAGACAACATAGCTGTAGAGACACGAATGCACACAGATATACGGCAGCTTTGCTATATCTGTGAGAGTGATCTGCAGATTCATTCCATTGGGTCACATCCTGACGTTCACCATCGCTGTTGCATGGTTGCTGAAAGGACAAGTTGTAAGTGCCTTTTATATAGCATACTTGGCATAATTGGCTTTTCTAATTGATGTGAGAGAGGACGGCTGTAGATTTATGTTTAGAGGCATAATGCCACAGTTACTGTGTGGGTTTCGCTGCTGAGCTAAGTGCAGTGGTAACCCTACCCAGAAATACACTGCCACAGCAAATACGACCACACTGCAGAGGCATTATTACGTAAATGACTAAATTGAGCCAGACTCAAGAGCCAGATATATGTCGGTTTCAGGAAAATCAGTGTGAAATTCCCGCTTTTTTTTGTCTAACTGCTTCTGACTGCTGTCACGGTGAATAAAATTGCAGGACTAGAAGTTTCCTTTTGCAGAATCTCCCAGGAGTCTAAAGATTGGTCAAACGAGCACACAATTAAGCTGTTCATCCAGGCACGCGCCTGTCAGCAAACAAAACCGACCAACCCAACAGCAGGGGCGACTGTGTGTGCTGCCTCCGCCGTGTTTGTCCTTTAGAGCGAGCGGTGCTGTTTCACTGCAGCATTCGGCATCGCATCTTCAGGGAAGCACAGGAAAGTAAAGCAGTGGAATATTTGTTCTTGTTTGCTTTGGATACTGAATCATCTGACCCACTTCCCTAACGTTCCCCGGATACCCCCTCCATCTTTAGCTGCTGACTTAAGTCTCTTATCTGGCTGCCAAAGGAGTAGAGGAGAGCTGAGGGAGTTCTGCAGTGCAAACGTAATCATAGCGCAGGTTTGATCAGGTGACATCAGCTGTTCAGTGCAGCTTGGTAAACTCCAATGTGCCCTCGTTAACTGGGCTGTCTTCATTATTGCTCGGCGTGCAGGGCCTCTTGTTCTGTAGAGTCGCTGCTGCCTTTCGGAGAACAAGCAACTCACCTGACATCTCCAGCTATTGGAGAACACCTGCTGTTAGGCCGACCTCAAGGAGGGAAGCGCAGCGAGAGGCGGCGCTTTTGAACATTACAACTTGTGTAATTCACAGACGGTTCAGAGCTGTGCCGGACCCGATGCACTCGTAGGAGCGCCTAATTAAATATCCTGCCACTCACAGTAATGCCAGCCTGGATCGTCACCGCTGTCACAAAACCACCCACCTTTTAATTGTTTGCACATAAGCTAGAAGATGCAAGCGTGTGTGCTTGTGCACGCGCATTCATTCCCATGTGCAGCCTGCCTGCATGTGTGTTCATGGATGTGTGTTCATGTAGCAGTGCAGAACGAGTGAGGAGGATGGGTCTATGCAGGGCACACAAGGACACCACACGACACCACATTCCTGCTGCGTCTCTCTCACTGCAGCGACAGAGACTAATCCTGCACTACAGCAACACGCATGCACGCATACTCACTCCTCAGTATGTTTTTATATGAGCACCTATTCAGGACATCATCCTACTATGTGAGTTACAGCTGTCCGCTGTTTGCACAGGTCGAGAGACAAAAATGTCTAAAGGAGTGGATTTTTAAATATGTTTTATATTCATCAAAGCCTTTGAAGCTCCATGAATTCATTCAATTTCTGCCTAGTTTGCCCCACTGAGAATCAAACCCCCAACCTCCCCGGCGTTATCTGCTCATCGAGATGCAGAACCGGGACAAAGAGAGAGGACTGAAGATAGACGGAGGAGCAAATGGCAAGTGAGCGCAGAGATGCAGTCGGTTAGATGAAAAGGGACAGGCGTACCTCTTTGAGACTAATCTTGCAGTTGAAAATAACGTTGGACCCGTCTCTTTTGAAGTGGACGTGCCCTTTGTCTTTGAGCACAAAGGCGATGTCAGCAGGAATGTTCTCAGGGGTCTCGTCCCCCTCCTTTGGGAAGGTGATCTTGGTCCCCTCCTTCCAACCCTTCTTGATGATAATGTTAAGGATCTTGTCCTCTGTCCTCATGCTGCGTCCGTCGGGGTTCAGCCTGCGGCGGGTAATCTTCATGCGCTTGGTGCAGCCATGGAAGATCTCCTCCAGAGAGACCTTCAGCTCGTGGACCACCGGAGGGTCCTGATGCTTTCGCCCTGTCCCCAGGCGCTCTGACGGCACCCCCTTCCTCCTGCGGCCCTCCCCTGGGAAGCCATTGCTCACCCCCCCCGGAAAGCCGAACGGTCTCCCGATTTGAGCGAAGGGGTCCTCCTCATCCCCGTCCATGTCCTGCTCTGCATTGTGGTCGTTGTGGAAGGAGAAACCGTTTGAGCGGCCGTGGCTGCGGTTGGAGCCAAAAAACATGTCAAAAGGATTAGAGCCTCCAAAGAAGGAGGCAAAAGTGGCATGGGGGTCTCCATGGAAGGTGTAGTGGTACGTTGAGCCGCCAGGAACACCCGAAGAACTGTTTCCTCCTGCCCCTAAACCTGAGAGAGAAGAGACAGAGGGACAGAGAGAAAAAAGCAGGACTGCTCAGATGCACGTGCATACTCAGACACCCACAATGCTGACGACACATCAATATGAAGTCAGGTAGCAGACGCGTGTTCAGAAAAAACTGTGTGTGGTGAGAAGAAGAGTGCAGCCCTCGTGGGTAGGAAACATCCCACAGCATCACTGACCTTCCAACAGAGCTGGAGGTGTGGAGGAACTCATAAAATACCAGGTCCCCCCCATCCAACACTCACGCAAATACATGTTTTAAACAGAGACGCAGGCACTAAACACCTACAAAATCTAAACCGCAGCAGCCGCAGCTATTTATGTCTTAACCACGTAATGATCTTAAGCCATCTGACGTCAGCACACACACACACACACACACACACTACCTTAGCAGCTGTGGGAAACTACCATATAGTAATAGAACTATTAACTGTGAAACACAACTTTCTGCACACAAACACCAACGAGGAGTCATGTAGTCACAGTGTTACTACTATAGTGACCCCCCCCCTCCCTCCTCGGGCTATTTTAATAACAACTTAATAGATCACCACGCCTGTTTCACTCGATGAACCTTTACAGACAGACGGACAGAGAGCATCGGAGCCGGACACAACCCCGTCCCCCCCCTTACCTTCCTCTCCCAGCTTATCGTAGACAACCCTCTTCTTGGGGTCGCTGAGCACCTCGTAGGCCTCTGCAATCTCCTTGAACTTCTCCTCCGCGTTGGCCTCCTTGTTCTTGTCAGGGTGGAAGCGCAGCGCCATGCGCCGGTAGGCCTTCTTGATCTCCTCCTCGTTGGAGCCCTTGGGGATGCCCAGGGTCTTGTAGTAGTCCTTCCCCATAGCTGCACACACATATACACTTTCCGGATCGGGACCCCCCCCCTCACACCTCCTTCCCCCTTCCTCTTCAGCTCAGGCGGTGGTCAGTCACTGGAGAGATACGAGGTTATCGTAAGAGTCTATTAACACAATCATCCCAGGCAGATACAGCCGTGAATCTATTGGATAGGAAAAGGGAACACGGTGTGTCGGTTTTACTATCTGTTGCTATGGCGATGTGGCGGCTGTGCCAACGTGTGGTGGAGCAGAGGAATCCCTTCCACTGATTTATCAATGGGGTCCTCTCCATATCAGCTCACGGAGGAGCACTTGGGGTCATTTGTCTGTGCAGTAAATGCATCTGATCGCGCCGATGATCCACATCTGTTCAATGAGACACGGGCTCCTCTAGAAGCTCAGTGTTGGATCAGGACAGAGACGAAATCCACCAGCCCCGTTACATCGATCGCACTGTGTAACGTTGTGTTACAGCCGAGGCTCTTTTAGACAAAGACCCAAAATGTTAAATCCCGACGATCATTTACACCAACTTGTAAAATTGCCACAGAACGAAAGGGGCATATTAGCGACCACTGACCATTTTACAGCAGAAAGGAAAAGAAGCCCACGCGAATAAGGAGAAGAAAGCAGCGTGGAATGAAATGAAGGAACGAGGCTTACCGGAGCGCTCAGCGATGTCTGGAGGACCCCCTCCACCTCCTCCTCCTCCACCCTGGTCCGGCTGCTGCCCCTCTCCCCTCCGGCCCGCCGGCTCCGCGGGCTCCTTATGCGGTGACGTCAGGAGGAGCACGAGCTCTGAAATAACCGGTGAGCAAACACTGAGGCGCATCTGACGCGTGGCTGCAAAACCTGCCGACTGCTGGCTGCCGGCCATAAACCCCACATCCATCCGCCGGGTGGAGGAGGGGGGCGTCACAGAGAAACCACATTCAACTTGTTAAAGGAGGCTGAAATTACATGGTCGGGATTTTTCCCGGTGTGACCCCCCCCCGACCCTCCACCCCCCTTCCCCCCCGCATGAATCAACAGATCAGTTTCCTTACCAGCCCGCCGCCGCCTTCTGTCCCACCGGCACCGGTCCGGTCTTTGTCTAAAATATCCCTTCGCCGTCTGGAGGCAAAGCCGACCAGCAGGGCTCTTTGCTCCCAAACACACTCTGCGCCCACTGAGTCACATCCAGGTTGAAGGTGTATTTAGAGGAAGTAGAAACACAGCTGTGGCATCCTCTCTCCTCCTCCAGATGTAGCAGGTGTGAAGCTCAGCAGGTAACACGGTCATATTTGGGGGGAGAGAGAGAGAGAGAGAGAGAGAGAGAGAGAGAGAGAGAGAGAGAGAGAGAGAGAGAGAGAGACAGCTGAGTGTGAGTGATCGTGGAGTCGTGCCTGTGTTGAGTTGGTACAAACAGTGAGTCGTGTGAAGAATTCATATACACACTCAAGCGTTTTGATGTTCTTTCTTTCTAAAGAACGAAGATGCGTTCAGGGTCACATCCTACGTTCTACATAACTAAACTTGAACCCTTGTCTTTTCCTTTTTTCTTTCTTTGACCCCGAAAGACTCGCTAACCCTGTGTGTTTATAACATGATGACATTGCACAATAAACTAGTGGAAGTCCTGAACCGTATTTCCAAACGAATAGTTCTGAGACCCCCGGTTGGGAATCCCACCTTGACGGCTTTACCACAGAGCAGATCAACAAGCAGCCTACAGCTTTCTAAAAATCACGCTCGGTCATAAGTGGTGACTTTTGGCGTTGAGTCTATAGTCAGCAGGGCGAAGTGCTCCTGTACTGCTGGGTCAGTGCGACAGAGAGAAAGCTAGAAAGAGAAAGAGAGAAATAAAGACTGATTTCAGCTCGAGTCATTACTCCCTACTGGACTGGGGAGGAGGAGGAGGTGTGAAGTGGGTTTCTCAATTGCAGGACACAAACACATGTACTCACACACACACACTGAGCATTTAAAACAATGCAGGCAGTAGAGAGAGACATTCCATGTGGGTCCAGCTGAGTGTGTGCTTTGGCAGCAGGGAGGGAGTTCAGGCCAGTGCAGCTGTCCCAGAAGGGCAACTGGTCAGCAGTGGACTGGTATTTATGCTGGGGGGGCCTACATTGGACGCTGACATATGTTCGCGGGTCACACAGCGAACATACTCGTTTCTGTCATAAGTTCTTGCATTATTAGATTTCATGAGCGAGTGGAGTTGAGATTGCACTCAAACAGCCCAGGAACAACTACTCCTAACCCGATGCAGGGTTTCCATGGTGACACAGGAATCTGCCAGACAGGGATGTGTCTGCTAATGCTCGGTCTCAGCAGCCGGTCCTCCCAGCTCGTGTTTGTGTCGATACGCGTGTCTATCTGTGAGACGGTGACAGTGGGGCGGGGACGATGCTTGAGAGCCAGCTGTAACATTAATATTGCATGCACAAGTGTATTCCACCACCTGAGGGGGGTCACAGAAAACACGGGAGGCCGTCTCGGGAGTGCTAAAGGCAGCGATGAGCGTCTGCGAGCACGTCCCCCCTCCTCTCTCACAGCATCAGAACACCCCGTCCTATCCACCTCCTCCCTCACGTCTACCCTTCCTGTAACCATAGAGACGACCGTTGACGAGAGGCTTTCTCCCAGACAGATTTGGTGGTGTTAAGTGAGGATACTGGATGTATTTGTGCACACAAAAGCACACCGCTCAGTTCGCAGACCCCCTCCCAACAGTCCTCATTCACCAAGGGAAAATGTTCTGTACCTTTTCACAGAAAGAACAGGACGCACATGACAATTAAATGACTAAGACACACTACGTACTTGTCATAACAGGATTCTTAGACGAGAACACTTTAATTTCTCTTTGTCCATATGGTCCATGGAGTCTGCAGATTGTAAGCCAGTGTTGTTAATAGAAGCTACACAATATTTTCTGTTTTGCTGCCTGGAACTTTGTGTCACTCGGTTTCTTTACAGCTGGATCCATAAAGCCGTCACGCGTCTCTCCACAGGACCTGTCCAGCGAGCGCAGATCCGTCTCCATGTGCAGCATATAGTCCTCAATCGCTGAGTTGAGTTTGAAAGTACTGGCAGGGAGACATTATGTTCCCTTTACTGAACTTAGTTTTGTCTCCTTTGTGCAGCCAAACACCGACGCTTCCTCCTCCAGCAGCCCTACAGACCCATTCCTGATGAGTGACTCATAAAACAAAAGAAATGCGTCTGACATTAACAGTCACCACGTAACACAGGCAATAAGACCTTCAGGCAGGCAGAACATTATTACTGACATGGCACAGAGCAACTGAAGTGGTGAACTGACGAGGCTAATTGAAATTATTTGTAGAAAACTGTTGGAGGGTTGGTGCAGTGTGGAGGTCTGATACATGTGAATTAAAATCTGCCTTTGTCCTCACATGAGCAACACACTTGTTTATGTAATAGGTGTACAAGCCAAATATGGTCTTGGTAGCACGTCAAGCAGGTCACTCCAGGGGAAAACTGCTCAGTAGCAACCCTTTGGGGCCCAAACAAGCCAGAATCAGTACCGTAATACTGATATATTTTTTCAATTTCACTGAATAGCACTTACAGGGGTTCCCCTTTACCCCCACGAACATAAATTGTGCAAATAGACAAAGTAGTTCCAGACTCATTACACCTTTTAACATGGGTGTGCCATTTTCGGAGCAAAGGCCAAAAAAGAGGCAGGTGTCCAAAGGGGCTTACCAGACTGAGCTACTTTAACATAAGGTTAGTTATATAACGTCTCACTGAGAACATGTTCCGCATACTATCTGCAACAATATCACACTCATGGTCTCTTAGTAATACCAACAGCATCAGTAATTTGTGTTACAGAGTGCACACACTACATTACAAAGAAGCCAAGCAGTGTGGAACATGGGAAGTGGTGCTTAGTGGACCTTCTAGTGCTCATTCAGGCTGCTGTCTTTGTGCCAAACGGAGACAGAGGAAACAACTGCAATTTATGTTCAAGAAGGTTTACGTAGCTGAGCAAATTAAAATAACATCTCTTTGGCAGAAACAAGAAGAACATTATGTTGGACATAAACACACTATTGGCTGAATGCTCCTAAACATGAACACGGTAAGTGTGTAGCATCTATGATTTATTGAGGGCTTGTGGCTAGATGCTAGCATCAACAGCTAACACATTGAACCCTGTCTTCCAGCTTATTTCCACCCTCATTTGGAGATTACAGGTAAACCTCTAGGCTTTAGATCGGTCAAAATGCACAGCGTGCTGTGATGAATCATCAGCACATGTCACGCAAACACCACGCCGATGAGACATGCAGCTCTCACTGGTATAAAAGCAGTAATTCAATGTCACTCCTTGAAAACTCCAGAAAGATCTTTTTTGTTGTACAGTTCAGAGGTCAACTCCCACTGTATTTGCTGCAGACAAGGCAAATGTCCCCTTGGATCTGCAGCAGGCTCAGGTTAAGTCACGGCTAACGGATAATGTGTAGGTATCGGAGGTCAGGGTACAGGAGGTTGGATAGCAGGGCCAGCAGACGCGGTCCATCTCTGAGACAGTGTCCTGGGTAGCGGATGAACTGGACAGCTTTATTCACAGATTCCTCTAACTCGGCATACTGTTTATTGCTGGGCATGGCCTCCAACACCCCCAACATCTGCATCCATAGGAAACACAAGAAAGGTTATCTTTAGGAGATGACTGCGGATAAGTAATGAAACAAAACACTTTATTTGCATTTTTTGTTGCATACTTGCTGTCCTTTCGCAGAGAGCTGCAAGTCACTGGTGGGTTGGAGTCGAAGCTCGGTCTCCGATGGCATCTGGATTGACAGGAAAGCTCCCAGACTGCGCACCACGACCCTGAACCTAGATATACAGTGGACATGAATTAACAGGAGGTTTATCAACAATGGCACATGCATAGTTTTAGAATAGAATAGAGTAACATGCATGTGAGTTTACCTATTAGAAACAGGAGACCTCTTCCCCAGGCCGATTGCTCCCAACAATCCAGAGTTCAGTCTCTCTTCGCCCAGCTGAAGCAGCCTGGTTTGCAACCTCAACAGACCCATGACGATTCCCGACACTTCGGTCTGTCCAACCTGCGGCCTCAGCTGCTCCGCTGACATACTCAGTGCTTTGTGCCACCAAAGAAACAGCTTGGCTTCATCACCTGGACCACTGGACGCACAAAAGTACACATGCTAAAAGGTCCTTTGCGAAGCCACAACAAGCAACTAAAAGAGAGAATGAGGGTTCAAACCTGGGGAACACTTGATTGGTCCAAGTGTTGATTAAAGCCAGAGTCCTCCTCTCATTGGCTGCTGTGCACTCAGAGTTGAGGCGCTGAAGGATGAAGGCGTAGAGCGTCAGGAAGCTGCCCCCTGATTGGCTCTCAGAGAGGAAGTCATCCACTGTGAGTTCAGGCACCTGCAGCGATGCCAACACAGGACCCCAACCCATAGACTCCTCCTCAGCTGAAACAAACACATAGACGGTGGAATCAAAATACCTGCTAACTAACTTGTATGAGGAGAGGATCAGGAGTAAAACACAAATCAAATCCCTTGAAAAATCATATGCAATAGTAGGTACAGCACATCAACATGTGCACGGGTATCCATGTGCATGGGACAGAGCTCTTCTAGAGGAGAACGCTTCATCACTTTTCTCTTACTGTAACAGTAAGCAGTGAAACGCCCCCAAAAAGCAGTTGCCATTCTCAGTTACTTTAGTTACCGTGGTTGAAGTATGCTGTGATGCACGCCTCCATGATCCTCGTCATATGCCGCACTGACGCAAGACAGCGGGAGCAAGCTGTGAGGAGAGGCAGGATAGGGAAGCCCCTCCCCTTCCTGTCCAGCCAGGTAATAACATGAGCAGCAAGCGCCTCGCCTGTTGAGACACCAACTCCATTCAGCAAAGCAAGAGCTTCGCTGAACAGACTGCAGAACGCCATGTGTCTCTTCTCCAAATCAGTCTCTGTAGAGGGAAAAAAATAAGTGGTACAATCAAAGTGATGAAAAAAAACAGCGTCGGATTGGTGGGTCATGTTGAGGAAGACAAGGAGGATGAGGAAGACTTGCCTGGTGGGTTGAACGTGATGACGCTCTCCAGAAGAGACTCCAGCTGAGCCTGCAGGTTGCTGAGGCTGATGCTGCCTCCCTGCTCCAGAGTCACCAAAGACTGCACACACCAGCACACGTGCGCTCCAGCCTTCTGCGTCTCCTCCTGACAGAAGTAACAAAGATCATACGGGTGCTTGGGTCAGAAATAGATATACATGAATATATTTCACAATATTTCAAAGTGTGCACATTATAAGAGATATCAAGCATATATGTCCTCAAACTAAGATTTAACATTCCCCAAAATAATAGAATTGTTACAATACAATTAGGTATCAAGCATTACATCACTTATTTACATGCAGTTTGCTTTCGAACAATAGATTTTTACTGACTCTTAAGAGAAAAATATGTACAAAATAGATGAATCGTTTAAGATTTAACGTTTCATTGTTTTATGTTGGTGTAATTGCATTTAATTTCCTCATATTTTTGCTATGATCAGTTGTACCTACAGTATGTTTGACAGAACACTTGTTTTGAGGGATGAGATCAAATACACTATAGAGTAGAGAAAATTCACTGTCGAGTCTTAAAGTGGTTCGTGAAACATAAAATTGCCTTCCTTTGCTCCGTCAACAGCAGCTGTAAAGATTTGAGTGAAGCAGTTATGTAATTTTGGCTGAGTAATATAGAGCTGGCAAAGAAAGATGAATTGTTTAAGTCTAAATTTAATACGGATGTTCCAAGCCTCCCCCTTTTACACCAGACGTATCCGCCTGGGGCAGAGTAGCCGCAGATAAAGGAGATGCATTCATCTTTGAATTCTGTCCCTGTATAATACAGCCAAGTCCATCATACTATATCTAGTATCTCCATCCACCCATCGAATCCATGGTCATGAAATCTCAGCGGTAAAATGATATACTACATGGTTACTCAATCATCAGTATGTTTCGTCAGATTTATGAGCTTGAACCCTTGACTTGGGCTACCGCCTACTTCATACAGAGATTAAATGTAAATTTAAATTACTGTGGGTATAATAAGAGGTTTATGATGCCTCCATAAATCTAGGATTGGATTTTTCTATTGTCCCACCCTGTGTGGAAGTTCTTGAGGGAGGGGCCCGAGACCAGCAGCACTACGCAGAGATTTCAACAGCAGCTGCAGCGCAGAATCAGAACTGAGCAGCAAGGAGGGCGGGTAGTGGGTGCCGACATATTGCAGAATGCCCTGGTAGGAATTTAAGTCCAGTTGGTGCCAGGGCAGAGAGGTGGATTGGACCAAAAGACTGAGCAGAGGGGAGTCCTGGAGGTTGAGGAGGACATACATTATAAATCAACATAGAAGGGACAAGTGGGCCGACTGTGATGGGGTGAAGAATTTACTGGATTTACCTGCGTACTCAGAATTTGTTCTTCCTTTGCCAGAAAAACCAGCATGTATAGTAGATAGACCAACATGGTGTGTGACTCCTTCTGAGTATCCGTGTCCTGTAGAGTTGGATATGTTGTCAGGGTGGGAGGTGTTTGTAAGTGGTCACTTAGGACGCTGACCCAGTTAACCTCACACAACACTTCGCCCAGAAAGAGGAAGCAACTCTTGGGACTTCCTCTCTCCACCTGCAGGCACAG